GGGACCCGGGTGGTGGCTCAGCTAGCCAGCGGCCCCTCGGGAGTGGACGTCACCTGTGACCTCTGTGGACTGTAATAAGGAACTTCAGAGAGAGTCCTGGGCCGTGGACATTCCTCTCACGCTGGCCCCAACCTCAGGCTCCAAACACGCATGCAGGACTGGGATGCAGGGGGGCTTTGGAAAGCCCCAGGGTGGGGGCCGAGTGATAGCACAGCAGGTAGGGCTTTTGCCTGGCACATGGCCGACCCGGGTTCAATCCCCAGCATCCCATATGGTCTCCTGAGCACCATCAGGAGTCATTCCTGAGTGCAGAGCCAGGAGTAACCCCTGAGCATCTCTGGGTGTGACCCCTCCCATCCCCTTGCCTCAGGGCGTGGTGCCAAGGTCTGCGTGGCCAAGCCAACTTGTCCCTCCGCACCAAACTGCATGCAACTGAAGCTCTGCGCAGGCCCAAGCTCAGTCCCAGGAATCAGCCGAGCTTAGAGTCAAGGAGTCTGAGGACACAGGCTGAGGAGAAGCTTATCCCAGCTGGCCGTGGGGTCGAGTGCATCCTGAATTTTGGGGGTCTGGACTAACAGTGGGCATTGCATTCTTGAGAGCCTGGGAGCTGCGCGCCCCCAGCCCCTGCCCCCAGCCCAGCCCTGCCCTCCCCGCCCCACCCCACCTCTACAGCAACAAATCCCGCCTCTTAACAACAACAGCAGAAGTGCCAGTCAAACTGGAACAGGCGAATGCTTCCAATCAGATGGCTAGATAACTTGTGAGAGCAAAAAATAAGTAAAACATCTCAAAGACAAGATGGTATCCTGAAGCTTATTGGCACCAAGAGTCTTTGCGAAGTTACTGTTTGAAAAGTTAGAAATAGATAGAGGGCTGGAGAGATAGTCCAGTGGGCAGCCCGGGTTCAATCCTCGGCGTCCCATATGGTCCCCTGAGCACGGCTGTGATTTCTGAGTGCAGAGCCAGGAGTCCGCCCAGAGCCTTACCCGGTGTGGCCCCAAATAAAAATTTTTTAGAAAGAGAAGTTAAAAATAGATTATCTTGCTTTTAGTTTTACTGATTACAGTTTTTAAACCACAGCCCCCGTGGAGAGCCGGCTCACCAGGAAGTGTGCAGGAACAGGAAGCAGATCGTGTAAGAGAATTTCAGCACCAGTTGCCCCGTAAACATGAGGTTTGCTCTGGGTTGAAGAGGGCCACTTCTCCTACCCAGGCCCCAGACACTGAGTTCACTGCGTGGGTGACCAGCTCCAGGAGGGCAGCTTCGAGTTCCGAATCCTGGGGAGCTGCAGTGCCCTTCTAGAGAGGATCAAGTCAATCTGAAGCCTGGATGATGAAGGATGTTGCTGAGTGACCCAGGGACTGCAGCTCCTCAACAACCCAAATACGCAGACAGAGCAAACAAGGCAATCTGACTCATGCTGTGCAACCCTGCCCCTGGGGATGAGGAAATTTCCAGAATGACAATCTTGCTAACGCAGCCGTCTGGCATGGAGTTGTCCTTCCTGAACTCCCCAGTTATAAAAGTTAGGAGATTTTGCCCAGCGGGATGAGCGTAAAGGGATGTGAGTTTCCACAACTATTTCACTGGAGTTCTTGCAACCTTGTTATAGTCAGTGAAGAGTTTCTGAGGTGCTGGTACTCCTTGGGGACCTGTGTCTTCATGGGTTGTTCCATGGTCTTCTTCTTCTCCTTCTTTCCTTCTCCTCCTCCTCCTCCTCCTCCTCCTCCTCCTCCTCCTCCTCCTCCTCCTCCTCCTCCACCTTCTCCTTCTTCTTCTGCTTTTCTGGGTCACACCTGGTGATGCTCAGGGGTTACTCCTGGCTCTGCACTCAGAAGTCACTCCTGGGGACATATGGGATGCCAAGAATATGGTCCCCAGAGCACTGCCAGGAGTAGTTCCTGAGTGCAGAGTCAGGAGTAACCCCTGAGCACTGCCGGAAGTGACCCAAAAACTAAAAATAAAAGATCATTTAATTTCCCAGAATGTGATGTTGAAGTTATAAAAGCATCAAAATTAGAATCATCATTGCCCTAGGTTTTAAGACAATTTTAAACAAAGTCTTTGGTCTTTTTTTTTTTTTTTTGGCTTTTTTTTGTCACACCTGGGCATCCTCAGCATCCCATACGGTCCCTGGAGCACTGTCACTGTCACTGTTCTCCCGTTGTTCATCGATTTGCTCGAACAAGCCCAGTAACATCTCCATTGGAGACTTTGTTGTTACTGTGTTTGGCATATCGAATACATCATGGGTAGCTTTCCAGGCTCTGCCATGCGGGTGAGATACTCGGTAGCTTGCCGGGCTCTCCGAGAGGGGCAGAGGAATCGAATTCGGGTCTCTGGAACACTAGCAGGAGTAATTCCTGAGTGTTGAACCAGGAGTAACCCCTGAGCATTACTGGGTATGACCCCCTCCCCAAAGAAAAGTTAGCCGTGAGCACTAAAACAAAATAAAACAAACAAAAAAAGGCATTAGAGGACTGTAATCAACACACTCCTCCTTGTTATAACAAGGCTAACTCAGGAGGCATCCAATATTCTCCAAAAAGTGAAAACACAGAAACAAATGAAAAGAGGGCTATCAGAGTGGCATCCAAACTGCTAGAGGAACATACTGCTCTAATAAAGTCTACTTGAAGGGTAAGGGCGTTGCAAAACTGATGTTTGAGCTGAGTCTTAACAGACAAAAGCTGGTCACACAGGAGAAAGTTTGAACAATCGTTTAGACTGAGAGTAGAAGGCACAGAGCAAAGATGCAGGGGCACAGGGGAGGGAGAGAGGAGGAGGAGGAGGAGAGAGAGAGACAGAAAGAGAGAGAGAGACAGAGAGAGAGAGAGAGAGAGAGAGAGAGAGGGAGAGGGAGAGAGAGAGAGAGCCCTGTAAAGCTCAGGTGTCAACCTGTGGGAAGGTAATCGGAGCCCTGAAAGAGCCACCTGAGCGAGATTCAAAGGGCTGGAGCGAGGCTGGAGGAGGCAGTGGACCAAGGACTGCAGCACACACAGCACGTGAGAGTCCCGAGGGTCCTGAGGGTGAGGCCCAACACCCACGGTCCCCTGAGCACTGCTGGGTGTGGCCCATCAGAGAAAGGATGAGAAAGAATTGAGGCTGAAGAACTAGGTGCTGCATAGGGACGTACCTGGTCAATGTGGAACTGCTTAAGAATTCTTTCCTGCAGGGGCTGGAGATAAGACAAGTGGGCACAGGCTGACGCTGTTCAGCCCTCAGCATCTCACACGCTTCCCTGAGCCCACCAGGAAGAGTCCCCGAGTGCAGAGCCAGGAGTATTCCCTGAGACCACTGGGTCTGGACCCCCAAACAAATGAATTCTTTTGGGGCATGTGGGGGGTTTGGGCCACATCCAGTGATGCTCAGAAGTGAGCCCTAGAGCTGCTCAGAGGGGTCCTATGTGTCGTGGGGAGTTGAACAGGGGCTGCAGCCACTACAGCCATCCTGCACAAGCCTCTGGGCCATTATCTGCCTCTAAGCACAGCTCAAGAGAGCACTTAGGACACCATCATAATAACGGAAGGGAGAAATCTGAATTTATTAAGTCGCAGATGGGACAGAAAAAGGATGAGTAGACAAGGTTTTACTCCTGACTGAACATACTTGATGGAGTTCTTGATCACTTAATAATCACTCCCTCTCAGAAAGACTGGCAAGCTACCGAGAGTATTCTGCCCGCACAGCAGAGCCTGGCAAGCTATCCGTTGTGTATTCGATATGCCAAAACCAGTAACTACAATGGGTCTCATTCACCTGACCCTGAAGGCTTCACCAACATGGCAGCACTGAGAAGGATGAGAAAGGAGAGGCCGATAAAATCTCAAGGCTGAACTAGGCTGCCACAACGAAGGAAGACAAAAATGATCGTCTGTACTTTCAATGCACGTACGCTAGCATCAGATGCATCCATTGAGGACCTGATGGTACAAGCGCGAAAGATCAAGTAACGGAGTCCTTGATAATCTCTGATAATCTCTTTTCTTCACACACAACTCTTGATAATATGGACAAATAAAGACAGAAGGCAATAAACAAAGCAATGAGGGAAAACAAGGCTTCCAAGGCTAGGAATCTGTAGGCTTATGGCATGTAAAAAGTACAATCACACAATACAGAGGCTATAAAAATTACTTTATTTCTGTTGTGAAAATATAAAAACCACATACATATAAAAGTTAAAAGGGTACTGAATCATTCAAAGCTCTAGCTTTAGCTCTTATAAATGTGTTTCCATTTAATGGAGACGGCTCATAGCAGACAAAAATAGAGAGATGATTCTACTTCTAAAAACTGAGATGCAAGAGAAAACAGTGTGTCTCGTCACTACTAGAAAGAACTGTGGCAGTAGTGCTGATGGATGTCCCTCCACTCTGCTCCCAAAGATTTCAAGCCCCCCTCCAAACAAAACAAACAGTTTCAAATGGGAGCCCAAAGGGACAGTGCATAGAGGAAAAAAAATTCCAATAATTTTTTAACAATATTTTTGTTTGTTTTGGCTCGAGGACCATACCTCAGGGGCTATTCAAAGCTTGGTTCTTGGGGGTCTCTCCTGGAAATGCTTGGAGGATTATATGTGGTGTCAGAGATCAAACGTGGGCTTCCCACATGCAAAGCACTACCCATTGTGCTCTCTCTCTGTCCACCTAATAACGTTTTTGAGAAAGTAAAACAGCTCAGCATTTTCTTAAAATTCATATCCTTCACTTACTTGCCTCCTATCAACATTCATGGGGGGACATTCATGTACATTTTTAATAACTTAAATAAAAGTAATATATGGAATGGTGTTTGGCATAAGGTATCACTAACTTACTATTACTAGCAGTGGACTACTCTGGGAGAACAGAGATTGTGCCAAATTTGGCTAGTACTGAGCCTGTGCCAGTGGCCAAAACTCCCACCGTTTTTGGTAAGGTATTTTTTGTCTTCCTATAACTTGTGTTTTGCTTTATTCCCAACAGGCTTGGAAAAGTGAATCTCAGGACAATTGCGTGCCTTTCATTTTCAAACACAAGCAGCCACTTTGGCGTTTCTTATCACAAAGAACCCGTAGGAGAAAGCTGGCAAGCCCAGGGCACTTCCAGGGCGCAGGGGCTTCTCCGGCAGGGCCGGCAGCGTCTCATCATCCACCATCTTCAGAACCTGCCCATTGAGTTGAACGGATCTGCAAAGGGCAATGACATTCCAAGTCAGTCCCATCTTTGCTCTCCTTCCTTCCTTCTTCCCTCCCTCTCTCCCTCCAACCTTCCCTCTCTCCTTCTTTCCTTCCTTTCTTTTCTTGTTTCTGGTTTTGGGATCACAATCAGACAATCAGTGGTACTCAGAGGTTACTCCTGACTCTACACTCAGGAATTACTCCTGGCAGACTTGGAGGACCAAACGGGATGCCAGGGATTGCACCCTGGTTGGCCATGTGCAAGGCAAGCACCCTCCTACCTGCTAAACCATCTCTTCAGTCCCAAGTCCCATCTACTCTTAGAAAGAAAATATCAACAGGTCTGACCTTTTTAGAAGAGGGCTGGTGTGGTAAGTTGCCAGTTTATAGTGAAACAGTACAAACAACCACTGTATGTCACCATGGTTAAAAAGGAAAAAATAAAGATTTTATTTGACTAAACCATAGTTTACAAAAAATTTAATATTTTTTGTACTTCTCATTTGGAATTCAAAACTGAGTTAAAAATGGGAAAAATTATGGGCAAGTATTTCTTATGTATACATTTATAAGGCACTGGTTGAACTCTGCAAGAAAACATCCAACCTCATCAGAAAATGGGGCAAAGAAGTGAACAGAAACTTTCTCAAAGAAGAAATCTGAATGGCCAAAGGCACATGAAAAAAATGCTCTTCATCACTAATCATCAGGGAGATGCAGATCAAAACAACTATGAGATATCATCTCACACCACAGAGACTGGCCCACATCCAAAAGAACAAAAGCAACGGTGCTGGCGCGAATGTGGTGAGAAAGGGACCCTCCTACACTGCTGGTGGGAATGCCGACTGGTTCAGCCCTTTTGGAAAACGGTATGGACGATTCTCAAAAAAATTAGAAACTGAGCTCCCATTTGACCCAGCAATAGCACTCCTGGGAATATATCCTGGAGAGACAAAAATGTATAGTCAAAATGACATCTGCACTTGTATGTTCATTGCAGCACTGTTTACAATACCCAGAATTTGGAAAAAAACTGAGTGCCTGAGAACAGATGAATGGTTAAAGAAACGCTGGTATCAATACCACTCCTGGGAATATATCCCAGAGAGGCAAAAATGTATAGTCGAAGTGACATCTGCCCTTGTTTGTTCATTGCAGCACTCTTTACAATAGCCAGAAACTGGAAGAAACCTGAATGCCCAAGAACAGATGACTGGTTAAAGAAACTTTGGTACATATACACAATGGAGTACTATGTAGCTGTTGGAAAAGATGAAGTCATGAAATTTACATACAAGTGGTACAACATGGAAAGTATCATGTTAAGTGAAATGAGTCAGAAAGAGAGGGATAGACAAAGAAAGATTGCATTCATCTGGGGGATATAAAGTAACAAAATATGAGATTAATACTCAAGAATAGCTGAGATCAGCACCAGGAGGATTACTCCATAGCTTAGTGGCCAGTCGGGCATTCTAGAGGAAAGGGCAGCTCAGATAGAGAAGCGAGCACCAAATAAAGGGTGTTTGGAGGATCCTCCCAGGTGGGGAGATGCATGTCGAAAGCAGACTATGGACTGAACATGTTTGCCACTCAATGCCTCTTTTGCAGACCACAACACCCAAAAGGAGAGAGAGAACACAGGGGATTGCCCTGCCACAGAGGCAGGGGGGGGATGGGGGGATGGGGGTGGGGGGGATATTATCCATGGTGGTGGAAAATGGGCACTGGTGGAGGGATGGGTATTTGATCATTGTATAATCAAACCCAAGCACAAAAAATTGTAAATCTACCACTGTACCTCATGGTGTTTCACTAATAAAAAAAGAAAAAAAAAAACCGTCCCTAAGACACTGAAGAAAAATAAAAGAAGTATTATTAGTATAGGAGCATAATATAAACTCCCATTTAGTCGTCAGTATTTGCTTCACTTTACTTATATGCCTTTTAGCCTTATGATGTTAAAACATTGGAGTATTCATCTTTTGTTGGTTCTATTTAATTTATTCTGCACTGTACCTCTTTACTGAATAAGAAATGTTGTTTCTCATCTATACCCTAACTTTTTTGCTGTCTTATTTAATGTCAATAAAACAACCTTATTTGTATAACATAAAAAAAAATTAAAAAAAAAAGAAACGCTGGTATATCTACACAGTGGAATATTATGCAGCTGTTAGAAAAGATATACATATCAACATATATTTTTTACTATAAATAAGCCTGTTATACCTATGGTCAATAAGCATGTCAAGATTTGATTTTTTTTTCTTGCCCATTCACTACATCATTTTAAAAGTTTCACAGGATTTCATTGCTCGAACACATAGGTTACTTAAATGTCTGGTGTGAGACATTTGATTGTTTACAATTTAGCATTTTTACAGCCCCACTTGTGGGGGGTGGGCAGGGTGGTATTTGTGCCACATCTGGCAGTGCTCAGGTGCAGTGCCGTACCTCCTGGATTACCTCTTCAGTTCTCTTTACATTTAAAATTTTTTAAGTTCTCATACTCTATTCTCACTAAGTTTCAGTCAGTGAAGAACTGATGGCTGTTTAATCTGCGTTAGAGGGTCAGCTCCATTTCTATACCTCATATCTTTCTTTACTTTTTTCTGGTGGTGGGGGGTGACATTTGGGGTCATACCTGATGGTGCTCTGGGTCTTACTCCTGGTTCTGCACTCAGGGATCACTCTGGCAGGACTCAGGGGGCCGTATGGGGTACCAGGGATGGAGCCCAGGTCATCCACACGCAAGGCAAGCATGTGTACCCACTGTACTATCACTTGGTTCCTTATGTCTTTCTTGTCAGGCATCTGCTCAGGATGTGGGCTGGCAAGCCCTCACAGCAACGGGACTCAGTCTGCGGGTATGGGGTGTGGTTCAGTGCTTAGAAGTATTTAGAAGACGCAAAGAAGAAAATGCCACACCGTCATCAGGAAACCACAAACAGAGTGCTTCTCTCCAAATGACAGCCGCAAGCGCTGTGCGCATGAGATGAAGGACCTCGTATGAAAGCACACAGGGAGTGTCGGAAATACTTTTGGAGAAGCCGCAGAGTTTAATGGTAATTGGGCCATTATAACAATATGACTGTAGGTGAAGACGATGAAATACAGTTGTATTAGAGCATCCAGCTGGAGTGTTTAATCTGCTCTAAATAGGGCTAGAGGAAGGTGTCAAGATGCTAGCATGAGCTTAAAGCATCATAGCAATGGGGTGATGGGGCAAGGTTGATTGGAGAGCAGTATCTTGTGTCATATTTTGAAGTCAGCAACACGATGACAAAGACATAGAGGATGAGCTTGTCAAGTTTTGGGCGAAGTAAAGTGAGAAGAAATTGGCAGAATAAGGTGTGCTGGATAAAATTTATCCAGATAAAGAGGAACTACTGGGGCTGGGTAGTTCAGCCATAAGGGCTTGCCTTTAATGCGGCAGACCTGGGTTCTATCCTCTGGACCCCATCTAGTCCCCTGAACCCACTGGGAGTGATCCCTGAGCACAGAACCAGGAATAAGTCCTGAGCACCGCCAGGTGTGACCCCCAAACCAATATATATATAAGCTCAGGGCTTACTCAGTATTGCAGAACTGTAACTGCAATGCTGGGAGCGAGGTAGAGACAGGGGGCAAAGCCAGATTCAGCACATATGAGCCATGTGCTCGAGTGCTTACTATTTCCTGAGTCTAAATTTTATTTTTTTTTTGTTGTTTTTTGCTTTTTGGGTCACACCCAGCGATGCTCAGGGGTTACTCCTGGCTCTGCACTCAGGAATTACTCCTGGCGGTGCTCGGGGGACCATATGGGATGCTGAGGACTGAACCTGGGTTGCCCGTGTGCAAGGCAAACGCCCTACCCGCTGTGCTATCTCTCCAGCACCCTGAGACTAAATTTTAAGAAAATGTTTTTTAATAAATATCCGGTCGAATATCTATGAAACACTTGCTCCGAAGGACCCTCTGTAGGCAGTAGGTGTTCTTCTCGTCAAAGGATTTTTCTTTCTGGTGAACAATTGTTCAATGATGTGTTTCTCTGTTCATAACGCTTCTCTGGGCTGAGTGTGTGTTCATCACGCTTCTCTGGGCTACTTTTTGCAAAAATTAACAAAGATTTTTTTTTTTTAATTTGAAGCACTGCGATTTACAATATTGATGGGGCTTCAGGCCTGTAATGATCCAATACCACACTTTCCTTCCGTGTTTGCTTACACCCCCACTGTCTCCGGGTTACCCCCTCCCTCCACCCGCCTCTTGCCTTCAGGCAATATTTAAAAAGGAGAAAAGTATAAGAGGAAAAAGCATATACTTATCAAATAGATTTAGGGTAAGGGAACTTTAACGATACTTTGTCAATTTCCATTTAGAAAGCATGAAATGTATGATCCGCCTGCAACAGGGCCGATAAATACAACGAAGACAAGAATTCCGGAAGAAATGGGCATATTCAGCCTGGAGGGATGGCAATCCACTGCCCTTAAAAGAAAATGGGGGGGGGGGGCTGGAGCAATAGTATAGCGGGGAGGGCATTTGCCTGGCATGTGGCAGACCTGGGTTTGATCCCCAGCATCCTATCCATATGGTTCCCCAGCACACCAGGAGTAGTTCCTGAGTGCAGAGCCAGGAGTAACCCCTGTGCATCGCCGGGTGTGACCACTCCCCCCCAAAACAAACAAACAAACAAAAAAACAAAATACAAAGAAAATATGGGTAGTGGGCATCGCGCCGGATTGGGTAGCGAACTCAAAAGCCCACGCGAGCCAGGAGGAGTCACTAGTGCAGGCCAGGAGGCAGCTGAATGTTCCACAGGAAACAGGGAGAAGAGGGGATTTGAGCACCCTCCATAGAATCATTATCCTGAGTCAGCTGGGAAAGCGAGAGCTGTCAGAATACCTCCTGGCCTCGACCTGTGGACCAGGCTTCTTACTCCTGGGCCACACACCTGTGGCTGCTGTTGGGAATGTTTGCTTTGCTTTGTGTCTACTCCTGGTGATGCTGATGCTCAGGCAGTGCCGGGGATCAAAGCCAGGCCTGGGCCACACAAAGCTTGTATAAATGACCTCTAGGGCGATCTCCCCTACCCAAATTATCCCTTTTTTTTTCCTGCTTTTTGGGTCACACCGGCGATGCACGGGGGTTACTCCTGGCTCATGCACTCAGGAATTACTCCTGGCGGTGCTCGGGGGACCCTATGGGATGATGGGAATCGAACCCGGGTGAGCCACGTGCAAGGCAAATGCCCTACCTGCTGTGCTATCGCTCCAGCCCCAGATTATCCATTTTAGTTTTTATTTTTTTCAGGAGCTCTGGCTTCTGCAGGGAGCACTCCTGGTGCTCGGGGGACCATGTATGGTTTTGGGGGCTGGACTTGGGTTGGCCGAATGCAAGGCAAGTGCTTCACCCAGTCCAGCAGGATCACAGCAAATCTGATGGGAAAATTGCGTGGAAGACGCCCCCGCCCCTACAAGCCTCAATGGGCCTGGACAAGCCACAGAAGGCCCAGCTAGCACACACCAGCACCGTGACTTTAGTAACACCACCGGGAGCTAGAATAATCATCACGAACTTACTCTTACGGGGTGGGGTGGGGTGGGGAGGGTCACACATGGCAATGCTCGGGGGTAACTCCTGACTCTACACTCAGGACTTACTCCTGGCAGTGCTCCGGGGAGCATATGGGATGCCGGGGATCGAACCTGGGTCGGCCGCGTGCAAGGCAAATAAGCACCCTGCCTGCTGTATTATGGCTACAGCCCCCCCCCCCCCCGCCCCCCGTATTTGGATAATTCCATTTGCCTTTGTGTTATGGTAATATGAAGCAAATCTGCTTGTGCCTACAAAGAGGCAGGTTGGGGTGGTGGGTGGGAAATGGGTCACTGGGGTGGGACTGGTGTTGGAACACTGAAACCACTGTGCAATTGTGTTACAACTTGGTAAATCATGGTGCTTCTAAATTTTTTTTTGGCTTTTTTGGGTCACACCTGGCAATGCATAGGGGTTCCTCCTGGCTCTGCACTCAGGAATTATCCCTGGCGGTGCTCAGGGGACCATATGGGATGCTGGGAATCAAACCCGGGTCAGCCACATGCAAGGCTAACGCCCTACCCGCTGTGCTATTGCTCCAGCCCCTAAATTTTTTTTTTTATAAAATAAAAAAAAATCATTGTAACTAAAAATAGCCAACTTTGATTTTGCTAGCAATGGTCTCTATTCTGCTCAACATTTGCGGACAGCATAAAATGCACAAGGCAAACTACTCACTTGGAAAGTAATCCACTAGGTCCTGAAGGTTTCAAGAGGTACTTGTCCACTTGTTTGTCAAACAAATGACTGGGCAACTGCAAGCGCTTGGTCACATTATGCAGGTTTAAGGCATAGAGCGTTAAGTCTCCTTCTTTGTACCTGGGACTGGAAGCAAATATGCAACTCAGTAAAACTTGTTATCTATAGAAACAATTAAAATATCAACCACTGACAGGAAGTTTTAGCATCACCTCCCGGGATAACGACCCCTTTGTAGCCTTCCTTTTTTTTTTTTTTTTTTAATTAGTGAAACACCATGAGGTACAGTTGTAGACTTACAAATTTTTGTGCTTGGGTTTCAGTTATACAATGATCAAACACCCATCCCTCCACCAGTGCCCATTTCCCACCACCACGTGTCCCAGCATCCCTCCCACCCCCCGTCCCCCCATCCCACCCTGCCTCTGTGGCAGGGCATTCCCTTTTGTTCTCTCTCTCCTTTTGAGTGCTGTGGTTTGCAAAAGAGGCATTGAGTGGCAATCATGTTTGGTCTATAGTCTACTTTAAGCATGCTTTTCCCATCCTGGGAGGATCCTCCCAACACCCTTGATTTGGTGCTCCCTTCTCTATCTGAGCTCCCTTTTCCCCTAGCACGTGTGGCTGGCCTCCAAGCCATGGAGCAAACCTCCTGGTACTAATCCCAGCCACTCTTGGGTGTTAGTCTCCCATTTTGTTACTTATGTAGCCTTCCTTTTATGACTCTTCATTTAGGGCTGGTAAAGTGCTCATGGCCTGCCAGCCCCATAGCAGCTGTCAAGCTGCATCAGGACCCGTTTGCTCTATGTGGTACAGGTGCTGGGCCCCACCGCCCAACGTCTCGAGGAGCTGCGGATTGTGGGTCTGTGCAGGAAAAGGAAAGTCAGCCCTTGTCTGCGTGCTACAGCATCACCCGCCTTCCTCGCTGCAAAGAATTTCAAGAGGAGGTGAAGAATGAAGCGAAAAAGTTGCATTTGGAACAGGGTAGGAGAAGAGAGGAAGAGCAGAGGGAAGGGGAGAGGAGGGGCGGGGAAGAGAGGAAAGAGCGTCCATTGCATATAGTGATGTGGGCAGCAGAGCAGTGCCTCAAGTGATGCTATTTTGCTTTTGTTGCTGTTGTTGTTGTTTTGCTTTTTGGGTCACACCCAGGGGATACTCCTGGCTCTGCACTCAGGAATTACTCCTAGCGGTGCTAGGGGGACGATATGGGATGCCGGGAACCAAACCTGGGTCTGCTGCGTCCAAGCCAAGCAGCCTACCCTCCGTACTGTCGCTCCGGCCCCAAGTGATGCTATTTTGAAGCCCTGATCGCAAAGCTTGCTCCAACACTACCTTTTCCTGGGCTGGAGTGATCTTTGCTACGTCACCAGGTTGAGTTTCTGGGAAGCCGGTCTACCACACAGGGCAGTTAAATGAGAAAAATAAATTTTGTGGATTCACGGGAATTCAACTTATAAACCAAATAATATGAAGGCTTTTTCTAGTCTTATGAAAATACTGAAACATGAAAGAAATTAAATCTATGAAAGGTTTTCAGATTGTACCCTTTCAAAACATTTCATCATCTCTTGCCTTTGGAGACTAAAATGAACCGTTTAATACCCTCTTATTAGAAAGGACAGATTGAAAGACACACACATACACACAGAAAGAGAGAGAGAGAGAGAGAGAGAGAGAGAGAGAGAGAGAGAGAGAGAGAGAGATTCATTTTTTCAGAGTACTGAACTATAAAAGTCTCTCTTACTCCTGGCTCTGTATTCAAGGATCAATCCTGGCACATTCAGTGGGTGCTAGGGACTAAAACTGGGTTGGCTGCATGCAAGACCCTACCTGTCGTACTATCGCTGTAGTCCCAACATTTCTAGTCTGGTCTTTACATTCAAGGTAAAACTGCATTTTGCATTAGAAAAATAAAAAAATCTTTGTACAAATCTTTGTTGGATGAAAGAGCTTATGTTCAAGCTGCTTTTCTAGACCCTGCCTCCCAATCACTATAAATTAAAAAAAAAAACACCAACAATTAAAATCAAAACCTTGGCACACCTTCAACCCACTGGCTGGAGATAGAACAAAAGATCATTAGAGCAGAAAGTCACGTGCTGTCACTGTGCAGAGCGAGTGACCTCCTTACTGGTTAGTGCTTGTGCAGTGAAGATAAACTCGAAGCTTGCCGCTGTCCGGCTTGTCCACTCGTGCTTCGAACACAGTGCTGCCCACCAGTTTCTTGAAGAGAAGAGATAACCAGTAGTCCTAGTGGTGCAGGTTGGCGAGACGAGAGGGGGGGGAAAAGGATCTTATTTCTCTATTCAACAACAACGTCAAGCAAATAATTGTCGTACAAATTATCTATTTATCACAGAGGTAGGATTCATTCATAATACCAGCATGATCTGAGGGTAATATCTTTTCTTTCTTCTTTTGGGTTTCGGGCTATACTCTGTCGCCCCAAAGAATTATTTTTAAAAAATAGATATCCTTCGATGCCATCTTAGACTATAAAAATCCAAGTCAGGCTTGCTCTAATTATATTATTCTGGCTTTCATTCTGACATTCACATGTTCCTGTGTCTTTCTTCTTCTTCTTAGTTTTTTGATTTGGGGGCCACACATGGCTGTGTCCAAGGCTTACACTTGACTCTGAGCTCAGGGATCGCTTCTGGGGGCCCTTGGAGGACCGGATGTAGTGCAGGGGTCAAACCCAGCTCAGCACGTCCAAGGCAAGAACCTTCCACCTTGCACTGTCTTTTTGGTTCCAGACTATTTTTTTCCAGATTTAGTGCCAGGTACAGTCAGAGGTGGGGTGGAAATGAGACTTTGTTAATAAATATTTTAGCTATTATTAACAAAATAGTCAACTCATGGGGGCTGGGCAGTACTGGCACTTCTCGGGGTTCAATCCCCGCTCTGTGCTCAGGGATCACTCCCGGAGGGGCTTGGAGGACCATATAAATGCTGGGACAGAATCAAGATTGGCTGCGTGCAAGATGAGCACCTTAACCTCTGTATTTTATCTCCAACCCCACGAGAGAGCCAATTTTTACAGTGAGATTTTTATTTTATTATTTAAATTGGTTTTTTTTTGTCTTTTAGGGTTGTACCTGGCCTGCCAATGCTCAGGGGTTACTCCTGGCTCTACTTGGGGAAATATATGGAATGCCGGGGATCAAACCCAGGTCAGCCATGTGCAAGGCAAACACCCTACCCACTGTACTATCACTCCAGCCCCTACAGTGAGATTTTATTGGTTTGTTTTTGTTTTTATTTATTTATTATTTTTTTTTGCTTTTTGGGTCACACCTGGAAATGCACAGGAGTTACTCCTGGCTCTGCACTCAGGAATTACTCCTGGCGCTGCTTGGGGGGCCATATGGGATGCTGGGAATCGAACCCGAGTCAGCCACACGCAAAGCAAACACCCTACCTGCTGTGCTATCGCTCTAGCCCCTACAGTGAGATTTTAAATAACAAATGTACAGTACCAGCTTGTCTTACAGTAAAATTTATAAGGGGTCGGAATGATAGTACAGGGGGTAGGATGCTTGCCTTGCATGTAGCTAACCCAGGTTCAATACTCGGCACCACGTTTATGTCTCAAGCATTGCCAGGAGTGATCGCTGCGAGCAGAACCAGGAGAAAGCCCTGAGCACTGCTGGGTATGGCCCAAAGCACAACAAAAAGTCAAAATTTATGACAAAACAGCTGTGAAGCTTTGAATTCTATAGACTATAGCACTGTAGCACTGTAGCACTGCCCTCCCATTGTTCATCGATTGCTCGAGTGGGCCCAGTAACATCTCCATTGTGAGACTTGTTACTGTGTTTGGCATATTGAGTACGTCACGGGGAGCTTGCCAGGCTTTGCTGTGCAGGCGAGATTCTCTTGGTAGCTTGCTGGGCTCTCTGAGAGGGGTAGAGGAATTGAACCCGGGTTGGCCCGGTCAGCAGCATGTAAAGCAAACACCCTACCCACTGTGCTACTGCTCCAGCCCTCTATAGAATATTTCATTTCATTTAATTTTCATTTCATCATCCTGTTATTCGTCAATTGCCTCGAGCAGGCCCCAGTAACGTCTCTTTCATCCTAACCCTGAAATTATATTCAAGGCTCTTTAGGAGAATGAGACCCATCATTGTTACTGGTATTTGGCATATTTGGTACGCCACGGGGAGTTTGCCAGACTCTGCCCTGTGGGCAGGCTACATTCGATAGCCTGCAAGTTTGTCCAAAGTAGGAATGACGCCTAAGATCATTCCTATAGAATATATAATGATTTATTTTGCAGAACAGTTTTGATCCAACTTTACCTCATAAAATTTGAGTCATAAAATTTCAAATTAGTTCTTTTAAAACACACACACACACACGCGCGCGCGCCTCTTGGACAGGCAGTACAGCGGGTAAGCCAAATGCCTTTCATGTTAGCTGACCCAGGTTTGATTGCCAGCATCCCATATGGTCCCCTGAGCCCACCAGGAGTGATCCCTGAGTGCAGAGCCTGGAGAAAGCCCTGAGCACTGCTGGCACGTGTGACGCCAAATCCAAATAATAAATAAATAAAGTACGGAAAAGCATTAAAGTATGCCCCTCATGGTCCACATACATAATTACCCCTATGTCTAAATTTTCTCTCTTTAGACACAAAAATGTTGGAATGCATGCTCTATCAGGCTTCTTCCACAATTCAGAGTTCCCTGGTTTGCTTTACTGAGAGTACTGAGTTGGCCCAGAGAATGGACTCTTCCAGAAGGGCAAACAGCTCACTCACAGGCATAGGCTCGAAGTTCTGGTCCACCAGATGGTAGTTTCCGGCCCCGAAGAGCACTTGTCTCATCACCACTTCTATGCCCATTTTGGCCGACAGGCCCAACTTGTCCAGCCACCTGGAACAGAGAGACGGCAGCTTTCCTCGGGTTTGGGAAACAAGAGGACTCAGCAGCATCTTCTCACAAAATCTGGCATGATCTTAGGCGTCAGCCCAGAAACCGTCTCTGACCCACATTCTGACTGATGCGGCGTTTCTGCTGAGCAGAAAAGAACCAGGTGTGGGGCAAGGGCCCGTCACTCACATGAAGCCCGCAGCGAAGGTGTCGGACAGCCGGGGCGCTCCACCCCCATAGGCAGAGCTGGTCTCCCCCAGCCAAACCTTCTTGTGGGGTGTGGTCTCCTTCACAACCTGAGAACAGGAAAATCTCCGTGGTAACTTCAAGCCAGCCAGACAACTATGTGCACTGAAGATTAGCAATCTGAACCCTTATTTCCATAATCACGGTCCCCCATCACTGCAAACTATGTTCCTACTCCTTTAGGTCTCAGGTAATTTATTTATTTATTTTTTGCTTTGGGGGGGGCTGGAGCGATAGTACAGCAGTAGGGCGTTTGCCTTGTGCACAGCCAGCCCGGCCGAGCCAGGTTCGATTCCTCCGCCCCTCTCAGAGAGCTACCGAGAGTATCTCGCCCTCACGACAAAGCCTGGCAAGCTATCCATGACGTATTCAATATGCCAAACACAGTAACAACAAGTCTCAAAAAAATGGAGACATTACTGGGTCCGCTCGAGCAAATCGATGAACAACGGGAGGACAGTGACAGTGACAGTTGCTTTTTGGGTCACACCTGGCAATGCTCAGGTGTTCCTCCTGGCTCTGCACTCAGGAATTACTCCTGGCAGTGCTTGGGGGACCATATGGGATGGTGCGGATAGAACTTGGGTCCGCCATGTGCAAGGCAAATGCCCTTCACATACTCCACACATCTGGGATGCTGGGGATGGAACCCAAGTTGGCCACATGCAAGGCAAGTGCTCTCTACCTGCTGGACTATGGCTCTGGCCCCAGCCTCAGGCAAAAGTGACTGGATTACCAAGGTAGGGGGAATGTCAATTGTCCCATTTTACAGTTGATGACAGTTTTCAATTTACTAAAAGGTTCTTAGAAGTCTTTAAAAAAAACTGATAGAAGTTCTGTGATTCACTAAAGTGTGAATGATGGCGCTTCATGCACATCATTCCAACACCACAGCCATCAACAGTGTACCACCTCCCTCCCCCAAGGACCCTAACATGTCTCCATTTAAAACCCCCAGCCCCCCACCCCACCAACTGAATTGTGTGGTTCACTTCTAGGGCTAGAGACAGCACAGAGAGAGGGTAAGGCACTTGCCTTGCATTCTGCAGACCCCAGTTCAAATCACTGGCACCACATATGGTCTTTCATGAGCCCAGAGCCAGGAATAGCCCCTGAGCACTGTTGGGTATGACCCACAATGCAACAAACGCCTCCACCCACCTACCCACACAAAGGCAATCCAGATAAGAAACTTCATTTCTTATCAACAGCAAAGGTAAGACCACCGCTGGGGGCACCAAGGTGGGTGGGTTCCGGTGTCATTTGGACCAACTAGAAAAATGTGCTCATTTACACACAGAATTTATTAGTAGCTGGACTGTAAAACAAGGACTCATGTTTTAGGTCCAAAAGGGGGAAAAAAGACTATTACCTCGAAAATTTTTTGCACAGATAAAATGAAAGTGTCCAAAACGTCAGGACTTAGAAACTCTTCTTCGGTGGCAACTCGTCCATTCAGGTAGTAACTAAAGGATCCCAAAAACAATGAGAAAACAGACACACCTGAATTTCTGGTTGTAACCTTGGACGGCTCAGCACTCTCTCCTTCCTCCCTCTTCCCGTTCCCTTGTTAGAAAAAGCAGGAATCCTACTGGGCAGAGAGGCAGGTGAAAGGGTCTATTTCTGGGTCTTAAGAGGACACAGCTACAATAGTGCCCTCAAGCAAGGGTTTATCATTCTTCGGTAAGAATATTTATTATAACCACTCACTGCTCCTTGCGTTAAATTATGGGGCATGTGTATCTTATAGAAACCACCGCATTGTTTAAAATAAGGCTAAGTTTTTGCTTGACTCACAGTACAATTCTAATACAATCATGTTTGAGACTATTTCCTACTTGAACTATTAGGTCACCTGGCAGTGAATCAGAAGCAAGCTTGGGCAAATGAGATAAAAAGCAAAAGAGGCATGTGTTCTTGGAAATCAGAAGATACAGACTCACTGGTGCCACGTGACAGAGTCAATCACGGCTCCTCCGGCCTTCAGGAAACTAGGAGAAAGCGTTCCTTGTTAGCAGTGTTCGGATGCACAATTCCTACCATATAGACGCTCAGAAGCTCTATTCCCTCGAAACGCCCTTTCCTCCTTAGGATCAGACCCACATGCACTTCCTCTTTGTTTTGGGACTTTCCGGTGGTGCTCTGGGCTTACTCCTTGGTCCTGTGCTCAAGGATCACTCCCGGCAGTGTCAAATCCCACACCAACTTCCTTTTTTTTTGCATTTTGTGTCACACCCAGTGATGCTCAGGGGTTACTCCTGGCTCTGCACTCAGGAATTACTCCTGGTGGTACTCTGGGAACCATATGGGATGCTGGAGATAGAACCAGGTTTGGCCGCATGCAAGGAAAACGCTCTATCCACTGTGCTATCGCTCCAGCCCCAACTTCCTCATTTTATTATTCATTTAGTTCTGGCTTTGAGGCCACATCCAGTGATACTCAGGGGTCACTCCTGGCTCTGCACTCAGAAATTACTCCTGGAGGTACTCGGGGGACCATAAGGGCTGTTGGGGATCGAACTTGAGTCAGCTGCCTGCAAGGCAAGCACTTTACCCCAATATATTATTTCTCTAGCCCAACTGCCTCATTTTAATACACATTTCACCTTAAGTGCTATCTGCCTCCCCATCTCCCGTGGAACATTATTCTACCCAGTTTCCAATCCTGGTACCACGTGTCCCCCAAACATCAGTGGGGTAAAGGCTTGAAGGCCCCAGGGCACAGCTGTAGGTGGTCCCAGAGGCCTCCAGAACCAGGGGGGAAGCCCTGATACCCCCAATACTGCAGCACCCAGAGCACAGGGTTCCCCAGGCTAATGGCTCAGCTGACAGAGAATCATCTGCGGGACCCCTGAAAACCTGCTCAGTCTCGCTTAGGAGGCCTTCAAAAACAAACAAGATCACTTTATAACTGAAACCCAAGCACAAAAATTTGTGAATCTACAACTGTACCTCATGGTGTTTCACTAATAAAAATCTAAAAAACGAAACAAAACAAAACAAAAACCCAAGAGACTATTCAGTTAGGCAGCAAGTGACTCAGCAGCACTGGCCTAGGGGGCTTCTTCCCCAAGGACAATAGTTTCCTTCCTTCCTTCCTTCCTTCCTTCCTTCCTTCCTTCCTTCCTTCCTTCCTTCCTCCCTCCCTCCCTCCCTCCCTCCCTCCCTCCTTTTCCTTCCTTTCTTATAAGGTTTTTGGGTCACACCTGGTGATGCTTAGGGGTTGCTCCTGGCTCCGTGCTCAGGGATCACTCCTGGCGAGCTTTCGGATGCTGGAGATCAAGCCTCAGTTGGCAGCATGCAAGGCAAATGCCCTCCCCCATCCTACTGCTCGGCCCGGAGAAGTACTACTTCTCAGAGAAGTGGTCCTGCATCTTCCCACTCTCACCTCTGCAACATCTTCACAGTCTTTCCCCGAGGCTGGCCGATATCCGGACCATAGAGCTTTGCGTTGTTGAAAGTGGACTTCGCTAGAAGTTTGTGCAACTCAACAAAATCTTCTCCTAACTGAAAGCCATCGACGAAAACACCAGACTTCTTCCTGAAGCTGTTAGGTTCTGAAAAAGAGCATTTCTCCGAATAATGATTTGCCTAGAAAAAATTTTCATCTTAACACAAACACGACAGCAGCATTATAAAATTTAAATTAAAAAAATAGTTTTCAAATAGAGGTATGAGGGTATATTAAAATAATCTCAAGGGGCCGGAGTGATAGGACAGCGGTCGGGCGTTTGCCTTGCATACGGACAACCCAGGTTTGATCCCCAGCATCCCATATGGTCCTCCAAACACCGCCAGGAGTAATTCCTGAGTGCAGAGACAGGAGTAACCCCTGTGCATCTGAGCATTGCCGGGTGTGACCCAAAAAGAAAAAAAAAGAGATAGTACAGCAACTAAGGTGCTTGTCTTGTAAGTGGCACCTCGTATGGTCCCCTGAGCACTCCTAAGAGTGATCCCTGAGTGCAGAGCCAGGCGTAAGCCCTGAACACCTCTAGTCATGCATGGCCCCTGCTTCCCCCAAAACACCCTCAAAAAACACAACAGCTTTTTATATTGTGGCTACTGTATGTAGAAGTAGAATATACATTACTGCAAAATTTATATGTTAATCATATCACAAATGCTAGAGGGATCACTCCCACTTGAGAGAAACAAACAACTATACTCCGAAGGACTCAGTAGCACTTCAACTGGACTCAGAGACCTACGGGAATTTGGCCAGGGAGCCAGGGATTGAGATTCATTCACAAGATGAGAAACAGAGAAAGGAACCAAAGGGTCCATTGCGGGAGTCCAGCCTCTCAGGAGAAACAGGCCCAAGGTGACCCCAAGGCTCTGCAGGGAGCCCAGGAGCCCTGGGAATCGCCGGTTCCAGGGACCTGTGCTACGTGCAAAGAGAACTGAGCTGAATCTCACCAGAATCTGGCCGAGGGAAGGCGTGCTCCTGCCCGGAGTGGCTCTGCCCAGCACTGGGGCAAAAGTGCTGAGGCAGGAACGTCCTTGCTAATATTAAAAACGGTTATAAGTAGGGAGCAATAATGCTGCTAGAAACCTCCTTTTAAATGAAATGGTCCCAGGAGTACTCACCATTGCCAAGTTCCCAAGAAATATTGTACCCCTTGGACGAGCAATATTCCAGGAGCAGCTCCGCGTTGGAACTGTTCCACTGCAAGTCGGCTGTGCGCTGGAGTGCGTTTAGACCAAAGATCAAGTCCAGGCCTGAGCAATTCGCGAACATATACAGCATATCCACAGCGCTCTCTGAAAGGAGAAGGGCACGGTTCGGGGGCTGGAGAGAGAGCACGGTGGGTAGAGCACCTGCCTGGTGCTGACCCCTTCCTGGCTCCCCAAATGGTCTCCTGAGCACCACCAGGAGTAATGCCTGAGCATAGAGCCAGGAGTCACTCCTGAGCATCGCCGGGTGTGGTCCAAAAAACCACAAGCAAAGGAAAGGTGAGTGGTGAGCTTAATGGTCGTTAATAGCAGCGCAGGGAGGAGGCTTCTGGCCCCAGTTGTAGAATGAGTGACCACTTCTGCTGTTCAAGGGAAGGAACCCCAGTTCTCACGAACAAATACGATTGTGAGGAAAGGAGAACACAATCAGACTGGGAAATTAAAAAAATCTATCATGGTGAGTTTATTTGCTCCAACTATGGAATGGAGACCTGTGGAATATTCTAGAAGTTTTGATCTGGCACTCAGGTCTTGAGTTCCAGGGAATTGGGGGTGTTGCCCAGTTGCCTTGGTGCCTCAGTGCTCAGCACAGATGGAAAGCCCATCCTGGGATGCCATAAGCCCCTTTAACCACCCAGCTCTGCTCACAAACACCGTCCCTAAATACTGCACTGCACGGTAGCACTGTCCTCCCATTGTTCACTGATTTGCTCGAGCGGGCACCAGTAACGTCTTCATTGTGAGACTTGTTGTTACTGTTTTTGGCATATCGAATTCGCCATGGGGAGCTTGCCAGGCTCTGCCATTTGGGTGGGATACTCTTGGTAGCTTGCTGGGCTCTCCCAGAGGGACAGAAGAATCGAACCTGGATCAGCTGCATGCAAGGCAAACGCCCTACCCACTGTGCTACCGCTCCAGCCCCACTAAATATTGGTAAATTTAATTCTATTTCAAATAAAACATAAAAACTCGTGTATGACTTAGGAATTTGGAAGCAGAACAAGTGTGGGGTGGAGAGGTAGTACAGTGGATAGGGCATTTGCCTTGCACGCGGCCAACCTGGATCCGATCCCTGGCAGCCCCAAGTTCTGTCCGGAGTGTTTCCTGAGCTCAAAGCCAGAAGTAACCCCTGAACACAGACAACTGTGGCCCCCAAAATCAAATAAAAATAAAACAAGGGACCAGAAGGAGCTGCAGAGATAGTATAGTGGATAGGGCATTTGCCTTGCACCCAGCTGACCCAAGTTCAATCCCTGACATCCCATATGGTGTCCTGAGCACCACCAGGAGTGATTCCTGCGTGCAGAGCCAGGAGGAACCCCTGAGTATGCTGGTTGTGTCACCTTTTTCCCCTCCCCCCCAAAAAACCCTAAACCCACAAAGAATGGGAGGGATAGTTGGGTTAAGGCAGTTGCCTTAGACACCCTGATCTTGGCTTGACCCATAGCACCACCCTAACCATCTTCAGGAGTAACGCCTGAGCACAGTGCTAGGAGCAGCCCCTGAGCACTGCTGGGTGTGGTCCCTTCCAACCATCCCCCCAAAACACTTGCAAAAAATAAAAAAGACCCCCTAGGAAATGTTCAATAGAACTTCATCATGATTCTAACCTATTGTCACTTTTTTTTGGGTGGGGGGTATCAGGGATTGGGGAGGGGTTGGGCCACAACCAGCAGTGCTCAGAGCTTACTCCTGGCTCTGCACCAGGAATTACTCCTGTTGGTGCTCAGAGGACCATATGGGATGCTGGGGATGGAACCCAGGTGTGCTATTGTACAAAGCAAGAGCCCTACCCTACTATTATTCTGCCCCTACTGTCACTTTTTTTTTTTTAAGAGTGGCAATGATGTTACTTTATTTTACCTTATTTCATTTTGTTTTTGGTTGGGGGCTGCGTCTGTCAGAGCTCTGGGCTCTTCCAGGCTCTGTGCTCAGGAGTGATCATAGGTAGTGCCGAGATAAATACTCAGATGTCAAAATGAAAGTAGCAACTTTAATGTAATGTGAGCTGCAACCAAGATCTCATGTATAAATACTGCAGTTTTCTGCATATTTTGTCATTTGTTTTCTGTGTCCTTCGGTTCCCCAGTGCTCGGTACCCGCTGGCCAGCTGTGGGTGGTGCTGGGCCAAAGCCAGTCCTTCTGCGGGCGGAGCATTAGTCCAGCCCACTGACCTCTCTCCGACCGCCACTTAGTCCTTTGTTAGCAGAAATGACTAAGTCCAATCTTCAACTTTCTGGGCTAAAATCAAAAGGGGCCGGAGTGAAAGTACATTGGGTCAAAGTTGGCTACTTAGTAAGCTCCTAACTGGCCGTGATCCAGAGATACACAAACAAATCTCGGAACCAAGCAGCTGGCTGCAGAGACCTCACCAGACCTTGATTATAAAAATTCTAGAATCCCAGGACTACTATATGCTATCCATAACAAGCAATACAAAACAAATTGTCTAGCATTGCCTTTTCGGCAGGTTTGAGTGGTGGTGAGACTGGTGTCGAAATATTGAATGTAATCAAAGTAGAAAGAGAGAGTATTGTGAAAACTGTCTGCTACACAGGCAAGGAAAGAGTTGGGATGGGGGGGGGGGGGCGTGATTTTGGGGATTTTGGTGATGGAAAATGTGCTCGGATGGAGGGATGGGTATTTGATCATTGTATGACCAAAACTCAAACATGAAAGCTTTGTAACTGTATCACATGGTGATTCAATAAAAAAAAAAATTAAAAAAAGAAAGAAAGAAAATACAGTGGGTAGGGCACTTGCCTTGCATGCGGATGACCCAGATTCAATCCCCAACATCCCATATGGTCCCCGGAGCCCGCCAGGAGTAATTCCTGAGTGTAGAACCAGGGGTAAAACCTGAGCATCAGACCTTGTGTGGCCGAAAAAAACAGAAACCAAATCAAACCCAAAAAGAGTCAGCACCCGAGGCATCTCAATAACAAACCAACCAGAAAGAGAAGAGAGAAGAGAAACAAACAAACAAACAAACAAACAAGCCCATGTAGCCTACAGCCTTTTCACAATGAGCAGCAAAACACTCCCAGTTCTTATTTGATTCACCATCAAGATCTGGTCCCTGATCTCTGAGGGGGTAGAGATCCCGGGGATGAAAACCATCTAAATGACACTCTGGGGGGGCTGGAGCGATGGTACAGTGGGTAGGGTTTTTTCCTTGCATGCAGATGACCCGGGTTCGATTCCCAGCATCCCATATGGTCCCCCAAGCACTGCCAGGAGTAATTCCTGAGTGCAGAGCCAGGAGGAACCCTTGTGCATCGCTGGGTGTGACCGAAAAAAAAAAGCAAAAAAAAAAAAAACCCCAAAAAATGACACATTCGGTGCTGGCCCAGGCTGGCCCTGTGGTTCTCCCGGACACCAGACTAGGCACATTTGCCTGAGGGTGGGTGCTGGGTGGGGAGGGGTTGGAGAGCACAGAGGAGAGGGGAAGGCCAGTGAGGAGAAGCTTGTTAAGTGTGATTACTGTAATGATGGTGTCCTCCTGCAGTCACACCCAAATTCCATCTATGACAAAGTTTCCCTTTCCTGCCTGACAGGTTTATAGTTGTGAGTTCATGTTCTTCTGAGAAGTATCTCTGTCCTGTCTGTTTATGTGAAATGCATCAAGAGGCCCGAGGATTAGGAAATATCGTTAAATCTTCCAGGACACCTGTTTTAAGGAAGCAGGACACGAAAGAAGCAACTAATGTGTTCTTTTTTTTTCTTTTTTTTTAATTTTTTTTGCCTTTTGGGTCAGACCCGGCAATGCCCAGAAATTACTCCTGGCGATGCTTGGAGGCCAGATGGAATGCCGGGGATCGAACCTGGGTTCGCCGTGTGCAAGGCAAACGCCCTACCCGCTGTACTATCACTCCGCCCAACTAGTGTGTTCTTGCCACAAGAGGCGTTCGCTATTTTCTCCCACTAGTGGGTGCTGCTGAGAGTCGCTTGGGTGAAGCCAGTCGGGGCCAGGGGTCGGTCACCTCTCCGTACCTGAGACTCTCGGCACTCTAACTGTAGGCACACAGGCCAAATGAGTATGGTTGGAGCGGTTACCACGACAGGGAAATGAAAATAGAAAACTCCAATCAGAAGCTGAATGCTTCCAAACGCAGCTAAAGAACTTGTATTGTCCTGTATTTTCATGCTGTTGTTGGAGTTAAACTCACCCGGTTATAGTTTGCAAAGGAAGGAAGGAGAAACTATGAAGGCCCAAGTCGCAGGGGAAGGAAAAGATGCCGGAAACTGGCCATGTAGGCTCCAGAAAGATCATGCAAGATTGTGTTTCTCTAAAGGTTAGCTAGAATAATGTCTAACATGATTCCCCTGCTCCTGCCCAGAAAAAACTGGGCTATGGATTCCCTAAAATCCATGGGGAGTTCTGATAGTCCGTGCCACAGTAATTTGTTTCAAATGATACTTAATGCTGTGGGTGGTTGATGTTCTGTTGCCCCTTTAATGGAGTTGGAGATTAACTGATTTATGACAAGATCCGTTTACGTATAGAAAATATATTTGACGTTTATTAGCACCCCAAAAGTAGGTTCCCGATGAGGGACTGAATGGACCCAGGGCAAGCTGTGAGCTATGTGCTACCCTGGCATCGAAATGGGCCAGGCCAAAGTGCCATAATGCTTAACTATAAGTTAAGAGCTTGGTCATGGACAGATGCTGTCACGATCCTAAGAGTAACAGCTGGATAAGGACTCTGCTAGGGTTAGGAAAGACTAATCCGGCATGAGCACTGTAGTCTGAGATCTATAGCGAGACGTCCCCAGGACAGCCACCCTACAAGCTCAATGTATCTCTTACTGCGTACACTCTGTGATGGGTACGCAAAGTCAGTTAAAGAAAAGTGGGGAAAAATTACATGAAAACAAAAGGAGTTTGGGATTCCAGATATCCCATTTACCCTCGACAACATGTGAGTATCTCAGCGCTTTACCCAACCACTGCCGGGGTCACACGAGGCAGGGAAGGTCCGAAAGGGCTCAGTACTGGGGGCTGGACATTGCAGCTGTCATGCATTCCTTACTTGAGTATGTGGTGATATTGAACTTTTTCTCGTACTGTTCTCGGAGCAGCAGTAGTTCCTGGGAGGGCCATTCCAGCTGTAACCTCTTCTCCACATCCAATGGGAGGGCTCGAGATTTGCAAATATCTGCAACTGGAAAAGATTGAGAGAATCTAGGTGCCTAGTGAAAATGAGTTAGCTCCTGGGGCTGGAGCGACAGCACAGCGGGTAGGGCATTTGCCTTAAATGCGGCTGACCGGGTTCGAATCCCAGCATCCCATATGGTGTCCTGAGCATTGCCAGGGGGTAATTCCTGAGTGCAGAGCCAGGAGTAACCCCTGTGCATCACCAGCAAAAAGCAAAATAAATAAATAAATAAATAAATAAATAAAAAGAGTTAGCTCTTCGTCTGGCTAAAAGAGGATCATTAGGATTCTGGTAAGTGGAAGAAGAAAGGCTAACAAACACAAGATGATCTCACTTATCTGAGGTTTCTAGAACACTGAGGAAATGTACTGCAGTAAAGGGGGAGGCCTAAGTTGCCCTCGATCCCAGTGTTTAGAGAGGAGAGGGGCAGAGAAGGAAAGAAATCCAGGGGGGAAGAAGAGAACGGGAGAGAAGAGGTGAACAGGCACTGGGGCTTCAGTTGTATGGATGATATGGGAGAGGGGTGTGGCCGTATATCCAAACACCGACTCAACAACACGGAAAACATGACCTCTAAGCTTCGACCAGTGGAACTCTGTAATGTGCCTGTCAAGTTGACAGGAGGGGTGGGGAGAGAATATGGGGACACTGGTGGAGGGAAGGTGACACTGATGGTAGGATTGATATTGAAATATTGTATGCCCAAAGTTCAACTACCAATAACTTTTTTTTTTTTTTTGGATTTTTGGGCCACACCCAGAGATGCTCAGGGGTCACTCCTGACTCTGCACTCAGTGATTTCTCCTGGAAGTGCTTGGAGGACTATAAGGGATGCTGAGGATCAAACCCAGGCCAGTGGGTGCAAGGCAATGGCCCTCCCGGCTATATTATTGCTCTGGTCCCAACCACCAGTAACTTTGCAAATAGCACTTCATTCATTCATTCATTCATTCATCATCCTGTTAATCGTCGATTGCCTCGAGCAGGCTCCAGTAACGTCTCTTTCATCCTAGCCCTGAGATTATAAGTGCTATTGCAAATAGCACTTACTTAACATAAAATTTTAAAAGAGACTCTGGTAAGTGGTTTTAGATTGGATGACTATGCATTCTATGGCACATGTCACCTCTGGTGTCCCAATAAGCCACCATCCAAACCTGGGTAGAGCACAACAGGCTTCCTGAGAAACTCATGCGTGTGCTGGGGACAGAGACACATGTGGGGTGGAATTTAACAGTTCAGACTGTTCTTCAGACACTGGCACTTGTGAAGCCCAGGGAAGAACCCACCCTCAGCTCTCTTATGGTTCACATCCACAGACTTGTTGCAGTGAACTCCCTTGGCCTTGGGGGCGTTTCTCTGGCCCTCGGGATAGGAGAGGAAATGCTGACTTGTCTTCTCTCCAATTTGGCCTCCCCACACACGCGGTGATCACAACATGCGCTCTTGGAAACTCTGCCAGTGACATATCATGCAAAATGAGCTTCTTTATCAGCAGACACAGACAGCCTGGCTGGCCTGCCAATGGCTTTCTTCCCTGGGAAGCAGCCCAGTCTGTCTCTCTGGCAGCCAGGGGCTCATTGATCCCCGTGCTCACAAAGGAAGTCTCAGGGACACGTGGGTCATGCAAGTCCCATCCCCTGCCCTGGCTCATGAGGGAGAAATCAATCGGGAGCAGGCCTGCTTCCCGTCTAAACTCATCTGACCCACTGAACCCATGTGACCGGTGGGGAAAGGGCCAAGTCTGAACACCAGTGATTCCAACTTGTGATGCCCAGAGAATTCTCCCACTTGCCCCTCTTCACAGGTACTGAGCCCTTTTAAATGGCCCGGCCTCAGCTGCACAGTTGATCTCTGCAGAGACGCCAAGCCAACACAACTCCCAGCTACAAGGGTTTGAGGCTTGGAAACTCCCGGGTCTTCTTGGCAGCCTTCCCCAAGCCCTCGTACTGCTGGAAAGCCAGGCAACCTCACCCATATCTGCCATGTAGACAGACCAGCTTCACAGCTTCACAACTAATCTTGGAAGAGGTGGCAGCCAAGCCAGCGAAACTCCAGAGTACACCAGTCTTCAGGCTGAAAACTCTGGGGCCCTTTTGGGAGGCAGGTGGGCTGTTCTATAGCTCCCGGAGTTCCTGAAGCATGTGGCTGCAAATGCCTCCAAATTCCACAAAACCAACAGCTCAAGTAGGAGCATAGCAAATTGGATCAGAAAGTAGCACAGAAGCCCACTGAGCTCAATAAGCAAAAACAATCACCCAAGGCTCAACGAGCACCAAACAGCTCAGCAAATCTTCAGACAATGACCTGAATAACCCCATTGTGAGATAATAACAATTTTCACAAACTTTCTTTTACTGAACTATTTTTGACAATTCCACTTACCATTTGGTTGTAACAAGCACTGTAGCACTAGTACTGTCCTCCCGTTGTTCATGGATTTGCTCGAGTGGGCACCGGTAATGTCTCCATTGTGAGACTTGTTGTTACTGATTTTGGCATATGAAATACATCACGGCTAGCTTGCTAGGCTTGGCCGTGCGGGTGAGATACTCTCAGTAGCTTGCCAGGCTCTCCAAGAGGGGCGGAAGAATCAAATCCAGGTATGCCTCGTGCAAGGCAAACGCCCTACCCACTATGCTATCGCTCCAGTCCCTATATATAAAATAAATCATTTGGGGCCAGATGAAGGGGGCAAGTTTATGGGGGAGGGTGGGAAACTGGGGGCAGTGGTGGAGGGAAGGTTTGTTGGGATCGGTTGGAATACTGAATGTCTGAAAACACTGTATTATAAACAACTTTTCAAACCAAAGTGTTTAAAGTTTTAAAAATAAATTTAAGAAGTAAAAAAAAATAAAATTTTTAAAAGAAATTTAAAAAGAAAGAAAAAAATTACGATTTGATGGTGTTCGCTTCCGTTACCAATGACGTGCCAACACTTCCCATTGAAGAGAATGAGGCAGGGGACTGGTGTGATGGTCGGGAGCACAGGAGTCCGAGTATCGCCTGGGTCCCAACACCAGAGCCCACACCCCCAGCAACACCAGGACTGGGTCCCCACAAAAGAGCAAATGGGAAGGAGAACAGGTAATAGAGGAGAAATTTAATATTACTCACAAATATATACATTATTCACATTATTATAAATCAAGGATATATACTGTGTGTGCATGTGTGTGTCTGTGTGTGTGTGTGTGTGTGTTGGGTCACAGAGAACTTTACTCGGAGGTCACTCCTGCCTCTGTGCTCAGGGGTCACTCCTGGTGGGGCTCAGGGGACCATATGCAGTGCCAGGGATGGAACCTGGTTAACTGCATGCAGGGCAAGTGCCTCAAACTTATACTATCTCTGGCTGCTGTTTTGGTGTTTTTCTTTGTTTTTGGGCCATGCCTGGTGGTGCTGGGATTTACTTTTGGATCTGTGCTCAGGGACCACTCCTGGTGGGGTTCAGCAGACCAGATGGGGTACCGGGGATTGAACCTGGGGTGGTGTAAGGCAAACGCACTACCCGCTGTACTATTGCTCCTACCCCATTGTTTATAGGCCACACCTGGCGATGCTCAGGGGTTACTCCTGATTTTGCACTCAGGAATTGCTCCTGGTGGTGCTCAGGGGGCCATATGAGATGCCAGGGATCGAATCCAGATTGGCTGCATGCAAGACAGTACCCCATCCTCTGTACTCTCTTTCTAAGCCCTGCTGGGTTTGTGTTTCCCTTCCTCCCCACAGCTTCCCAAGAGTCTCCAAGACTCCAGCCACAGAGCCCAGCTGCGTCAGTCAGAGATGGTCACTGGCTGGACGTCTGCAGCCATGGAACTGACCCCGGGACCCAGGAGACTGACAGGCCGCAAGCAAGGCTTGCCACTGACTGCTTCTAATGAAGGCATGGATGTAATTTCCATCTGAAGAAGATGTAACTTTCCACGTAAGCTTAGGAAAGACACAGGGCACATCCTCCTGTCCCTCCGGCAGGGTTCTCCAGGAAGCCCGGAGAATTTCAGGGTCACCATCACCTAAAGCATCTACACGAACCTAAGGGATTTAGGCTCTGATTCTAAAATCAGAACCTAATGTGGAGGCCCAAGGATCTGAATATCAAAGCTCATGCCAGTAACCATGTGTAGGCACGTGATTTTTTTGTTGTTGTTTGGTGACACACCGGGCCGTACTCAGGGCTTACTCCTGGCTCTGTGCTCGGAGATCACTCCTGCTTGGTTCCAGGGCACCACATGCGGTGCCAAGGATTGAACCCAGGCAGGCTACACGCAAGGCCAGTGTCCTGCCCACTGTTCTATCTCTCTGGCCCTTAGATTTTGAGAACCACTGCCTGATAATTTTTTTTCTTTTTGGGTCACATCCAGCGATGCTCAGGGGTTATTCCTGGCTTTGCACTCAGGAATTACTCCTGGCGGTGCTTGGGGGAGCCATATGGGATGCCGGGGATCAAACCCAGGTTGGCCTCATGCAAGGCAAATGCCCTACCCGCTGTGCTATCGCTCCGGCCCCCTGATAAAATATTTTAAAGTCCATTTGTTTGGGGAAGGAATCCCAGGCAGAGGCGGGGTGGAATACTACCCGCACAAGAAGAGATGAGATCCTTGCAATCCATGGTGAGGTGAAAGGAAAGAGAGGGTATCATGCTGGGCGAACTCAGTGGGAGGGAGAACGACAAACACAAAATGAGTCTCTCTTCTACGTGGCACAGAGAGACACACAACAATGGCAACAGAGTCTAGGAGTCAGCTCACACAACTACAGAGTTGGCCAAGGGTGTGTGTACATTGGCGGGGGGGGCTGGGGAAGGGGAGGGGACTTTGAGGCTTGGGTGGAGGGACGCAGACACTCTGGTGATGGGGTTGGAATTAGAAAATTGTATTTTCTATTCTCTGGGATTGCTAACTGTGCTCTCAGTCATTGCACTTGAAAAATAATTGGAGGGGCTGGAGCGATAGCACAGCAGGTAGGGTGTTTGACTTGCACACAGTGACTCGGGTTCGATTCCCAGCATCCCATATGGTTCCCCGAGTAATTCCTGAGTGCAGAGCCAGGAGTATCCCCTGTGCATCGCCGGGTGTGACCCAAAAAGCCAAAAAGAAAAGAAAAAGAATTGGAGAAAACTATATTTTCAGAAGCAGAATATAGGGGCCAGAGAGATGGTTCAGGTGGTAGAGCATATGCAAGGCCCTGAGTTTGATCCCTGATTATCGGGTGGCCTCCAGGAAGCCTGAGGCACAGACTTGGGGGTCCCCCAGGCACTGTTGGCTGAGCCCCATTTCATCCCTCAAGAGCCCTCTGGCCTGCACTACCCGGCAAGCATGACTAGGGGTGGCCCTGATGAGAAACTCTTGCATCTCTGTGGGAAACTGCCCGTCTCCACTCTACCTCCAGAGCAGGGCTTCCCTTCTCGTTGTCTTCTGCTGGAAACGCCCTTCTGCTCAGCACACAACTACCCTCTGCCTTTCTCTACACATCCTGCCCTGAAGCCACAAGCTTGCCCCGCTGAGGGCACAGTGACCCATCAGCGATGCTCAGAATAACCCTCTTCCATGTGCTTCCCTGCCCGGAAACAAGGCGAGGGGGCCACACAGCCAGCCCCCTGCTCCCCGCCCCCCCTTTGTCTCCCGGCTCAGTGGGAACCTTTCCCCTCTCTCGAATCGTCAGGGGCGAGTGATCACACTTTTTCCTGAGAATGCTCATAACCGATTCAGGTGCGTTCAAAACACATGATTTTGTCATCGAAAGGATTTACTCTATAGAAAACGGTAAAGAGTTGTCTCCAAAAATAAACAAGCCATCCAGGGACTGGAGCAATACCACGGCGGGTAGGGCGTTTGCCTTGCACATGGCCGACCCGGGTTCGATTCCCAGCATCCCATATGGTCCCCTGAGCACCTCCAGGGGTGATTCCTGAGTGCAGAGTAAGCCCTGAGCATCGCTGGGTGTGACCCAAAAAGCAAATAAATAAATAAATAAATAAATAAACAATAGCACAGCAGGTAGGGCGTTTGCCTTGCACATGGCTGACCTGAGTTCGATTCCTCCGCCCCTCTCGGAGAGCCCGGCAAGCTACCGAGAATATCTCGCCCACACGGCAAAGCCTGGAAAGCTACCTGTTCAATATGCCAAAGACAGTAACAGTAACAACAACAATCCATGCAGGGGTATGGCTCAGTAACAAAGCACATACCTTACAAGCACGAGACATAAGCACCCAGCACCCAACACACACACACACACACGAATAACAGAGCTATCAAGCTATCAGATGCCTTCAGACTCCACTCCTTCGCATCAATACCATGAACACAAACATAGGTTCAATACATTTGCTGTATTCACCGCAAATGAAAAACACTAAGAAATATACAGGCTTGCTGTATCACCGCAGGGCTATTTATATTAGTCAAGATCAGGAAGCAACCCAAGTGCCAACAATTGATGCGTGGATCAAGAAACTGTGGTCTGTAGACACATGGAATATGACTCAGCAATGAGGAAAGATGAACTCTGCATCGTGCTCCCACACACGGGCAGCACTGCAGGGTATCTATCCTGTTAACCGAAATAAGTCCGAGGGAGTGGGACAAACACGGGCTCATTTCCTCGTCCGTGGTCCAAACTAAAGCCAGGGCGTGCACTGACACACAGAAACGAACCCTTGCATTCTGAGAACACCCCTGGGTGCCCAGGGCCAGGCAGAGGACACAGGGCAGGGAGGGGTGGGGAGGACAAGCATTCTGCTAAGAGTCGATCAATGACCAATCTTTTGTTTTAATGAAAGAGCAGAAAGTTTTACCTTGGCTGTCTTGAGATTGCCAGTAACTTTTCTCTTCGGAGGTTGCTTCCTTCTGGGGATCAAAAATCAGAAAGTCCGTCTTGGTGCCTCCAAACCTCAGGTATGCCGGAGACAAGCCTCTGGCCAAAGTCTGGAGCCTCAGAGAACTGTTGCGAAGAAAGCAAGAGACACACGTTACTGCTCCTTTGTCAATGCAGTTACACAGGTCTATGCCCTTCTCTCTGGGAACAGAATTTTAGTATCTAGCTGCAGAATCTGTAGAGTGAGAAGTCAAATTTCTCCAAGGGGGCTTGGAGGGGCTGATTTCCATCTGAATCTTGCAGATTGCTGCAGGAAGGGGAATTTGGTGCTCTAACTCCGGCAGGAACTTCCGTTTGAACCTGATGGGCAGCAAAGTGCCCAGGGCTTTCAGAAAACTCAAACCTGATGGCCTCGAGGCTAAGAGCACCTGCCTGCAGCCGAAGGTCACAGCCCAACCTGAAGACAGAATCCACGAGATGCTCAGGGCTTCCCCCCAGCTCTGCACTAGGAGTCACTCCTGGCAGTAAGGGACCATGTGGGATGCATGTGGGGTGCAGGGATGGAGCCCGAGTAGGCTGCACTCAAGGCAAGCGTCCGGCCCGCCAAGGCAAGCCAGGAAGTTGTGACCTCTGGCAAATGCATGTGTGGGCCACACAGCAAACCTGGCCAGCACCACAGTCTGACACCCCAGGGGGAAAAGGTGGGGGTTTGGCTATGTGGGGAAGCAGATGCTGCGTGCATGAGACCTGGAAGGAAATCCCAAGGAAGGAAAGATGGGAGGGAGAGGAAGAAAAGAAGGAAAGGAATAAAGGAAGGGGGAAGAAAAAGAGAAGGAAGGAAGGTCCGAAAAAGAAAGGAGAAAGGAAAGAAAAAGGAGAGAGGAGAAAGGGAGGGAGAGAGAGAGAGAGAGGGAGGGAGTGGGAGAGAGAGATCTATCGGTCCACAGCTTGTACAATTTCTGGTCATTGCAGCAACATGAACAACAAAGAAGAAAATGGAAAGGGAATTTAAGAAAAAATGTTTCTTAAAACCTCATAACCTTTTAAAAAATTAGTTTATTGCTATAAAGCTGTTCCTGATTGGACTTCAGTCCTACAGTGTTCCAACACCCATCCCTCCCCCTGTGCACATTTCCCACCATCAGTGTCCCCAGGTTCCCTCCCATCCCCCCACCCCACCCCACCAAAGTGTTTTATAATTGATGAAAGAGGTAAGAAAGTAAAAACTATAGGCAAGACTATACTGTTTCTCTGAAAGATAGATTATCTTCAATATTTTGACTCCAGCAAAGTTCATAAATGATTGAAGATTGGGCCAATCCAGGTTCAATCCCAACTCCTGGTGGTCCCCTGGGGAATGCCCGGGGGCACTCCTGGGCACAGAGTCTGGAACAACCAGACTGGGTATTACTGGGTATTGCTCAAAAAAAAAAATTAGAATTCCTCCTCCCCTCCATAATCTCCCTTTTATGGAAAACCTTTTCAAATGTAAGCCACATAACATAGAACTGTAGAAAATTCTAATTCCTTGAATCTGAAGAATTTTTTTTGTTTTGCTTTCTTTTCATTTGCTTTTTGGGTCACACTCAGCGATGCACAGGGGTTACTCCTGGCTCTACACTCAGGAATTACTCCTGGCGGTGTTCGGGGAACCATATGGGATGCTGGAAATCGAACCTGGGATAGCCGTGTGCAAGGCAAATGCCCTACCCGCCGTGCTATTGCTCCAGCCCCTGAATCTGAAGAATTTTAAATGTGAGTCTCACCAAGCCCCAGGTGCTCCTGACAATACCCATCATGTGCTCAGTATAACACTAAATGTGATGGACTGGAATCCTAGAGATTCATAGATTCCTCTCTCCCAGAAAGACGAAGATATCACCAATTAAAGCAAACACGCGGGGGATGGAAGTTGACGCTGGTGGTGGTATTGGTGTTAGAACATGATATGTCTAAAGCGTAACTCTCACTAACTTGTAAATCATGGTTCTTTAATGGTTAATTTTAAAAAATCAAGCAAAAAAAAAAAATGAAATGAGTTGGAGGGAAAGACATAGAATGATCGTAGTCATTTTCGGGATTAAAAAAAAGAACCACTTAATACCTCTACTGCAAGTCACAACACCCGAAAGGAGAGAGAGAGAGCAAAAGGGAATGCCCTGCCACAGAGGCGTGGTACTCTGGTTGAACTCGGGTTGGCCACGGTCAAGGCAAGTCCCTTATCTCTCTGGCTCTGGCGTCTTTTTTTTTTTTTTCTTTTTGGGTCACAGGAGTTATTCCTGGCTCTGCACTCAGGAATTACTCCTGGCAGTGCTCAGGAGACCAAAAGGGATGCTGGGAATCAAACCCTAGTTGGCCGCGTGCTAACATCCTGCCCGCTGGACTATCGCTCTGGCCCCTGGCTCTCGCTTCTTGATTTGGACTCAGTGAAAGTCAAAAGGCAGGTCTGCCTAATCAGACTATCTCTATAGACAGATAAACACCTAGATAAATACCTGCCACGCTGTCGATGCTTTAATAAATATTTGCTAAGTATATTTGAACAATGGAGCCCAGCGGCTGCAAGGGCAAGTGAGGGCAAATGTGCAGAATGAAAACGCAGCCCGCCGCCCCTGTCGCCCGAGAAGGACAATCCCACGTTTGTTTCACAGTGCTGGAATTAAGGACGTGGCTTTGTTGTCTTCTGCGCAATGGAACCTTCTCATGTTGTGAAAACAGCACGCTGTTGCCCTCCGAGGACAAAACCCAGTTTAAAACAGCTGTAAAACATGTCAAAACCTACAGGTGATCAAAGGCACAGAATTTCAGTAATAATAGACAGGAACAGGAAAGGGAAAAAAAATCCATCAGCACAAGGACATGACACACAACAAACTTAAAGGCAGTTGCGACCATCCGTTTCCATAACAGTCGTGGCGGGAGCCTAGTCTGCAGATATTTTTGTTTGACATTTGACGTAAAAATGAGCTGAGCTCAGGTCCGACCCCAGGGCAGAATGTGCCGGCCGACGTGTCTGGGCCGGTGCCGGCTGACAGGGCCGATTGTTCAGATATGAGGAATTCTGCGGACTAGCCATAACTCTGTGGGCCACTGCAACTGGCCACAGCACGAGGATTCATCCCACAGAGATCCGAAAAGGGCACGTCTTCAACTCCCCTCCTCCCAGAGAGCCACCCATCTGTCTAGGTTGGAAGGCGCCGTAACGGGGAGTCAGTCAAGCTAGCAAGGGACAAGAGCACGCAGGAGATGGTACGAAGTTAAGATGGCACATGGCTGGCTCGTAAATTGTGAGGAATAAAAATATTTAACTACCACAACAACCAATGGAGAGAGAGAACAAAAGGGAATGCCCTTCCACAGAGGCAGGGTGGGATGGGAGGGATGGAGGGGGAGGGATACTGGGATCCGTGGTGGTGGGAAATGGGCACTGGTGGAGGGATGGGTATTTGATCATTGTATAATTGAAGCCCAAGCACAAAAATTTGTAAGTCTACAACCGTACCTCATGGTGTCTCACTAATAAAAATTAAAAAAATAAATTAAAAAAAAAATTAGGGCCGGAGCGATAGTACAGTGGGGAGGGTGCTTACCTTCTCACACAGCCAACCCGGTTCAATCCCCGGCATCCCATATGACCCACTGTGCACACCCACGGTGATCCTGAGTGCAGAGCCAGAAGTAAATGGCCCAAATACCACTAAATTAAAAAAAAAATACTTTTAGGGCCAGAGAGATGGTACAGCAGGTAGGACTGCACACGGCTGACCCGGGTTCGATCCACAGCATGCCACCAGAGGTCAGAGTCCCATTGGAGTGATCCCCGAGAGCAGAGTGAGGAGTAAATTTTGAGCACTAGCGGGTGTGGCCCCCCAAAAGAGACCAAAGCAAACCGAACAATGACCTGACTTCTGGCAGGGCGACAGTTGGTATCAGTTCCTTTTATTTTCCCTTCTTACTTTTTTTTTTTTTTTGCTTTTTGGGTCACACCCGGCGACGCACAGGGGTTGCTCCTGGTTCATGCACTCAGGAATTACTCCTGGCGGTGCTCAGGGGACCATTTGGGATGCTGGGAATCGAACCTGGGTCAGCTGCGTGCAAGGCAAACGCCCTACCAGCTGTGCTATCTCTCCAGCCCCTCCCTTCTTACTTTTGCTTCCATCTGCTCAGCTCAAGCCATCTTTGTCCATCTAGACTTCTGAGGAACTTTGCTGACATAAGGCCCTTCTCACCCTCCACCCCGGGAGCCACCAGCACAAAGGCACAGCAGATCCCGATGGGCTAAGTCTCACTGAGGGAGTATCAAGGGCTTCTAGAAAGTGCTTGAAGATGCCTGGGGGACAGGGTGATGTTTTGTAAATAAGCAAAGCAGCGTTTGGCGTTCATAGGTGGAGAGGGCTGGAGAGACAGGACGGCGGGTAGGGCGTTTGCCTTGTCCATGGCCAACCCAGGCTCCATCCCTGACATCCCATGTGGCCAGGAGTAATTCCTGAGTGCAGAGCTAAGAGTAACCCCTGAAAATAAAAGGTGGTGGTCGGAGCTGGGTCTGCAGAGTTCAAGGCAGGATTAAGAGACTTGCTTAAGGGCCAAGAGAGTATCCTCGCTATTGTAGACTGAAGAGTCCCCATGTACTTAGATGTGGGTTAAGTACTTGGTTCAACTGGCAGTCAATCAGGACTGGAGATGGGCGGGATATCTGGGCCTGTGGCTCTGGCAGGAACCCCCAAGCACCCTTCCTTCATCGGGAGCGGGGGAGCAGAGTGCCACAGCGGGAGAGGAGACTTCTCACTTCAGCACAAGGTCACCTACTGGGCCAGGGCGAACACCAAGTATTGCTGGGAGTGATCCCTGAGCGCAGTTAGGAGAAGGTTCCAAGCACTGCCCAGATGGCCCAAATCCCAAAGCAGAAGTCATTTAATCCGTCTGTTCTCAGCAAGGCGTTGAGGGTCAGACGCTCTCCAGTCTCTTCCAATCAGCTTCCTATCGCTAAAGAGCTGAAGGGCAAAGATGAGGACTGCTCCTTATCAGGAAATTCTCTCTTTCCTGCCAGGAGTTTAGGAGTTTAACACACACACACACACACACACACACACACACACACACACACACGCATGCGCGCACAGGTGCGTGGGGGTGGGGTGAGAGGGAAACTGGGAACATTTGTGGTAGGAAATACACACTGCTGTAGAGAAGGGTGTTGGAACATTATATGCCTGAAAACCAATCATGAACACAACTTTGTAACTGTGATTCTCACTATGATTCAATTAAAAAAAAAGTACATTAGTACTAAAACATTAAATAAAACACACACACATACAGAAACTGATGGTTAATAGATGCCTTTTCCCAGGATGCAACAATTTATTTAAACATTTTTCTGTGTCAAAACCAGAGCGCTAAACACAGCGTCTATTTTTTTTTTTTTTTGGCTTTTGGGGTCACACCTGGTGATGCTCGGGGCTACTCCTGGCTCTACACTCAGAAATTATTCCTGACAGTGCTTGGGGAACCATATGAGATGTTGGGAATCAAAACTGGGTCAACCACGTTCAAGGCATACACCCGGCCCCCACAGTATTTCTTCTCTCGTCAGGCCAACATAACCATCCTACACAAAGTTTTTCGAAGCTTCCTTATCTAGAAGAGGACACAGAGACGCAGGAATGCCACAGGGTTTGTCAAAACCAAGTTGCTCAGCTTGGGCCGGGCTGGGAATGAGGACTGGGTGGCCTGGTGGTACCCATCTCTCCGATACCCGGCTCCCTGCTTGGATCCGCAGACTTGGACCGTAAAATGAGCCATGGCCGTGAGCGGATGGCCTCTCAAAGATGTCATGGAGGTGTCTGTAACCCCACAGCTGTGCAGGTCACTGGGGTGTGGCGTCTCTGTTCAGCAGGGCCAGGGACCCCCACACCTGCCCTGCTCCCGAGGTTGGGGTCAGCCTGCAGGGGACCCAGGGACCCAGTGACTTTGCACCAGATTCCATCATTCTGACGTGCAGCTTCTTTCGGAGAGATTGTTTTCTTAACATTCTGGGAGTCACTGCAGGTTTGATACTTCCTATCGGGGTCTCTACTCTTCTCTCAGCCACAGTGCTCAGTGCTGACTACCTGGGTGCGGGAGGGTGTGGGGTGTGGGGTGGGATGTCTCAGCAGGTCAGGCGAGAACCTCAGCCTCTGAACTGTCTCTCCAACCCCAACGGTTAGTTTGTTTTCTTTTTGGGGAGTTCTGTTTGCTTTTTGGACCACACCCAGCCATCTCAAGGGTTACTTCTGGCTCTACACCCAATAATTACCCCTGGTGGTGCACAGGAGACCAGATGGGACGCCCTCCGGTGGAACCCGGGTTGGCCACGTGCAAGACAAGCTCTACCTGCTGTACTACCACTCCTTGCTTTTATTTTTAATTGGGTAATAGGAGAGCGGTCAATTTTACTATGAACCTAAAGGCCCTCCCGTTGATCGTCGATTTGCTCGAGCGGGCCCAGTAACGTCTCCATTGGAGACTTTGTTGTTACTGTGTCTGGCAGATCGAATACTCTCTGTTGCTTGCCGGGCTCTCCGAGAGGGGCGGAGGAATCGAACTCGAGTCGGCCATGTAGGCTGCGTGCAAGGCAGACGCCCTACCCGCTGTGCTATCGCTCCAGCGCCCCCATGAACCTAAAACTGTTCTTAAACTAGACTGAGCTAAAAAGTAATCCTGAATCATAGAACTGGTACAATTCTACAGCCATGCTGCAATGCTTATTCTGCTTGAGGTCTTTTCCATAAAATCATCATAATCCTGGGCCTGGAGAGGTAGTACAGTGGGCAGAGCACTTGTGTCAGGGTTCCATCCTAGGCACGGTCCCTTTCATCCACCAGGGGTGATCCCTGAGTATAAGTCCTGAGCACCCCAGGTGTGCCTCAAAATCAAATCACACACACACACACACACACACACACACACACACACACACACACACACGAAGAAAGAAAGGAAAATCTTCCCAATAGAATTGAAGTGCTGGAAGCCTGGTTCAAATCTTCCAGTGCCACAAATTCCAGCGCTCACGGACTTGCTCCTGCTGGTCGCTCTGAACGCCCCTGCTGGCGCCTGAGAAACTTTCAAGTAAATGTCCCCGAGATGCCTGATCTTAAAACGCTCAGACACAGTGCTGAAAGGATGGAGGGAGAGGGAGCGAAGGAATGAGGGAGCAAGGGGGGGGGGGGGGAGAGAGAGAGAGAGAGAGAGAGAGAGAGAGAGAGAGAGAGAGACAGCGAGTGAGACAGAGAGAAAGAGAAAGAAAGACAGAGAGAGAGAGAGGAGAGAGACAGAGAGAGAGTCTGGCTGGGCAGTAACAGAGAGAGAAGAGAGAGACAGAGACAGAGAGGCAGAGAGGCAGAGAGGCAGAGAGAGACAGAGGCAGAGGCAGAGAAACAGAGGCAGAAACAGACAGAAACAGAGGCAAAGAGAGGCAGAGGCAGAGAGACAGAGACAGAGGCAGAGACAGAGAGGCAGAGAGGCAGAGACAGAGGCAGAGACAGAGAGGCAGAGGCAGAGACAGAGAGGCAGAGACAGAGGCAGAGACAGAGAGGCAGAGACAGAGAGACAGAGAGGCAGAGAGGCAGAGACAGAGGCAGAGACAGAGAGGCAGAGGCAGAGAGACAGAGAGGCAGAGACAGAGGCAGAGACAGAGAGGCAGAGACAGAGGCAGGGACGGAGAGGCAGGGCGCGGGGTCCCCGCCGTCGCTCACCCCAGGAAGGCGAGGAACTTGGGGTGCGTGGCCAGGTTGGCGTCCAGGGTGACGGACAGGAAGGCGGGGCCGGCCCGGCGCAGCGGCCGCGCGGTGTCCAGGTGCAGGCGCGCCGCGTCCCCGGCCAGGGCGCCCAGCAGCGCGGGCAGCAGCAGCAGCGGCGGCGGCAGCATCGCGGCCCCACCTGGCTGCCCGGGCCCTGCCCTGCCCGGCCCGGCCGGCCTGGCCCCGCAGGGTCCGCCCCGGCCCGCCCCCGGCCCGCCCCGCCGCGCACACCCACTTCCTCGCCCGCGCCCCGGAGCCCGGGGCCCGGGTCCCTCCCGCAGCGGCCGGCAACGCCCCGCCCGGGTCCGGCCCCGCGAGCATCGCCCCCCGCCAGCCGGGCACCCGCGCTCGGCATCGGACTCCGAGCCGGGCCGGGGCGGCGTCCCCCAGATGCCAGGTCCCCTTAGCGACCGCGGGGTCACCTCTGCAGGCTCGCGGGGACCCGGGCTCTCCGCGCGCCGGACTCCTGTGGGCCGAGCTTTCCTGCCGTCTGTCCTCCTCGATCGCATCCCCGGGATGGGGACCGGGGATGGGACAGCGGGGAGGGCCAAGGGAGCGACTCCTGTGCGCGGAGCCAGGAGTGACCCCCAGCAACGCATCGCCGGGTGCGCCTCCTCCCCTCTCCTCCTCCTCGCCCCCCAGAAGAACGGTGCGCTTAGGATTTACTCAAGAGTATCTTCTCTGTATTCTCTCGGATTCCAACAAGCCCTCTGCCAAGTGCCTGATACCCTCATTTTGCAACCCTATTCTGCAACAGAACCGCACCCGAGGGTCGTTTCACTGGAGGATCAGCGTAAGCGACAGCAGGCCAGGCCGATGGCAGTGTCAACTAAGATGCAACAAGTCTTCTCCCAAGAAGCCTTCCATGAACTGTCTCCGGGTGCTGGGGTTCCTGCTGGCGCCTTCTCACTTCAGGGAACTTGCTAGAATTCAGCGCGGTATGACCAGTGCTCCATATTGCCCTCAGCTGCTCCATCATCCATTCCATGGCAGCAAAGTGGTGGTGGTTCTTGTCTACTGCATGGGTGGAGCAGGGGGCACTTAGAAGTCACCTAGTGGACATTCGCTCAGTAACCAGAGGACACCAACAACTGTTGCAGAGAGCTAGTGCAGGGGTAAGGCTCTTGCCTGGCACGTGCCAACTCTGCTTTCATCCCTGGCACCACACACAGTCCCCTGAGCATGCTACAAGTGACCCCGAACCCCAGAAGTCCCCCAGCTCTGCAGTTTGGGGCTATAATTGGTGTTGGGGAATGCGGCTGAGGCATCCTGGCCACTATACCATCTCTCCCAGTTGCTCGACCATCACTCACACAGGCCTCAGGTCTTTGCTGTGGTTGGGCAAAGTCCATACTTATTTCTTTGGAGCATTTGTGTCACTTGAAAAGTGCAAGTTTTCTGTTCGTGAGTTCCCGTGACCTCCCGAGCAGTGGACAGCCAGTGTGGGCAGTCCTCACGTGAGTTCCTAATACGGAAACTGGGAGAACATCAGTGAGGAAGTGAGAAAACAAAGCTTGCACGAGGGACAATCTTTGGGCTGAGATGAAACAATATTTTAGATCCTGGACCCTAAGTTGCTTTGCTTGACGATGTCCAGGTGACACAGAAGGAATAGGTGAACAGCAATAGGGATTGTCATGGCAGAGACACCATGCAATTAGACACCTTGTTTTAATCATATTTGCCAAGTATGAAGATATTCAAGGTATTCTTTTTTTTCTTTTTAAGCTACACCCAGCAGTGCTCAGGGCTTACTCCTGACCCTGTGCTCAGGGATCACTCCTGGCTGGCTTGGGGGACCATATGGGGTACTGGGAGTTGAACCTGAGTCAGCCGTGTGCAAGTCAAATGCCTTACCTGCTGTCCTAGCGCTCAGGCCCCGAAGATATTCTTTACCCGGGAATAACTACAAGCTAGAAGTGGTGCCTCCAAACCATTCCTGTTTTACAATAAGAAGGGGCAGGTCTTGACTCATACAGCTAGACGATACCTGAATGATGGAGCGTCAATGCTGTCCATTTCTTACAACCTAAAGAAAAATATACTTAAGAAAATGAGCTGTTTGCAGTTTAAAAAGTCACCCAGGCATTGGGGCGCTCCCACAATGGAATGCTGATTCCAGACACCTGGCATTTACAGGGCCTCGGGGAACCCTCAAAAGCAGTGCTCAGGGAGCCCAGTGCTCACTCCCAGTGGTACTCAGTTCAGCTGTGTGGACTGGTCACTTTGGTGCTGGGCCCCGGGACGTTGGAGGCTCTCAGGCTCACCAGGACCATACCTGTGGGTGCAGCGGGCACGCACCTGGCATACCCAGGGCATGCACTCCCGCCTTCGAGATGTCTCCTTAGCCCACACCTATTTTCATAACAAGCTCTAGCCTACAGACATCTCAGTTAGAGCCCTTTGGCAGGCATCCTAGTTTTATAGCTCGGAGAGGGTGCGGGATCTGGTGTGGAATTTTTTTTGGGGGGTCACACCTGGCAGTGCACAGGGGTTCCTCCTGGCTCTGCACTCAGGAGTTACTCCTGGCGGTGCTCAGGGGACCATACAGAATGCTGGGAATTGAACCTGGGTCGGCCGCGTGCAAGGCAAACACCCTACCTGCTGTGCTATCTCTCCAGCCCCGTGGAATCATTTTTAACCTCCCTCAACTTGAGGTAAGTGATTCTCAACTTCCGCATCTGTAAAGTGAGGGGAAAAAAATCCATATTTCCCGATGCTGCCTGTGCTCAGTTGAGTCTCCATTTATATCTCTGATGCTCGGTCCCGGAGGGAATCTGTGTTTTCTTCTGTGTATTTTATTATTTGGGACCTGATGCCCAGGTCTTTTTTTTTTTTTCCCCTTTCAAAACAGAAAATATTTTATTTTTTAATACTTTATTTTTAATATCCATATTTTTGATGTCTCTTGAGTTCATTTTGTGTTTGGTGTTACACAATGATCTTTCCCCCCAAACCGTTTGTTGGAGAGTTTCCTGCCCGTCAGGAACGGTCCCTGAGCATCACTCAGCCCCGTCCCACCCCCAATGCATGCAGGTGTTGGGGTTGTCCAGATACTCTGAGACACTTGGTTGGTTTCTATTTTTTCTCCTTTTCCCCCTTCGGTTTGGGCGCCCCACCTGGCCCTGCTCAGGGCTTACTGCTGACTCTGCGCTCAGGGGTCACTGCTGGCCATGCTCGATGGACATGGCATTGAATGCATGCAAGGTCTTAATCTCTGTCTCACCTCCGCAGCCCGCTTCCTTGAGATTTTAAGTGGAGGTGCTATACATCTGACTTACTAGATTTCAACTTATCTAAGAACTTGGGAAGGTTCTGTGTGTTCAAGCAGCACTTGGAAGGAAACACACATGTGTTGAAAGTGTTGAGTAGAGTGCTGAAAGGCTTCGGCTCCACCCAGATTCTTCTGGAGGTGAGTTTGGACACTGGAGCACTTGTAAAGAGTCATGCTCTCAAAGCTGTCATTAACTACTTGAAAGTTTAGCAAATACTTTAGTTCTGAATAACTTGAACACCAACTTTTAAAATGAACTTTATCGATGATGTATAAGCAATCCCCACTTTTTCCCTCCCTCCCTCCCTCCCTCCCTCCTTCCCTCCCTTCATCCTTCCCTCCCTCTCTCTCTCCCTCCCTCCCTCCCTTTCTTTCCTTCTTCCTTTCTTTTCATTTTTGGGTCATACCCAGTGATGCTCAGGAATACTTCTGGCCCTGCACTCAGGAATCACTCCCGGTGGTGCTCAGGGGACCATATGGGACGCCGGGGATTGAACCCCCATCAGCTGCGTATAAGGCAAGCACCCTACACACTGTACTATCTCTTCGCCCCCCCCCCCCCCGCTTTTTCTGAGACCTAATACAAAATCATTGTATTTGCTATGTGAGACACCTCCCTCCCCTCCCTCCCCACCTCCCATCTGCTCAGCCTCTTAATTCTAGCCCTTAGTGCAGCATAGAAACCTACACATAATCTGTCCCATTTAGTTGGGATTCACAGCCGTGTAAATTCCCCATACATATGTAAGTAAGAGTGCGCTACCCCCAAGCAGCAGAACTTTCTACACAAATGGGACCTTCTCTATCACAAGGACGATGTCGATCCATATTGTCGCAATGGAGGAAAGGTGTTTTGAGCCCGCTGGGAGGACGGGCGGGGAGGGAGGACTCCAGGGATGAATGAGGCTGGAGTGTGCGCCTCTGACCCCCAACCACTGATGTATGGCTTTTGGACCTCAGCCCCCAGCTGAGGAAAGTAGCCTGGAAACACAGAGGCCCAGTACTGAGGCCAAGGACCAGAACCCGTCTCCACCAACCCCCTTGAGACCCACACCAGAACCTGGGCCCCACGGCCACCTCGCGGCTGTTTCCGCCTTGGCCTGCCTATTTCTTCTACCTGGGTCCTTCTTTATACCCCGTTTCCAAGAGCAGAGCTTTTGGAAACAAAAATTTCCTGCCACTAAGATCTTATTTGCCTGCATCTGCTAGAATTATTATGCGTGAATTATTATGGTGCCTTAGAGGCTTGACACGTCGATGTCTCTTTCAAGTTGCCTCATCCGCACCATGAGCAGGACTTTAGCCACCCAGAGACACCCAGAATTCTATTTTTTATTTACCTCATTAGTGGACCTTTCTAGTTGTTTTTGTAACTATTCTCAGAGAAGCCATATCATACTGCTTGGCTAAGGAAAATGTCAAACCTATGTACCTAATGTAGGTTATTTCAAGTCGCTAGATGAGGACATATTTGTATGCAAATAGCATCATTTTCATATTTTCTTTCTTTCTTTTTTTTTTTTGTGCCATACCTGGCAGTTCTCAGAGCTTACTCCTGGCTCTGAACTCAGGGATCACTCTTAGGGAGTTTAGGGGACCTTATAGGGGTTCTGGGGATCAAATCCCGGTTTGCTGCTTTCAAGGCAAGTGCTCTAACCACTGTTTTATTGTTCTGGCCCCATTTTTATATTTTCTATCTTAGTTTTTAATCCCCATCCTCTATGCCTCTCCCTTTCTGCTCTTGTGATGTTAGGGGCTTGCACACACTCCTAGCTGCGAGGTTCACACATATATTCTTTTGGTGGGGTCATATTTGTCCCTCTTTTTTAAAAAAAAAATTTTTTTTTTTTAATCGAATCACTGTGAGCTACAGGAGTGATAGTACAAGGGTTAGGTAGGCCTCTTGCCTTGCATGCTTCTGATCTGGGTTTCATCCCCGGCACCCCATATGGTTCCTTGACAGGTGTGTATGTATGTGTGTGTGTGTGTGTGTTTGTGTGTGTGTGATTAATTTGCCTATACACCAGATATTGTATTGATTTGGTTTAAAATTGTCACCCCATTTTATAGAAATATTATTAACATTTTAAGGCACATAATGTGATAATTTGCTATGAGAATCTACTTGAAAATCATTGTCTCAACGAAGAAACTGATAGCACCAGACCCTCATTTAATCAGTGTGTGTGTGTGTGTGTGTGTGTGTGTGTGTGTATGTATGTGTTGGGGTCAGGGCTAGAAGTCCCAGGGAGAATGTGATGGGGCACATTTCCTAGCAAAGCCCTGCATGCTGGACGGGGTGCCGCTGGGAGTGTGTACCCCCAGCACTGCTGGTCGAGGCCCCTAGGAAATTGCATCCTTGCCAACTGCCAAGTATGCAACAGCGCTGCTGATCACAGTGCCTGTGTTCTCCACTAGAACCCCAGAATTTCTAACTGGAAGTTTGCTTCCTTTGACCATTGCTCCCCATTTCCCCACCTTTCCACCCAGCCCCTGCCAGATACCCTCTCACCTTTGTCTTATTTAGAGCCCAGGTATAAATGTGAACATACAGCTTTGCTTTGGAGAAGAAGAACCAAACTGAAGAAACTAAACTCACGTCTTCCAGATTGTACATGCTGGACACTGCGGTACAATAGCTTGAGCTGCATGTTTAATTGCTTTGCTTTGCTTTCTCAGACTAAAGATGATATTACTAGAACAAACAAGAGAGAATGCATGAAAGAATACATGAGGCTGGAGTGATAGTACAGCGGGGAGGGCATCTGCCCTGCACACAGCCAACCGGGTTTTATCCCCAGCACTCCTAACATCCCCTGAGCCTACCAGGAGTGACTCCTGAACACAGAGCCAGAGTAATTCCTGAGCACAGAACTACGGGTAAGCCCTGCTGGATGTGGCCCCCGAACACCAGAGAATCCATGGCCAGTGGTGTGGTACAGACCACCCTGAGCAGAGTCTGTCCAGCACAGCCTGGGATCTTTCACTGTCCCCTCTCAGCATCTCTCTCCCCATGGGAACTTTGGGCAGGAAGTCCTGATTCACAGATTGGCTCGTTCTGGGCAGTGAAAGGCAGAGATGAGCTGGGAATTGTCATCTGCTCCACCTGGGCCTTCCAAAATGGCAGGCAGCTCTGACATCTGCATTTCTCACGGGCATCCGTCGAGCTCAGCATTCTCACGTGGGATCTGTGCTAGATCATGCCAGTAGCTGGCTCCTGTGTTATCATGGTCTAATGGTCTGACTCAGATAGGAGGCTAGAGAGATAGTGCCGTGGGTAAGGAACTTGCCTGGCTTATAGCCGACTCTGATACTGTATTTGGTCCTGAGGGCACTGCCAGGAGTGATCCCTGAGTGATCAGGAGTAAGCCCTGAGCATCACTGAGTGTGGTCCCAAACCAAAAACAAACAAAAAAATAACACTGTTTGTTAGTATATGGGATGTATCTTAGACTGGAGAGAATCATTCAGTATTCACAAATAACTATCAAGTCATCTCTTTTTCTTATCTGTAACTAGCTATCTATACTTGAGCTATAAATCTTTCACTGTATCACTGTCCTCCCGATGTTCATCGATTCGCTCAAGCGGGCCCAGTAACATCTCCATTGTGAGACTTGTTACTGTGTTTGGCATATCGAGTACCTCACGGGTAGCTTGCCAGGCTCTGCCGTGCGGGGCGCAATACTCTTGGTAGCAGGTTATATTTATTATTGTTCTCAATTTTGGGTCACACCTGGTGTTGCTCAGGGATCACTCCTGGCAGGGCTTGGTAGACCATATGGGATACTGGGGATTAAAGCTAGGATGGCTACATGCAAGACATGTATGTGCTATTGCTTCAGTCCAAATAATCCAATTTATTGGAAGGCATAGGTGAGAAAATAATTAAAGATCTGGCTACAAAAATAAATATGTTGAGGGGTCGAATTTCATTTTATGGTGGACTTTTTTTCCTTTTTGGTTTTTCAGCCACACTGGTGATGCTCAGGATTTACTCCTGGCTCTGCATTCAGGGGTCACTCCTGGCGGGCTTGGGGCACTACTATATGGGGTGCCGGGGATCAAACCTGGGTTGACTGCATGCAAGGCAGGCATCCTACCTGCTGTACTACTGCTCAGGCCTGTGAGGTGGGCATTATAAATATTTGAGCAGAGAATTCATGTGTAGGTATTGAAGAGGATGGATTCTTAGTGGGAAAGTTATTGGAAATATGAGTGAGAGGCATATTCAAGCACATACACAGTTCTTAGAATATAATTTAAAATGTATTTTTGTATTTTAAATAATGGGGAGTGTTTAATAAAACATATATGCAATAAACTCATATTTGAAAATGCTCAGGTAGTTTTATGCCTTCTCAGTGGGAGAGGCCAGCAAGCCAGGGAAATCGGAAGGCAGTCTCAGTAACTCTTCTACCTCTTCTTGCAAAGCCTCCGCTTTCTCATGTAACAGCATCTAGAATGAAAAAGAACCAGGAGATGAGGCTAAAATATACAACGCCAGAGAGTAGCTAACATTTTTATTATTGTCCATTAGATACCTGAGTCATCAGCATTCTAGGCTTAAAGCTAATAAGCGGATTGAAAAATGGCCACTTGAGAACAAGATATTATAGCAAATGAAACGAAGGCGTCCGTTAGAGCCATTTCAACTGCTTGTGACCTCTGGCAAACCAAAAATAAAGGAGCTTTAATACTCTCAAGGATTAGCCTTACTGATGACTCAGCCACTTAAAAAATTAACTTCTGACCTATAAAATCAAAGACAATTCCACAAAAATTTAGCTTTTGAAAATGTATTCCTTTATATATGCATTTTTATTATTCCTCAAATATCAGTGTGCTTTTAAAGATCTACCAGTATGTCAAAGAAAAATTTCATTTAGTCACCTAAAATTAACATGGCTAATTTCAAGAGAAATAACGGGCAAAGAAACTATTTATAAACATGGCACATAGTAGATATCAACGATTATTTGCTGAGTAAGGATTTCCTCCTTTCTTCTAAAGTAAAAAAAATTAGTCTTAGCTGCAGCTATTTTTTGCCTATATTGAACTATTTATACCAGTTCTGTTACAAAATTTCTGTAATAAAAAGTTAGGAAAAGCACATGGAGGAAAAACTTAAATGTAACAAAGTGAAAAAGGTACATATTACCAACTTGATATACTGCATAGCAGTATATATGAAAGAGGTCCAGGTGTAATCAGGGAAGCTTTTCTGTGGGTGATCATGTAAAAATAATCTCCCAGCACATTCTCGAAGTATTACCATGGTGGGCTACAAAGTAGGGGGCTGGATAGACAGCAGGTAGGCGCTTGCCTTCCACACGGCTGACCTGGGTTCGATCCCCCACTCCCCATGCAGTCCCCAGAGTCCCACCAGGAGTGATCCCTGAGCACAGCCAGGTGTGGCCTCCCCCAAAATAAAAGAAGAGGAGAAGAGGAGGAGGAGGGGGCGGTGGAGGAGAAGCAGGAAGAAACATAGTAAGGGAATAACAAATTACCAAAGGCAACAGAACATGAGGACTGACTGGTTTACAGAGCTGAGCTTGCCAAAGGCGGGGGCTGGGGGGGGCGTGCTGGGGGTGGAAGGAGGGAGCACCCTAAGACTGGGGAGAAGAAATGGGCACTCTGGTGGGGAGTGTGGTGTTGGCATGTTGCACACATGAAACTATCATTTACAGTACTGCACAGCACAGGGCCTCAAAAAACGTTTCCACAAATCAACAAGAACAAGTAGATAATTCTTCAGAACCTGTATTAAACCATTAGAAACTGTAGTTAAAAAAAAAAAATCCACCGATTTTTACAGCAGAACCATTTCTCAGGTTCCCATTCCAAATAAAAAGCTGGAAAAGAAGGGAAAAAAGAGGGTCTACGAGTTACTACAATCACCCTGATTAAGAGAGGCTGCCCTCCTCCAAGAGCAGACGAGAGCACTGTTTGCAGCAAGGAACAGGAGAATGTGGAGATCGAGAAGGAGGCTGGGAAGGACAAAGCTTCTGGGGAGGAGACGGGGAAAAGGCAGAGGGGCCCTTTGAGAGCTGAGAAGTGAGGCAGCAAAATACAAAGGGGAAGAGGGGAATAAATGACAATACTGGAGATCAAGAGAATATCGCAGAAATCAAGAAACTCCTCTTTGGAGGCGGCAGCGATAGTACAGTGGGTAGGGCATTTGTCTTGCCTGTGGCCGACCTGGGTTTGATCCCTGGCATTGCATATGGTCCCCCGAGCGCTGCAAGGAGTGATCCCTGAGCGCAGAGATAGGGGAACCCCTGAGTACTACTGGGTATTACCAAAAAGCAAAATAAAACAAAACAAAAAAGAAGCAGGCACTCTCTGTCCTTGCACTCCTCTCACACACCAAGTCATCCATGATAGAACTAAACCGTGAACATGAACCCAGGAGACTCTGAGTCAGAATTCTCATAAACCATTCCAGGAGGTCATCACTGTGCAAGAAAAAAGGCAAAGGCATAAGCTGTCCTCAACTGTGCAAAACCACCACATAAAAACAGATTAAAAAAATCATGAGTGCATAAAATAACAACATCAGACTAACACCCAAGGACAGTAGAGACAAGGGCCAGGAGTATTGCTCCATGGTTGGAAGCCTGCCTCATGAGCTGGGGGAGAAGGCAGCTGGAATAGAGACAGGATCACTAAGTCAATGATGATTGGAGGGATCGCTTGGGATGGGAGATGTGTGCTGAAAGTAGATAAAGGACCAAACATGATAGCCTCCCAGTATCTGTATTGCAAACCATCATGCCAAAAAGTGGAGAGAGAGTAAAAAGGAAACTGTCTTCCACAGAGGCAGGGGGAAGGGTAGGTAGGAGGTGGCGGGAGGGATACTGGGGACATTGGTGGTGGAATGGGTGTTCGCTCATTGTATGACTGAAACTCAAACATGAAAGCTTTGTAACTGTATCTCACAGTGATTCATTAAAAAAAAAAAACCAGTCATGAGTGCAAAAACTAGCACAATATTCTAAACTGAATTAAATAAATTCAAAAAAGCACCTGGGGATGTGGGGGTTAGGGGAGACACGTGCCCTGTACTGGATGTCCCAAACTAAGAACAGAACCAAGGAAATAAAATGAAAATTGAGTAGACTCAGGAAAGAGTAGACAAATTCAGATCAGAAATAAAAACTAAGAGGTGCTGAAGGAAGAACAGAATTGACCAAAAAATTCAGTATTATTGAGAGAAAAAGAAAATTAAGAGAATGAAACGGAGCTATGATAAAGATATGCCCTCCAAAAATTGTTTTAAGTTCAAAAATAAAATAGGGCCCATGAGAGCATGGGGTTTGAGGCACATGCCCTGCATGCTGTTGACTTCAGTTCAATCTGGACCACCACCAAGTTCCCCGAGCATCGCTGAGTCCAGTCTTGGGGACCTCAGGACCAGTAGGCGTGTCTCTGGATCCCTCCAAAGCATCTAGCTGAAACCTTCCAGAATAACTGTGCCACAAAAATATAAGCAAGGTTACATCACTAAATTTAGAAATAAAATTTTGTTAGGTCACAGTATGTACCTGGAAAAATTAGGACATGGTCAGTATGAGTTCATGGGCTCGAACAGCTCACACCTGCATTGAGAAAGAAACAGACCAGGTGCAGGCAGTCTGGTGAGAGGACTCTGACAAAGGGACAATCGTCACCGTCAGGCCGGAAAGCCCAGGCCTCACACATGGGCTAGAAGTACCCTCTGCACAAAGAGGAACTAGGGCACCCCAGAAGAAGGCCCAATTCCATGGCTAATGGGGCCTGGAACAGCCTGTTCTTTCTTAACATCACTGCTTGCCAGCACCCTTCATTCCCAGGGGAAATACAGCTGAACATGGAAACCATTCTCCTCTGTCAACAGAGACAGCGCCAGGTGACAGTGCAGGCCCAAGGGACAGCAGGAGGAGCAGGCGCTCTCCCAGGGCCCACTACGCCGTACCTGGTGGTCCTCACAGTAGTGAGTTTCAAAGGCACCCCTGCACAGAGTTTTCTGGAAGTTCCACAGTGCCCAAGCTGGCCTCCAAGTTCCAGGGAACCTGCCAGGGTGCTTCCTGGCAGGCTTGTAGGCACCCTCAGGAGCAGCTTGCCAGCCTTGGCTATAATTCTGATGCCAACACACCTGCCATTATGGCCATGAAGCCTGAATTCCATCTGCCAAGGGGGTGTGGGAGAGGCTGGATTCTCTCGCAGTTGGGGTTTATTTTTAAAGCAATGTAGGTTTTATTCTAACTTTTTTGGAAAGCTATGAGGAGAGAGAGGGAGAAGAGAGAGGTATATATATATATATATATATATATATATATATATATATATATATATAGAGAGAGAGAGAGAGAGAGAGAGAGAGAGAGAACACTCTGGCTTCTGGCTTCTCTGGAGTAGAAACAGGCGTAGAAACACTGAGACCAGCAAGCGAGGTCTGTTCGGGAGAGCGCGGCTGGAGATTGAGCCTTCTCTCCTCGCATTCTTTAAAGCTGTTTATCCCGTACAACCCACTGGAACCCTCAGCTGGTTACAGTTGTTGCAGCCATTACATCGCTATTAAATTTTCTTGTGCAAATTACCAGGTGGTTTTAGACTCTGACATATAAGGTCGGAAAGCAAAAAATATCCCAGTTATGATTAGAACAGTAAGAAAATACAGGAACCAACTTGCAGGGGCTTAGACGGGACAAATCTGAGGTCATGTGAGCATCAAAAGAAATTATAACAGTGGAAGCACACTGTTTTCAGTGACTGGGAAGAAGAATTTAAGAAGCTCAATTGCCAAGTGATTGGTGCTTCTGTAGAGTCTCACTTTTGTCACCTGGCATGGATCAAAATGCTCAAGAAACGAGGAGGACTGGGGTTCAGGAACGTTCCCTTGGGGTTGGACCCCGGGCGAACCGGTGCTCAGGATCATGGTGCCTTAGGGGCTGATGCAGGCATCTCTTCCAGGGATCTTTGTATACTGACGATAAGGGCACCTTTCGGCAGGTCCCTGTAAATGACCTCCCTGTTGGCCACTCCATGGATCAGTTCAGGCCTGCCAGTTCACTGACAAACATGGTGAAGCGCACCCAGCTGGCTGGAAGCCTGGTAGTAACAGCATCAGGCCTGAAGTCCCGAAGAGCAAAGAATACTTCTCTAAGCAGAAGCGAGCCCTGGGCCACTGTTTGGGGACTGCAATAAGCAGTCATAAGAACAAATCTCTCGTTGCTCTTGTCATGCTTTAAACATGAGACCTTAGACTTCCCCAGATGTGGTTTGGGATTGGCGCAGTCTTTCCTGTAGGGGTTGGGGAGGGGTCATCTTCCTCGCCTGGGTGTACTTTGGGGCAGGACAGCTGATGAGCATAGTAGGTACCACCTTTGACCTTTTGTAGTTTCTAGTAAACTTGAACTATCACCTTGGGAAAAAAAACCCACCTGGTTGAAACCTGGCATTACATGGATCCTGAGTACTGTTGGGAGTGATCCCTGAGCACACGGCCATGAGTAGTCCCCAATAAATAAAACAAAAAAGCCAACAACAAAGAGGAACTTCTGTGTGAAAGGTGGGGGAGACAGAAGTCCATGAGCACCAGAGGGCTCTATAATTCAATGGCTCCTGAGATGACCTACTTTTAATTAGTGTTTTTATTTTCCTTTATGGAAAATCTTATACCATAACAGATCAAATATTTTTATTCACATATTGCAAGTGTATTCTTCTGATTCTACAATTAAAAAAAAAACTTTTGATTAATGTCTAAGGTAGGGGTTGGAGAGACAGTACAGTGGGTAGAGTGCTTGACTTGCATGCAGTTGACCTGTGTTTGATCCCTGGCATCCCATATTGTCCCTTGAGCCCTGCCAGTAGTGACCCCTGAGTGCAGTGGCAGGAATAACCCCTGAGCACTGCCCGATGTAGTTAAAAAAAAAAAGCATACAGATAAAATAAATAAAAATAATGTCTAAAGTATAAGACGATAACTTCATAAAATACCATAAAGGTTAAAAATCAATTTGCTTGCTTACCTTTGCTGATGATACAATTTGCTTGGCCTGGCGTCTCGACAAATGATCAATTGTCCTTATTAGTTCTTCAGGATTTGCATTAGCTAAGTGCACTAGACTTTTATAACCAGCACTGTATAGCTGCTTCGCTCGACCCTAGAATTTTAAAAAAAAACAAAAAAAAGTAAAATAAAAATTTATTAGAAGGATACTTGCAGCCTTGCACACAGCTGACCCAGGTTTGATCCCCAGCATCCCATAACGTCCCCCGAACACGACCAGGATAATTCCTGAGTGCAGAGCAAGGAGTGTTGCCGAGTATAGCCTCAAAACTAAAAGAGCAAACAAAAACAGAACACCAAAACTAAACCAAACCAAGGGAAATGTGAATCTTGATGCGAATCCTTTAAAGGACGGTTCCTATCTGACTGCAAGAGCACAGAACTTTCTAGGCGGCCGGAGCCAACTTGCTGTGCCTAGTCAGGAATGAGAAACTGATGAAGTACCTTCGCTAGGGTTATCTAGACTTGGTTAGAAATGGCTGAGAAACTAGCTGAGGTCTCTTTTTTCCTTACTGTCAGGGAAATATTTGTTGTTTTCATTAAATTGCTACTACTGTGAACCCTGAGTCTAAAGTGAGAGGTCATTCTTTGATTTTTTTTGGCCACACATGGGGGTGCTCAGGGTTTACTCCTGACTCTGTTCAGGGATCACTCCCTGCCCGCTGTGCTACTGCTCTGGCCGCGCATAGAGCAGGGCAGGAAGAGTGCGAAGGAGAAGCCGTTGCACATGTACTTGAGAGTCATCTTTACTTACAGTGATCCCCTCGCACCCCACCCCGCAATGTGCATTTTACACCAGCTTCTTCCAATCCATCGTGGACTTGGGGAAGGCTGTGATGACGGTTTATTTAAAAGATGGGAGTGGGGGTACCCATGACAAAAGAGCAGTAAGTATTGCCACTTATCTCGTGATAAGGCTTCAGAAAAGAGTAATACCTGGTTTTCCTGATGAACTCACTGTGGCTGGGAAACTGGAAAGCTACTAACCTCTAAAACTCCAGACACTTCCATGAGAGGGATTAGCTCAGCCTTTACACAGTACGTCAACTTCTTGGTAAGTTCTACCAAAAGGGCTCTGTAAACCCAAAACTCCTCCAGCTCCTACAGGGAACAAAGAAAGACACAGGATGTAGAGCTGCTAAGTTATTTCAAAGTCTAGTTTGTGTGGTAGGAGCCTCTGAGAGGTAAATGATGATGAAGCAAAACTGTTAACATAAAACAAGGCAGAAACTGATGAATTTGATGAATTGATCTGGGGATGAGGGAAAAAAAAAAGATTAGAAATTGAAAAATGACAATAAGTTGTTTTGATTATTAATCCAAAAATCAGAAAATGAATGCAGTTCTCTTTCCCAAATCACTGAAAACAATTTCTACTCTTGAAATTTATATTAAAATATTAAGTATGGAAGCATCAAAATGTAAGATGCTATTTAGTATAATAATAAAAAAAAGAGTTTAGTGGGTAAGGCCTTGCGTGACATGAACCCAATTACCCACGTTCAATCCCTGGCACCACATATGGTTCCCTGAGCACTGCAGGGAATGATCTGTGAACGAAGAGCCAGAAACAAGTCCCGAGCACTGCCAGGTGTGGGTCAAAAACCAAACCAAAACAAAAAGAAAACTTTAGCAAAAAAAGTGAAATATGACAAATTTCTGATAATTGTAAAATATCAGTTATGGAAGTATGAGACTACACCATGCAATGATTTCTGCTTCTCTAAGGTGTTAGTTATATCATTCATAGGGCACCAAATCTACCTCAATAGAAATATATCCTTTTAAGAGAATTAACTTTGATTTGGTTTTTGGGCCACACCTGGCGATGCTCATGGGTTGCTCCTGGCTTTGCACTCAGTAGTAACTCCTGGAAGTGCTCGCTGTAGCCCTGAGAATTAATTTTTAAATACATGAAACCACTACTAGTAGTTCCAAGGGTAGGGCACTCTTTTTCTACCTGCTATATGTTTTTCTACTTTCTATGTGCTTTCTACTAGCTCATTATAGATTTTAGTTGATTCTGTCATTTTGTTCCTTTGGCATAAGCATGTAGTATTTTTGTAAGCAACATATAGGGGGCTGGAGCGATAGCACAGCAGGTAGGGCATTTGCCTTGCACGCGGCCAACCCGTGTTCAATTTCCAGCATCCCATATGGTTCCCTGAGCACTGCAGGAGTAATTTCTGAGAGCAAAGTCAGGAGTAACCCCTGAGCATCGCCAGGTGTAACCCAAAAGCAATACACACACACACACACACACACACACACACACACACACACACATCACGGTCCTCCCATTGTTCATCGATTTGCTCGAGCAGGCCCAGTAACGTCTCCATCATGAGACTTGTTACTGTGTTTGGCATATTGAGTACATTATGGGGAGCTTGCCAGGCTCTGCCGTGCGGGTGAGATACTCTCGGTAGCTTGCCGGGCTCTCTGAGAGGGGCGGAGGAATCAAACTCGAGTCGGCCATGTTGGCTGCATGCAAGGCAAACGCCCTACCGCTGTGCTATCGCTCCAACCCATATACATACACATATATATTTTTTTTAAATTGATTTTTTAGTGCTTTGTAATTGCAGAGTGAGTAATAAACAAACATGAATTGGCTTATAAGTTTAGTAACAGTTAAAATAGGATGCATGAAGCAACTGTTATCTATTTAGGGGAATTACCTCACAAAAATGTAACACACAAGATGAGAAGGTGGCCGCTCCGGTCAGAAGGCTCTGTATATATCCTCGAGGCATATTAAACTTCTCAGCCACACTCCAAATGTTGGTGTCTTTCAGCAAAGTGTAAAGAACAAAAGACAGGTACAGTCTGTTGACAATGTCCTTGTCCACCTTCTACATAAGACACAACCAGATACACTTAAGTATTAGAACAGTTAAACATGTACATGACTTCTGGGGCCTGATAAGATAGTACAGTGGGTACAGCGTTTGCCTTGCACTTGACTGACCCAGGTTCGATCCCCAGAATACCATATGGCCCCCAAGTATTGCCAGGAGTAATTCCTGAGTGCAGAGTCAGGAATAACCCCTGAATATTGCCAGGAGTGACCCAAAAAGAAAAACAAAAACAAAAACAAAAACCATGTACATGACTTCCAAACAGGACAAGAGCTCACGTGAATGAAGAAGGGTAGAATGGTTTCAGTTATAACTGCTTCCAATTCATATTATCTTTCTTTCTACAGGGTGAAGAGTGGGTTAAATTATATCCTGCCTCAACTCCTGGTACCCATGAACATGATCATATTTGCTAACAGGGCTTTCATAGACGTATTTAGCCAGGGATCTCATGACGAACTCATCCTAGATGCCTGCAAGAACAGTGGGCTCTTGAAAGCTATTCAATAACTGGATCCTTAAAAGAACAGCAGTGGGCACCATGTGACCCAGAGAAGCGAGGTCGTGAAGACGGGTCCCAGGTAGGGGCTGCACCTACAAGGCAGGGGACACCAGCAGCCAGGAAGAGTCTGGAGGGTTCCTTGTGCAGTGTCCGGGAGGAGCTGGCCTGGGCAGCAGCGTCACTGCAGACCCCAGAGAGTGTGTTTCTTGTGTTCTACCCGTCCAGTGTGTCTGATTTTGTCATGGCAGAATCCAGAGATAGAGAAGCTGGCGAGAACTTCACGTGACTTGGTATTCAGATGTTGTACATGTGAGATTGGGATGATAAATTAAGCTATTTCAGTAATTGTGTCCAAAATATGTAAACTAAGTATAAATAAAGTCATGTCTAGAGAAAGGTAAGCTAACGTAAACACAAGAGCTTATGACTCTCAACAGTCACCCTAAGGAACACGGCCACAGTCAGAGAGAAAATGCCCATAGGGGTGGTCTCTATACTGTGGGTCTGCTTCTCCTGCGGTGGTTAAAGACAGATTTTGTGTAAAACATAGTAGTTCATAGCTAATGCCAAGCTAACCGAGACAATGAATAACTTGAGTTTAAGATCAGAGGGAAAACAGAAGGGAATTTCAAAGAGAAAAAAACCCCAAAAACCCAAATATGAAATTCTATCCTCTACTCCAGTGAAACTTAAGAATGGTCTATTGAAATCTGTGTGAAATCACGATTCTGTGTGAACTCGTGATTCTATACTCACGATTCTATGCTACAGGCTCACTCTTTAAAAGCATGAGGCTGAAACGAATGACTGTTGAAAAAGTAAGAAAAGATGAGATTTTAAATTTCTCAACTTACTTGTATCTTCATTATTAACTATAAATCAAGTCACTTTAGATTTTATTTAGTATGCTTTTTCGAAAAATGATAAAAACATACAGTATGGCAGATGATACCTGGATGAGATGATTTATGTGAATTTTAAGATCCTCTATAAGAAATATTTTGCTTTGTTTTTGGACCATATTCAGTGGAGCTCAGGACTTACTCCTGGCTCTGTGCACTGGGATTACTCCTGGCAGGGCTGAGGAACCCTGTGTGGTACTGGGGATTGAACCTGGGTTGGTTGTATATGAGGGAAGTGCCCTATCTGCTGTATTATCCCTCTGATCCCTTAAAGAATTCTTCTTTTGGGGCTGGAGCGAAAGTCCAGTAGGGATGGCGTTTGTCTTGCATGTGGCCAACCCAGGTTCGATCTCCGGCATCCCATATAGTCCCCTGAGCACTGCCAGGAGTGATTCCTGAGTGCAGAGCCAGGAGTAACCCCTGAGCATCACCAGGTGTGACCCAAAAAGCTAGGGAGGTCTTTTTCAAAATGGAGACATCAATTAGAATTTTTTCTTTGCTTATGTTTTTTTGGGCTGCACATGGCAATGCTCACGGGTTCTGTACTCAGGAATCGCTTCTGGTGAAGCTCAGGGGACCATGGGGGATGCTGGAGATCAAACCCGGGTCAGTGGCGTGCAAGGCAAACACCCTACTCACTGTACTATCTCTCTGGCTCCAGAAATCAATTAGATTTTAAGCAAATATGTTGGGTTTGAGACACTGCTTTGCATGCAGGAGGCCCAAGGTTTGATCCTAGCAGTACTACGTGGTGTTCTGAGCACCATTTGGAGAGACCCCTAACTAAGCACAGAGTTGGGAGTAACCCCCAAGTACTGCCAGATGTGGTACTCTCCATAAGACTTCTCAGGCACTGGTGCACTGGTGGAGGGATGGGTACTCGATCACTGCATGACTGAAACGTAGCCATGAAAGTTTTTAAGTGTGTAACTATATTTCACAGTGATTCATTAAAAAAAAAAAAGACTTTTTTTTCAAAACATTATAAAGTAATCTATTTGTAATTAAGAATATTTAGTTATTAGTACTGTGATAACACAAAACCAAAGGACTGTTTAGATATCATTTTATGATGAGGCAGAACACAGACATTTGTGCCATGTCAGTTTAAATGTAAATAACATTTCCTTCCCCTTTTTTGAAAATGAAATTAGAAACAACCATATAAATTAGAAACACAGTGGGAAAGGAGCTGGGGAGAGAGCTCGGAGGCTTGAGGTGTGTGCTGGAGACTGCCAGTTTGATTCCCGGCACTCCCTGAGCACCCCCAGAGTAATTCCACATCACCAAGCCCGAACACCGAAAGGTCCCCACCGCACTGCTCGGTACAGGATTGCCAAGAATGACCCTGGGCTCTGAGCACTCTGGGGAGCTCTGTGCCCTGGCACCCCATGATATATACATTATATCCAGGCCTCCACACATACATAGATATACAATTTGAATATACATAAAATGATATGTAATTTTTTATTTTTTGGTTACTTTCTGGGCACTCCATGATATATACATTATATCCAGGCCTCCACACATACATATATATACAAATTGAATATATATAAAATAATATGTAATTTTTTATTTTTTGGTTACTTTCTGGGTCACATCTGGCCATGCCCAAGGGTTACTCCTGGCTCTGCAATCAGGAATTACTCCTGGCAGTGCTTAGGGGACCATATGGGACGCCGGGAATGAACCTGTGTAAGACACGTGCAAGGCAAACGCCCTACCCGCTATATTATCACTCCAGCCCCCAAACATGTAATTATACATATCGGTAATGAGATAACTAGATTTTACTAAAGACTGAATTGCCAAAGAAAATGAAATAAGAATATCAGGAGCAGGGGGAGGAGAGGGAGGAGAGGGAATCTGAACATATGCTTGCCTAAGAATGACTTCTACTTTTCTTTTACTGTTTTTTTTTTCTTTTTTTGTGAAGCAAGATAGCTTTTACTGAAACTTATTTAAAAGATATCAGGGGCAAGAAAGAGAGAAGTACCTGTCTGAGAGAGAACACAGCTTCTCCAGAGACAAATCAAGTGAGAAAAATACGGGTTTGAAGAGCAAAGGGACTTGTACTTGTACTTCAAGTCACTATATGTGTTAGACACTTATTTCAGGCTCACTGACTAAATTTTAAAACACAGAAATTTAGGCTGGCACACAAAGGAGTGTGAGCTTATCCACTTGCATTTTCAAGTGCAGACTGATGATTGTTAGAGGAGAACAAAAGATGACCACAACAAAATCCCTGAAGCAGCCTGTCTCCGACCCCCTGTCATCAGGCAGAATGTTTGACTCTCTCTGAGACTGGGGTGATGTTACAGTGCATTCAATGTCACCAAAGCCCCACAAACGGCTGGTTATGAGATAGGTACCTTCCTGATGACTTGGCCTGATGCTTTCTTCCCAATAAAACTTTCAGAGATGCCGATGATAGCAGCTACTTTTTGTTCTGCTGGGCTGAGTTGGTTGAACTGTATAAAAAAGGTTGCGTTAGGAAAAATAAAATTGACTTTAAAAATTTACCCCTGGAGTCTCTGGCGACCCAGGGGTCACACCCATAAGCCACCTCTTGCTGGCGCCAGATAATCTTTTCACCAGTCATTACCCAGACTGCACGGGTTTTTCTCTCAAAACAGAGCAACATGACGCCCACCACAGCCATGCCACCAGATCCCATCCCATCCCTGTTTTACTCGGGGTAAAGATTCAGCATGCAGTTGTCCAGGATCTGATCACCTGCGGGCCCTGAGCACGATTTCGAGAGAAGCACCCAGTCATGGCTGAGTGTGGCTCAAATAGCACATGAAAACAAAACCCAAAAAACCTCAACAACGAGCAACTCTGACATTAAAAAGAAAGTGAGGAGCAGAGCAATAGTACAGCACTTAGGGGGCTTCCCTTGCATGAGGCTGACCGGGTTCAACTCCCAGAGCCCTATACGGTCCCCTGAGCTCTGCCCACCGCCAACCCACACCACTCTTAACCCCAAACGAACGCAAATTTTCTGCAAATAAAAGCTGCATACTCTTTCAGGCATCCTTGCATCTAGCCTATCCACAAAATAGACCATGGTCTATTACTTGATTTTGTACGAGTTGATTTCACCTACTGTTGGTGATAAATCAGATAGTCCTTCCCAGGCATTAACATGATTGCATTTGGTGCTGGGCTCTGACAAAACTGTCAGGTGCTCAAATCCTTCATCATCGCATCTGACTTCCACTGTTCTCTTACATTTCAGGTACTGATAGGAATGTAATTTTCTTTACATGATAACAAAAGATGGACAACAAGTCGTAACAATGAATGCCTGAGAAGCATGGGACCAGGAATGACTCTTCTTTTTCTGTACCTTTTTCGGGGGGAGGAGAAGAGAGAGCCCTAAAGCCATCAATGCTCAGGGGTTATTCCTGATGCAGTACTCAGGAATCACTCTCGGTGGTGCAGAGGGGACTGTATGGGATGCTGGCGATCAAACCCAGATTAGCCATGGCAGGGTAAATGTCCTCCCCATTGTAATATAGTTCCGGCCCCATAACACCTTTATATTTAACACAAAAGTAATATTCTAGTTAATCAAAAAGCTGCTGTCATATTACTGTTAAAATAGAAATGTGAAAGACAATGCTTCAATTTCAAATTATATTTCATAGAGAAAAACAAAGTGAATAGCCACTTGACTAAAGCATCATTAGGAAATAAGTAGCCTGTGTTAAAGAATCTTTCATGGGGGTGGGGGGAGAGGCAGAGAGAGCATTCCATGAGCTGGGGTACATGCTTTCTTTGCAGGAGGCCTGAGCAGTCCCTAAGCACCTCTTAGGGAGGTGTTAACCCCCCCCCCCCAAATAAATAGAGTAATATTTTCACCAGACTGAAGTATACAATCCAGTCAGGGTCACACTGAGAGGCCATGTCATAGGGAGTTGTGAGGTAGATGAGATGAAGAAGGCTTTCCAGCACAAGCCCTTCGAGACCCTTCTTCAAGTCTCTGTAGAGAACGTCACAGTAAGCCAAATCGATGGTACCTAAAGGAGAGAAAATAAACGTTTCTTCTTCCGTTATTACTAGAGGGGGAGAGGGTGACTTCTATTTATTTTTTTAAACAGTTGCAAATTTATTTATTTTTTATTTTTTTTTTAATGCATTCAATATTCCAAAAGGAATACTTTTAAAGAAAGTCTTAATACAGCAAGACCATCTTCAAAATGTTTTATGTGATTTAGCATTGTGGTGGGTGCCTTTTTTATACTCAAGGACCAGTGAAACTAGGAGAAACATTTTACTAAGGCACAAATAAAAACCCATAGGACAGACAAGAGACCATTATGATAGCTGGAAATGATCACTCTGGACAGGAACTGCGTGCTGAAAGCAGGTAAAGGGATATGTGTGATCACCTTTCAGTACCTCTACTGCAAACCATAATGCCCAAGAGGAAAGAGAAAGAAGGAAAGTGTCTGTTGTAGAGGCAGGCTGGCGGGGGAGTGGCGGGAGGGAACCTGGGAACATTGGTGGTGGGGACTGTGCACTGGTGAACGCTGTATGACCGAAACCCGATCATGAACAACTTTGTAACTGTGTACCTTATGGTATTTCGATAAAAAGAACCCACTACTTATAATGAGAGTTATCAGATATTAATATGATATATGTATATATATCAATATCAAAGTCCTGCCTCATAATCCTGGCATTCATTGATTTTTTTTCCACATAAACCAGCACTTGTCCAGTAATCAAAACATATAATATTTGTTTCCAAGTTTACTTTGATAGTATTCAGGGAGGTTCAATGGCCCCTGAGCAGTAGGGGGCTACTTTTAGCTCAGTCCCCACCCACAGCGCCCCCCACCCAAGTATATACCTTCTGACTTAAACTACCCTATTTCAGAGAATGTAACTCAGAAAAGTACTTCGACGCATACCAGAACACATATAAATAAAGATGTCTACTTGGCCATGTTTATTAAAAATGAGAAAAAAGGAAAAGAGAAACAGATGCAAATGCATCCATCAGGTTAAATAAATGATGGGATTCATAACATGGATAACGACAGCACTGTAAGAAAAATGGGGCAGCTCTCTTTTATTTATTTACTTATTGTTTGGGGGCCAGACCCCCAGCACTTCTCAGGGATCACTGCTGGCAGGCTCAGGAGACCACAAGTGGTACCGGGAACTGAACCTGGGTCGAACACAAGCAATGTAAATGCTCTACCCGCTGCACTACTGCTCTGGCCCAACATCTCAACTTTGAGAGTAGAAAAGGCTGGGGAAATGGCTCTTTGCACGCCAGAGCCCAAGCTCTATCCCTGCCCTGCCCTGGGCACTAACACTGTCAGGAGAGCCCAAAAAGGCCTAAAAAAATGGGAGCGGTCTAGTAGCTTAAAAGATTTAATTTTTAATATGAGGCTATAAATCTAATTTAAAGTAACAGAATAATTTTTTTTCCCCAATGCATTTCCTCAGACTAATGAGAGTTAGGCAAATTCTTACCCTTGAAAGAAGCTTTCCCCAACTTTGTAATGCGGAAATTATATTCAGACTCTTCAGACTGATAAAGAGAGTCTTTTTGGAGAGGCTGTTCTTCTGTCGAAACAGTGTCTCTTTGCAGAAGTCCTTTTTCTGTTAGGAGTCTAAGTGATTCAATGGTTATTTCCCAGAGACTTTTTTCCTTCAATAAAATCTTCTGCTGAACACCCAAAAATGTACCATTCATAAAGTGATATATATCACCCAGCTTTGTTGCAATCTGAAATAATTCAGAAGATCATCAGAGCAATTTCCTTAATTCATCACTCTCAATGTATTATTACTCTAAAGATAATGACTAATTTCCAAAACTTGAAAGCTAAATAAAAATTTGGATAGTCTATACAGATGCACATATAAAGGTATGTAGGCCCCCTTACCTATGGTTTCACTACAGTTTCAATTATTTCGGTTATGTGGCCTTCAAATATTATGTTGAGATTACACTTTGAAACACACAAAAACAAAGAAATCATACTTTTGTAACATTCACATAATGGATCATTATATATTTTCTATAATGGTACTTTATTAGTTATTACTTTACTAACTTAGAGATTCGGTTTTATTTTATTTGGCTTTTTGGGTCACACCTGGCGATGCTCAGGGGTTACTCCTGGCTCTGCATCAGGAATTACTCCTGGTGGTGCTCAGGGGACCATATGGGATGCTGGCAATTGAACCTGGGTCGGCCGGATGCAAGGCAAATGTTCTACCCACTGTACTATTGCTCCAGCCAAATTCCATACTTTTTATATATTCAAAGGATTAAAAATGTACATATATATATCTAGATTCAAAATCCATGATTGCACACACTGTCCTTTATCCACATTAGATTTAATAGTTAACATTTTTCCCATGCCTTATAGTTCTCATTCTAAGGTAATAGTAATAAGACTCAAGAGTACCTTCAAACCAACCAAAGAGAGAAACAAACTTTGGATTCCTTTGGTGAATTCCTGAACAAGATGGCTATAACAGTTTTCCAATGGTCGGCTTATTAATTCCAATACCTAAAAAAATTAAAGTGAAATGATAACCGTTTATAAAAGATAAATGGTATCACATATAAAGATTTTACATTTGGCTTAAGTTTTGTAAAGGCAGGAAAGAGAAAAAAATATAACAGAATAAGAATTTTTAGCAGGTACCACAAAACCAAGTATTTGTGCTTCTATGTTCTTTTTCTTGTTTACAGTTTTTTTTCTTTTGGCCTTTTGGCCACACCTGGCAGTGCTCAGGGCTTATTCCAGGCTCTGTACTTAGGGATCACTCCTGGTAGGCACAGGAGACTATTTAGGGTGCCAGGGATCACTGCATGCAAGGCTTCCCACTGTACTATCGCTCTGGTCACTGTGCTCCTATGTGCATGGCAGCACTATTTACGGTAGCTAAAATTTCCAAGAGCAGACAACTGGATAAAGACACATGGTACACATACACAGTGGAATACTACTTGGCTATAAGAAAAATTGAGATCTTGCAATTTGCTGCTAAGTGAATAAATCTGGAGGAGATCATGCTGAGTGATGTCAGCCAGGAGACAGATGGACGCAGAATGATCTCTCAGGTGTGGGATAGAAAGGAGCACAGTAAGGGAATGACAAATGGCTGAAGGCGACAGAACCTGATAACAATCTAAAGTAAGCCTACCATGCCAGGGAGATGGGGCTGGGATATTTCGGCGGATGCTGAAACATGGTGGAGGGTCACGCTGTTACAGGACGTGGAGTGGGAAGGTGCGTGCGTGGAACTTCCCCGTAACGGTGTTATTTTAATCACGGTGATTAAAATATAACTGAAAACATAATCTAGCAGGTAAGGGCAGAGAAATATTATGGGGTAAAGCACCTGCTTTGCCAGCATCTGGCCCCGTTTCAATCCCCAGCACCAGAGATGGTGGCCTGAGCATCAGTAGGAGGGACTCCTGCGACAGACCAGGAGTAAGCTGAGTATCAAGGTTTGCCCACCCCCCACTCCCCCAATAGTTAGCAGGTATCTTCATGAAAATAAAAGAACATTCAAGAAGGAAAGTAGTTTTAAAATACTGTCTAAAACGCAAAAGTATTTAAACTATTCTTCCTAAAATCATAGAAGAAGCATTATCTAAAGGAATGTTAATAATTTTTGAAAGATGATCTTGTAAAAGGGCTGGAGCGATAGTACAGCAGGTAGGGCGTTTGCCTTGCACGCGGCCAACCCGGGTTTGATTCTGCCTTCCCTCTCAGAGAGACTGCAAGCTACCGAGAGTATTCTGCCCACACGGCAGAGCCTGGCAAGCTCCCGTGGTGTATTCAATATGCCAAAAAACAGTAACAACAAGTCTCACAATGGAGACGTTACTGGTGCCCACTCGAGCAAATTGATGAACAATGGGAGGACAGTGCAGTGCAGACAGATCACATAAAAGAAGTAGAGACCAAGAACAGAAAACAGGGATCAGGGGCTGGAGAGATAGTACAGCAGGTAGGTTTCTTGCCTTATATGCAACTGACCTGGGCTTGATCCTCAGAACCCAATATGATCCCCCAAATACTGCCAGGAGTAATTCCTGAGTGCAGGGTCAGGAATATCCCGAGCATTGCCAGGTTTGGCTCCCACAAAACTGGAAAAAAAAAAAAGGGATGAAAAAAGATAGGGGCTGGGAAATTACTCCTTGAATTCTAACACATGTCTTATTTATCAATCCCCCCCCCCCCCCCCCCCCACAACTGGTGGTGCACAAGGCTTACTCCTGACTCTATGCTCAGAGGTCACTCCTGGCAGAGGTTTGGGGGCCATATGTGGTGCCTGGGATCCAATCCGGGTTGGCTATGTCCAACAAAAGTGCCCTACCTTCTCTAACCTCCCTCTGGTCTTGAGACCTTAGTTCAGTTCCTGGTACTGTATCTCTCCTTCACCCTCGCAAAGTGAAGTGCACCAATGAGGGCTGAGCTTGAGTACCACTGAGGGGGGCCCCATACACAGAAAAAGCAGATGGGACTTGAGAGATAGTCCAGCAGGTAGTGTGCTTGACTTGCACGAGGCTGACCTGAGCTCAATCCCCAGCATGCCATACGATCCTCCAGGGGGAAATTACTGGTAAAGAGTGATCCCTGAGCAGAAAGGCAAGAGTAAGCCCCGGCCACCTCTGGGGGGTTGAGGGGAAAGGGAGGAGGAGGAGAAGGAGGAGGAGAAAGAGGAAGGAGGAGAAGGAAGATGAGCAGTAGAAGGAGGAAGATAAGGTGGAAGAGGAGAAGGAAGAGGAGGGAAAGGAGGAGCAGGAGGAGGGGAAGGAGGAGGAGGAGCAGGTCCACCAACCAGACCATCACCTGTTGTCTGTCTTTCTCTTGCAGTATGAGGATGCTCTCCCCAACAGTGTCTATTCCAGCACGGCCAGCTCTGCCAACCATCTGCTTATACTGGTTCCTCTTTAAAAATTCCCTTGCAACATAGGGGGCTCTTAAAATGACTCTATGGAATTAATAAAATGAAAAATTGATTATAGTATCTATTTTCTAAAACGTACGCACACTATTTATTTTGTCATGCTAGGATTGAACCCACAGCCTCACACATCCAAGTCTAGTGCTCTACTATTGAGCTACATCCCTGGTCCCCCATGGCATCAATTTTTAAAACTTGTAATTTCATTTCCAGTATTACTCAATGACATGAACTGAATATAATAGGTAGCTCCTACTTCCCAAGAATCTCTGAGTTCTAAGTTCTTTATGTGTGTTTCCCTTAGAAAACTCTTAACACTCAAACTTGCCTTTATTTTCTGACAAACAAGCAGGCCGGAATACAGATAAGGGGCCTACCTAAAGCCACGGAATTAGCCATCACTGGGATCATGATCTGAACTCAAGCCGCCTCGCCACATTCAAGGCACAGTGTAGCAGCCGCCTCCAGACCATCCCTGCAGCAAAGCTCTCCAATGGTTTCTGATTTTTAATGCCGTAAGCAAAAATCTGATCATGCACTAATACCATAAGCATATTCATAATATATATGGCAACTGTACAACACTACAGATTGCAACTGCCTTCTGACCTCTAAAAACGGTAATTTACTATATCTCACGGTGATTCAATTAAAAAAAAAAGGGGGGGAGAAATAGTCATTTCAACCCTATTCATATTTTATAGGAGTGCCCATGCCAGCTTTCCTGTTAAAAGGGGAGAAAAGAAATCTATTTACCCAACCTACCAACTATCCCCTTATAATAAATCCCAACGGATAGTCTAGTTTCCAGACACCTGAAGAAAACTAGTGGCATGAAAAAAAAAACAGTCCTGGGGATGGAAGGCCCTGCGTTCCGCTCTGGCACTACTCTGCACCACTATGACCCGGGTGTATTCAAGACTTGCGCCCCCCACTCCACTGCCCTGTTGAGCACTGCAACCAGAGCACACAGAGTTGTGACCAGCTGTGTTGCCCGGACACCACAACCAGAGCTGTGACCAGCCGTGTGTGCCTGGCACCACAACAGTAACAGAAAGCAGGCCGGAGAGAGAACTCAGTGGGCCCCAGTATCACACGGCTCCCCAACACCTCACAACACCTCAGGAATGATCCCTGAGCAATGGTCTAGGAGCAGCCCCTGAGCACCACTGGACATGGTACAAAAAACCAAAACAAAACAAAGCACAGAACAAAAAGGAGAAGGGAAAAGAAAAGAACAACATACAAAGCACAAGTTTGATAGAAGCAGTACAGGGAACAGAAAAAAAGTATTTTTACCGGCAGTGTTGGGGGTCAAACCCAGCTGGCATGTGTGGGTTTGACAAGTTTTTAAGTATGGAAATTAAAAAAGGTTTCTAACTAGTATCCACAGTAAGTATTATAAGATATTATATTCATAACTGAGAGATTATAAAAGGGCAATAAGAAGAGTTCTTTGAAATCAAGAAAATTTTTATCCCCACTCAAAGAAAAAGCACTCTAAATTCATCTTTAAAAAACCAGGGAAATAGAACAATGAATATAGTTATAGTTAAAAACAAATTTACTCAATACAAGGTAAATTAGAAGAAATAACATAGCTCATAGCTCTGTGGAAGTCTGTCCACCCTGCAGCCACTGAGGACCACCTCAGGTGCAGAGTGCGACCCAGTGGCACGGCTGCACGTGGTCCCAGCTCCAGACTAAGTGTGCAATCCCCAGTGCTCGGCAACAACGTACGTGCAAAGTGTGCAAGCATCAAGAGCAAAATATGAGGCACCCACACCCCACAACTGCCGCCATGTAAGCTCAGCCATTGGCCCAGCTTTACAGACCCAGTACTCAATCTCAGAAGAGATCAAGAAGCTGCAAAATTTCACAGGTTTACTGGTCTCCCAGCTGATCTCAGGGGCCCTCAAGGTATAAGTGTATGGGGGGCGCTTCCTCCTGAAGCCCCTGCAGCTGCACTCACCCTCCACTGCTGCCACAACGCCAACTAAACTCTGAGAGTCACCAGACTGCCGGAAATTCCAGGTACACTGGTCCTTGGCTGAACACTCTGGGGTCTTCTCAGAGTGGGGGTGGGCAGCCTTCCCCAGCCCCCACCGTACTTCCGGAAGCCCCAGGAACACCCACATCCTACAACTATCACCATGTAAGTTCACTGTGCAGTGAAATATTCTGGAGTTTTTGGAACATGGAGCCACAAAGGCACCTCTAAACTCTACAATTCTGACATCCCAGTAGGAACACACCAAATTAGTTGGGCAAGAGCATAGACACCAACTAACTCAACAAACAAAAACATTAACCCAGAAGGCTCAACTAACAACTACAGCTTAGTAAGCTGTCAGAGAAGGACTTAATGTTCCCAAGGTTAAACAGAACAATTGAACAATTTTCACAAATTTTATTTTACCAAGGTACTATCTGATAATTCAAATAATTCAAAGGCATTTAGTTGTAATGTAGTACTTCACTGTAGCACTGTCCTCCCGTTTTTCATTGATTTGCTCAAGCGGGCATCGTGATTTGCTCACGTCTCCATTGTGAGACTTGTTGTTACTGTGTTTGCCATATTGAATATGCCATGGGGAGCTTGTCAGGCTTTGCTGTGAGTGCAGGTTACTCTCGGTAACTTGCCGGACTCTCCGAGAGGGATGGAGGAATCAAACCTGGGTCGGCTGCGTGCAAGGCAAATGCCCTACCCGCTGTGCTATCGCTCCAGTCCTTAGTTGACAATTTATGGAGGGAAGCTCCCATTGAAGCTGGGATTGATGTTGGAACATTGAATGTCTATAACAATGGTATAACGAACAACTTTGTAAATCACAGTGTTTAAATAAAGGGTGGGGGGAGCAAAATGTGCATCACTCAGCAAGCACCCCGCTAGAGAACAGCAAGAGCAATGAGGGTGCGTCACTGAGGCCTGGATGTGGCGACAGTAGCACAGGGCAGGGAGATCGGAAAACACACAAAAAGGAAAATCCTTGTTACTCTTTATTTTTTAAATCACTGCCTTCCCCTGCTGATATTGTCACTCCCCTCTTAGAAGTGTATTGGTTCTTTTTTGGTTTTTTTTTGGGCCACATCCAGTGGTGTTCAAAGATGACATCTAGCTCCACACTCAGGAATCACTCCTGGTGGTGATCAGGGGACCATATGAGATGCCTGAGATTGAACTCTGGTTAGCCAGGTACAAGGCAAATGTCCAACCCACCATGCTACCCTTCTAGCCCCAGAAATATATATATTTAAAAAAAAAAATCAGAATCTATAGAAAATAAAGGCAGATAAAAAAAATTCAAGTAAATAAAGACATCATCAACTATGCAAATATTTAAAACCAACTTACCTTGAATATAGAATTGAACAAATAATTCCTCAGGGTGGGGGAGATAGTTTATTTATTTATTTATTTTGGCTTTTGGAGTCACACCCAGCGATGCTCAGGGGTTATTCTTGGCTTTGCACTCAGGAATTACTCCTGGTGGTGCTTGGGGGACCATATGGGATGCTGGGGATCGAACCTGGGTTGACCATGTGAAAAGCAAACGCCCTACCTGCTATACTATCGCTCTGGTCCCCTGGAGGAGATAGTTTAAAGGCTGCAGTATATGCACTGACTTTGATCCTTGGCACCACGTGGTCCCCAGGGCACCGGATAGCCTGACGGCCCAACATCTAGTCCTCTGCCCTATAACAGAACCACCAGCTCGATCACTGCAACTTCAGGCCCGTAGGAACACTTGTTTAGGAGCCAACCCTCTCCCTCACTCCTCCCTCCAAATCCCTCAAGGATGATCAAGTAAAAAAATGAATCATAGAAGAAGAATGGGGAGGGCTGGAGCGATGGTACGGTGGGGAGGGCGTTTGCCTTGCATGAGCCTGACCTGAGTTCAATCCCCGGCATCCCACATGGTCCCTTGAGCACCACCAGGAGTGATTCCTGAGTGCAGAGCCAGGAGTCAGCCCTGAGCACTGCTGGGTGTGGCACCCAAACAAAATAGACAACAAACAAAACAAGCAAACATACAAAAAAGTAAGAAGGATGTGGGATATAGAAGGCAGTGGTAAGCGAAAGGAAAAAAACCAACACAAAAAAGTGAAAATTACAGTAAATTTAGCAACTATTGATTGGAAGATGAGAAAATCGATAATCGAGAACTCAATTTCTAGGTAGCTGCAACAACATAGATGAGGTAGAGTAGAAAAATGCACAAATACTAAGATTCTTGTGATGTTCAGCAGTGGTTTTAGCCATTGATTCTCAAGACCACACAACAATCAACACAACCCAAGTGAGAAGACAGTTCACAAATTCCCACGACCCAGAAGAGAATGACACGAACGGCTCTGGGCAAGCCCAAGCCGAGAGGTTCTGATTACTGCTCTGGTTACTTCCCACTCACCTTCGGGCTGGCAGGTTGACACCGGCTGCTAGTGTGGATGTGCAGGTGAAGAGGCAGAGAACGCCTGTAGAATAGGCCTCCTCCAGGAGCTTCCGCTCATCACTCGTTAACCCGCTGTGGTGGTACGCAATGCCAAACGGGATGGTGCGCTTCAAAACGGGACACAGGTGGCCACTGCTGATGATCTTCAAGTTCTTCATCACTTCAGATTTTTCTTTCTCCTTATGTTTCAGATAGTCTCTAGGAGAGAGATCTGTTAGAAATATGGCCCTTGACCTTACAGACCCAACTATTTCACCAAGGCATTTTATTTTATTTTACTTTTGCCCAGTCCTCCCGTCTTCTATCATGGTCATTTTAGTAGATGGACGTGAGCCTTGTTTTGTAAAAACCTATTATACCTATTGATGCAAAATATAAGGTGTTCTTAGGTTTTTGGTTTTTATTTGATGAACTAAAAACCAGTGGCAGTGTCTCTTTGGTGAAAATCTAACAAATGTTTAGGGAAAAAATTCCACATTTTCCCACATAAGCAACAATCTACTTGTAATTTCCCAGTGTTCATGGATGTCTTTTGTTGTCTTTATTTTGGGACCACTCCCAACAATGCTGGGAGATCCTGGGTCCCCGCTGAACTCAGGCCTTTCACACAGACACACAGACATACACACACAGCATGTGCTCTGACACATCTAAGCCACCTCCGAAGTCCCTTTGTATTTTTTATTTTTCCTAGTTTCAGGATTGAACCCAGGTCGCATGCATCTAAGGCATATATTTCACTTCTGAGCCATACCACAGCCCTCATTCCTTCACTGGTTATGAGTCTAAAAATGCCAGATCCAGACCTTGCACTAAATGTCACAATGACAAATGTAACCGCAAAACAAACAAACAAACAAACAAACAAAAAAACCCAAAATCAACCAGCAGTTTTTAGGACACTTTCCTCTTGGAAGATGGATACATAAGTATTATTAAATCATCTGTTATATGCAACACTGTTTAAACATTAGTCTTTCAGAAGTGCTGATAATATTCAACAGTGTCTTCATATCTAGAAACATCTATTATTTTAAATGCCTTTTATAAGAGGAAGGAAAGTAAAACAAAGTACAAACACAAATTGACTATAAGAAACTTCTAAATAGTAGTAAACAAGTAGAGTCTAAGACCTAGCTTCTTAAACTGGGTTGAGATTCCATAATAGGGCCACAAAATTGAACATGGGAAGGAAGTAAAAATGTGACAGGCATGCAATGATTAATTCAAAATCAAACACATGGGGCTGGAGAGACAGCACAGCGGGTAGGGCATTTGCCTTGCACGTGGCCAACCCGGGTTCGATTCCCAGCATCCCATATGGTCCCCTGAACACTACCAGGAGTAATTAATTCCTGAGTGCAGAGCCAGGAGTGACCCCTGTGCATTGCCAGGTGTGACTCAAAAAGCAAAATAAATAAATAAATAAATAAAATCTACTTTATAAAAAAAAATCAAACACATAATGAATCAGAGGTATTTCTGGCAGTACTCACTCTACTGCCATTTTTTTTTTCTGGCAAAAAAGTAGTGTTGTGGGTAGAAAAATTTAAGAGGGTCTGGTCTAAGATATAAAAAGAAATATTAAATCAGACAATGGGATATTTTATTTTATTTTACTTTTTCCCAGTCCTCCCCTGTCTTCTATAATGGTCATTTTAGTAGAGGGATGTAAGCCTTATTTTGTAAATGGAAATATTATTTGCCGTTATGTTAAAATCAAACACAAGCCAGGAAATAGGTGGATAGGATGTGCATGCTTTGCAGGTGGGGGAGGCCAACAACACTTGATCTCAGGCACTGCATGGTTCCCCCTATTACTGCCAAGAGCGACATCTGAGCACCAAGCTGAGGAACTCCCAAACACCACCAGATCTGAGCCCTTAAACTCCCCAAATAAAAAATATAATAAAAGATTGACATACTTGCTTAAAAATTTGCATATCATTTCTGCTACATTCTCACAGTTCTTCTTTGTGGGACAAAAAACTAAGCAGGAATAGTTGGGAATGACTTCGGTCACCAATGCTACCAAGTGATCAGGGTCCATCTTTTTCAGGGTGTCAGAATACTGCACAAGAGGTAGAACAGTTAGTTAGCGACCACAAAAGCCTGGTATCTCACCAGTGTGCTTTGAAAGGTAAAAAAACCCGGCATCATCTTGAACTTCTCATTTAAAAGATAAAACCTATATATCTACATTTTTGTTTTGTTTTTGGGCCACACCAGCAATGCTCAGGGCTTGCTCCTGGCTCTGCATTCAGGAATCACTCCTGGCAGTGCTGGGGGATGGGTGGGGGCCAAGGGGCATATGGGATGCCAAGTTTGGCTGTGTTACAGGCAAGTGCCTCACCGGTTGTACTATGGCCCTCGCCCCAAAATGAAACCTGTTAAACACTAACATGTTAAGTCCCAATTTTCTCTCAGGTTATGGGGCTTTGTTAGATATATTTCACTATGAAAAAGAAAACAATGACACAGAACCAGTAGTAGTTTTTATGACGCTCCCCTAGTCCCCAAACATCAGCTGTTTCCCAGGACACCCATACGGATCTCCTGTGATCCTCCAGGGAACTTGAGCACAATGCCTGGGACACCCATGCTCAAAGGTGACCAGTGTTACCTTGTGATCAAGAAGACGCGAGAAAGTCATGCCCGTCTCAGCCCTGCTGTCAACCTTGTATATTGTATCGTTTATCTTCAGGTACTCTTTTAATTCAACCTGGAATGAAAGAGACACTTCCAATTAACACCACATGCAATTCCTCTTTCAGAGTTTTCAAGTTCGCAAAATGTTGTAAAATGCGAGAGCTATATGGGCCAGAGAGAAGATGTAATCCCCAGCACAGCTAGGTTCTTGGGGCACCACTGGAAATGAACCCTATTCATGCAAGGCATGTGCTCTACCACCAAGTTGCATCTCTAATCTTGAAAGCTTTCTTTTCTTTAAATCAGGAACAATATAAGGCTTCTACGCTAATACAGATCTTAGCCAATTACAAACTGATTAGAACTGATCATTATTTATAAAAGATATAAAATAGAGAAAACCCTAAAAATTCCACTAAAATTATGAGAAACAATCAAAGATTATAGCAAAGGCATTAGTTACAAAATCAGTACATAAAAATGAGTGAGAAGAAATTAAGAATCAAATATTTAAGAATAAATATAACAGAGGAGGTTAAATATATGTATTATGAAAACTACAGAGTGTTAAAAGACACAGAACAAGACATTAAGAGTTAGAAGAATATTCTGTACTCAGAGAGAATTAATATCACCAAAATGTGCATTCCCAGGACTGGAATGAGTTCAGTGATAGAGTATTTGTTCGGATGTCTAAGACATGGGTTTGATACCCAATACTGTTGTAACAACAAACTGTACTCTATGAAAAGCAATATAGACTTAATGTAATTCCATCAAGATTCCAAAGACATTTTTAAAAGGAAATAGTACAAAAAGTACTAGATTTATATGGAATCATCAAAGACCTCATAGAGCTATGGCAACTCTAAAAATTGGAGGGATCATGTTCTGTGACTTCAAATGATACTACAAAGTGCCAGCAATTAAAACCAGATGGTACAAGGATAAAAAGACATCCGGGTCAATGGAACATACTGTAGCACTGTAGCATTGTCCTCCCATTGTTCATCGATTTGCTCTAGTGGGCACCAGTAACGTCTCCATTGTAAGACTTGTTGTTACTGTTTTGGCATATCAAATATGCCATGGGGAGCTTGCCAGGCTCTGCCATGCAGGCGGGATACTCTTGGTGGTTTGCTGGGTTCTCCGAGAGGGGTGGAGGAATCGAACCTGGGTTGACCGCATGCAAGGCAAACGCCCTACCTGCTGTGCTACTGCTCCAGCCCATATTGTAAAGCTCAGAAATAAGCTTACACATTTGCTATATTTCATTTATGACATAGGACTATACAAAGGCATTTATAAATAAAAAATGAGGAATCTCTTCAAATAATGGTGTTGGGAGAACATGGCAGAGTGAAGCTAGACTACTCTTAAATATCATACACAGAAAATAAACTCAAAATGGATTAATGATCTAGGTACAAGACCCCCAATTCATCAAGTACATAATGACAACATAGGTGAGATGTTTTTCTTTGCCATTTTCTGAAGTCTCTTCTTTTTAGGTCAAAACAGAAAGTAATACCCTTAAAGAAGTACTGCTGAGCTAAATAGCCATATATCAAAATAGCCATATATTTAAATAGTCTTACGTCTAAAATGAGATGAAAAACATCAAGTTAGAGACAGTACAGGAGGGAAGATGCCTGCATGCAGCTGACCCCAGTTTGATCCTCAACTCTGCATTTGGCGCCCCAAGTAGTGCCAGGGGTCATTCCTATGGACAGAGCCTTGAACAGTCTGAGAACACAGCCAGGCAAAGCAAACAAAAAATGGTCCATAACAAGGTACATCAATACAGAGCAAACCTTAGGTACATACTGGTCTAAACTGACTGGTATAATATTCTGCTTGAAGGAACTGTTGTAGGTCTTCAACATTGTTCAACGTTGCACTCATACCAATAATCTGAGTTGTCTCTAAAAAGCAAGGTAAAAGGGTTAACTATTAAATACTATGATAGAAATTTTAGCAACCTCGTCCTGTTCTCGGCTCTTCCTGAGTGATTTGGGAAAAGAGACAGTAAGTAAAATACAAATACAGAGATAAAGAAAGAGAGGCGAACTCTGGGCTTAAGAACATGCAGTTAGTAAAGGGAGAATAATGGACAGAGGTGTTCAAAACATGAAGCCTAATACTTTCAAAATTTACTCTCTTCATCTAAGAACTTGTAAGCCGAGGGCTGGAGGATGGCTTAATGGCTGAATGCCAGCCTTATGAGCAGGAAGTCATGGGTTTGATCCCGAGTACCTACATGTATGACCCACAAAGCATTCTGGTTTCTCTGCTGTCAGGGTCCCCTGGGCTCAACAGAGCATTTAGCAGCACACAGCCAGGGCTGAGTAAGCCAGAGTGAAACTCTCAGTGACACTCCTGCTACGTGAGCAAGCACCACAACCACACCTGTGTGGCCCCAGGTCATCACCACAGGAAACAAGGAGAAAAACACTTACAAGCTTAGTTTTGAGATGGGAAGCCCAGGAAGGGACTGGAGACAGCTCCCAGGGCTGGGGTGCTTGTGCTATGAATGGGGTTTCAAGGGCTCGGCATGGTCCTCTGAGCACTGCCAGGAGGCCGCCCCTCCCCTCTCCACAAATCAAGCCACACAGAAAAGCTAAGGCAGAAAGCTTAATCTTAGGTCTAATTTACATAATCTACCTTGTGGGAGAATTAAGTCTATATAGTTTGTTATAAATTAATTAGCGACTCCATTTGAAGAAATACTTACTGCTAGTATAGAGAATTTTTGCCAGGGTCATTTCAAGTATGGCCCCACGACTTCCTTCGCCAATCATGTGCAACTTGGAGATTTAAAAAGAAAAAGAAGGAAATTAAATCTGCATGCAATACCCATATAAAACATATTAGTGTGACACAAAATCATTCTGGCTTTATAACTCACACATTTTAGATATAGCAACTAGAGTATATAAACATTATTTCATGGTCATTTAATGAAATTTAAGGTAAAAAGTTCATAAGTACTATTATAAAATTAAACACATCCACATCACTATTCACATTTCAAAAAACACTTGCTATCACATGGAATTTAAGATCACTAAACATGAAAATTCTTCACCTGTATTGTCTAATATCAAATTATTTACTCTTGTGGAGATATTGAGCAAACCTACAAAAAAAAATAATAAGTGTATTGATAAATTACAAAAGTAGCAACCAACCTCATCTACAACAACCAGACCCAGACAGCTAATCCTTTCAGTCTCGATCAAGGAGTTCACCAAACTATGGCCCTTTTCAATAGTGGCAATATAGAGTGATTTCTTCTCCCTTCTTTTAACTGGTGGAAATCTTCCTTTACTTCCAGCATATTCTTCAACAAAGAATCCCAACTCTATACCAAAACTTGACAAACCTGAAATCTAGAACATGAGTTAATAAGCGTCCATATATGCTTTAAAAATCTAAAAGTCAGACAAAATATACATAAGGACTATTATGTTGCTCTTTGTAAAATAAATGTAAATTTTATCTATTTTTATTTGATTTGGGGGCCACACCTGGTGGTGCCCAGGGCTTATTCCTGGCTCATGCTCAGGGATCACTCCTGGCAGTGCTCAGGGAACTGTATGTGGTGCTGGAGTTCGAACCCGGGTTAGTCACATGCAAGGAAAGAAACCTACCCACTGTACTCTTGCTGCTTTGCCCTCTGCTACTAAATGTAAATTTTAAACTACAGAATGTGAAAATAAATTTTTGATAAAAAATCCCACTGATTTAAAATAATAATAAAGCATCAGAGGAATTAATTTGCTGGCAAAATACTTGGTTAGTTTTAGTTTGAAAGAGCAGGTTAAATATCAATATAACATTTAAAATAGCTTGGGGCTGGAGAATAGCACAGCGGGTAGGGCATTTGCCTTGCACACAGCTGACCCGGGTTCGATTCCCAGCATTCCATATGGTCTCCTGAGCACCGCCAGGGGTAATTCCTGAGTGCAGAACCAGGAATAGCCGCTGTGCTTCACCAGATCTGACTCAAAAAGCAATAAATAAATAAATAAAAAATAAAATAAAATAGCTTAACCCACCATTTTAGAGAAAAAAATTCTGCAACAGGTAATTAGAATTTGAAAAAATTTTCAAGAAGTTGGCTATAATGCTTTTGCATCTCTTAAAAATACTTTCTCCATTGCTAAAAGGCTCTCTTCTCCATAAAAAGTTACATATATACTAGTTTTTATAGTTGGTTTCAAAATAATGTTAGCAAATACCACTAGTTTAAAAAAGAATCAGACCTTCTCTTGGACAATTGCAACATATGGGAGAATCATTAAAACATCTTTCCGATGACACAGTAGTTCCTGGAGCATTAATATCTCAGCCACGAGGGTTTTTCCGCCGCTTGTTGGTAAGGAATATATTAAATTTTTTCTTTCTTGAACAGAACTCAAAGTTAAGCATGTATGCTGCCATTCTAGGAAATAAAAAAACAAGTGTTATTTTTCCTTATCTATGGAGACAGTTGCACCCTGTCTCCTCATAATAAGTGTAATCATACACCAGATAAAGGCCAAAAATTTCCCATCTTTGTGTAATGTGCAGTTGATGAGGGCATAAGTCAGGGGATATAGGCAATAAGTTTATCTGTTATCTACTAAAGAGACCCACCGATCATTGCAATAGAACTGAAAATCCAGTAAGAGATCCTCAGGTCAGTTAACCTTGGATAAAGGAGCAAAATATGAAGTGGAACAAGCAAAGTCTTTTCAATAAGTGGTGCTGGGAAAACTGGGGACACTGGTGGAGGGACACTAGTGAAGGGATTAGTGTTGAAACGCTATACACCTGAAACTGAATCATGAATGTTGCAACTCTGTAATTCATGTAGATTTGATAATAAAGATTTCTAGAACTGAAAAGTAGGATAAATTATGTGAACTTCAGAAAAAAGAATTACAGGGGCCATAGCCAATGCTTAGGAGTCACTAGTCACAGTGTATACAAGGCCTTTGCTCCTCAACTTCAGCTCTCCTGAACTCTAGTTCACCTGTTTGCCAGCTACAGACCTGACATGAGATTCCAGCACAGTGGCAGCTAGACAAGAGGGCTGCTCTTCTGAACATCCGAGCTAAAGGCCAGTAGTGTGAACTGAAGGCCTTCCTTTTAGATTCTGCAGAAGCTGTATATATAAGCTTCCTCCCTTCCTTCACCCAAACACCACTGTGGAGAGAAAGGAGAAAAACCATCTGTGGTGCTTGGCACCACATAAGGTGCAAAAAATTACATTATCTGACTAGTTCTCAAGGGAATCAGTACCTTGACTGGTAACTGAGAGACTACCGAATCATAAAAATTGGGATCATTAACTGACACATCTAGGGTTCTGCAATTTAGCAAGGCAGGAAAAGAAAGAGGAATCAGAATAGATCCTAAACATGGTGTGAAAACTAGTATGACAAACTCTGTTGAGTAACTTGGCAAAGTAAATTATCCAAAGGTTTAAAATTGTACATCTGCAGCCGAACACTAAGAGAGGAGTGAGGGAGGGGATATGATAAAAAGGATCCAGAGAACTAAGAAAGCAGTAGAGTTTGCCTCGCATGTGGCAGATGCCAGTTCACTCCTTGGCACCATGATACCTGAGCACTGTCTGGAATGATCCCTAGTCAGAGTCAGGAGTGCAAGTCCTGAGCACTGCTAGGGATAGCCTCAGAACTATAAAAAAATTTCAAAATTGATCAAATACTTTATAGAAGGGAGAAATGCAAATTGCTAAAAAATCACACAAGAGGATGTTCAACTGCTATGAGATTAGTAAAATAAACAACAAAAGTAACTAACAATAAAGTACCCATAAATCAAGAATAGGGCCCAGTGGCAGACTATACACTCCCACTGTAAGGCCTTGGATTTGCTATTTGGCACCAAAAGTAAAGAAAGAAAGAAAGAAAAAGAATCCAGGAGTTGGAGCAACTAGAGTATGGAGTACAGCAAGTAGAGTATGTCTTGCATGTGGCTGACCCAGGTTTGATTCCTGCATCCCATATGGTCTCCTGAGCACCACTAGAAGTAATTCCTGAGTGCACAGCCAGGAGTCACCCCTGAGCACTGCAGGATGTGTCTCCTAAACAAAACAAAAACCAAAAAAGAATCCAGACTATCTAGACTAGATTTCTGGAGAATCTAGAGTTGGGGAGACTAACTGGCAAGCATTTTGGCTTATGAGAGCATAAAATGCTAACATCTTCTTTGAAAAATAGTACCCAAATTAAGCACACACTTGCCTTTGAGCTTTTGGTTCTCTAGACATATAAAAAGCAAAGTTACATAAAAATTATATGTAGTATATTTATCATGGCAGTGTTTATATATATGAACCTGAACCATGAGGCAGGTAAAAGCTGAAGGAATCTGTGCAATCTTTTAACTCTTGGCAGCCCAAAAATAAAAAGCAAATTTATGCATATATGCTTCATAGAGTTAAGAAAAATGAGGTAATGAGGGCCGGAGTGATAGTACAGCAGGTAGGGCACTGGCCTTGCATGTGGTTTACTTGGGTCTGGTGCCCAATATCCTGAATCATTCAGGAGTGATTCCTGAGTGCAGAGCCAGGAGTAAGGACTGAGCATCACTAGATGTAGCCCAACCTCACACCAAAGAGAGATAATGAATGTGTGTTGGATAGTATAAATTATGTGACTGGTAAAAACTGAAGAAAACATTCCTAAGTTAAGATACCAGTCATTTTCTTTTTTTTTTGGGGGGGGGTGGGCTGAAAATTAGCCGAGGAAAGGGAGATAGCAAAAATTACCAATTTGAGAAATGTGGACCATCAAGTAAGGGAAGAGGTTTAATATCATAGCAAGAAAGGGATGAAATGTTAAAGACAAATACTGTCTTTTTGATTTTTCTAGGTCGCCCATGGTGGTGCTCAGAAATTACTCCTGGCTGGGCTCTGGGAACCATATAAGGTAGGTGCTTGAGTAGGATACATGCAAGGCAAGTGCCTTAATTGTTGTACAATCACCCTAGACTGGTAGTTTAAGTTGAAAAATATGACCATGGGGCCAGAGACAGTGCAACAACCTGGAGTGCTTATTTTGCATGCAGGAGGCCTGGGATCAATCCTGAGCAAAGGGCCCTGAACAAAACAACAATAAAAACAACTTTGGAAATGATCTGTTTCTCCTGATTCACACTAATATTACAGCTATGAGGGTGACTTCTTCATTCCAGCAACAGAGCATTACCATATAGTTTTTCAATTCCCTTGAATTGAACATAAAGGTCTCTGACTTTACTGGGTAACGAATAGAAAGGACCAAGGTCATTTGATGATGACTCAATTGTTTTCTTAGCAACATTAATTTCCTCGTTTAATAGAGTCTCTTTGAGCTGCTTAGTCCTAGAAAATATTGGTGTTTGGGCCCTGGCATTGTCAGTCATGGCACTTTTGAGATGATCTTTGAGACTTTTTCTCCTGTTCACATCAGAAGTGGGTTGCACATGGGAAGAAGAGACATTAACTTGTGGAGACTTCTTCCTGGCAGCCGGCTGGCAGGACAGGTTCTGGGTCCTCTTTTCAGCAGCAGTTGGATTGTCCCAAGTATCTGGAGAGTTCTCCAAGTTTTCAAAATACAAAACCTGAGAAGAAGGTATATCAAACAGAACATCAACTTCAGGTTCCTCTGAGCCCTCCTGGAGCCCGCTGTGGTTCTCTATGCGTGCATCATCCACTATTAATCCCGTCACATTGCCTCCATTGGGAATGCTGAGTTTGCAGGGCTTGATGTCTTTTGAGAGAAGCTCTTCAGTGGTGAGGTCTGGACTGTGTGTCCTATGCTCAGGAATGTGCGTATGTTTTTGCTCCAGATCATCAACTTGAGCTAATATAGAGTTTTCAGCAAAGCTATCATAGTCACCAAACATGTCCTCTTCACTGTTATTATACTAGAGAGAAAACAAGAAAGGTTTATGATCAATTCTAACTACAGTAAGTCTCAGAGGGTCAGGGAGATGGCTCAGGGGACAAGGGGATGCCTTGCATCCAGGAGTACAGGAAGTTCAGTGAGATTCCAAATAGAGCACTGCCCCCACCTCTACCCACCCAGCATCGTCAGCTGTAGTCCTCATCTCTGGCCTCAAGCACTGAATACTTGGGCACACACAGTTGGGCTGAGTATTGCAGGAGTACCCCCAGTACCGGTACCCCCCAGCTTGGAAGAGACCCCACAATTAATCATTTAAGTCTAGGGCTTTATCAGTATTAATTTGGTTTCATAAGGCTCACAGACTGAAATGTAAACTACTTTATGAAACAGGTATTATTCCCACTGAAGATAGAGAAATGGAGGTCCAGAAAGGTTACGTGACTTGTCCAAATGTCAATCCTAATGTACAGTGATGCTGGGATCCTAATTCTTTTTTGGGTGGGGCAGGTGCAGGGTTGGTGCTTGGGGACAAATTCTGCATTGCACAGGGGATCTACTGGGGACAAGGGGATCTCTCCCGGCATTCTTGAGGCCCCTGGGGACTCCTAGGGTTTGTTCTTTATCTTACAAAGCATGTGCTCCAGCCCTCTGAGCTCTTTCTCTGGCAATGGGATCTTAATTTTCTTTTTTGTTTCCCAGTGATGCTGGACTCTGGACCAGGGTGGGGGACGGGGTTAGTTCAAGGCAAGTGCATTTAATCCTGGTTTTATCATCTCTCCAGACCCAGAACCCCAAGCTCCCTGTGAGGTATTCGATATCCCAGACACAGTAACAACAAAGTCTCCAATGGAGACGTTACTGGGCCCGATCGAGCAAATCGACGAACAACGGGAGGGCCTTTAGCTTTAGCTAATTCCTTAAAAAAAAGGTAACACAACGCCCCAAACTCCATCTATTGGGATGGAATGCCATTCTAAATTTCTTTCTTTTAGGCTTTTGCATCATCATATGATCTGAAGAGAAACCAGAGCCTGGCAAGAGATCCGTGGTGTTTTCAATATGCCAAACACAGTAACAAGTCTCACAATGGAGACAGTTAGTGGGCCCGCTTGAGCAAATCGATGAACAATGGGAGGACGGTGCCACAGTGCTACACAGCATCATCGTACTCTGCGATGCTCAGGGGTTACTCCTGGAGAGCTCTGGGGACCATCCCGAATGGCAGGAGCCAACTGGGTTTGGCTGTGTGCACGGCTAACGCCCTACCCTGTCAGTGGAAGCGCCTCTCTTCCCAATCATGCAAGGATCACTGGACACAGAGGGGGTGGGGGGATTCTGTTTCAAGACCTTTGGAATTTGGGGGGGGGGTGTTGGTGGTAAAAGGAGGGAGTCTGCTCATCGCAAAGCAAAAGGCAGCAAGAGTGATAAACAGAGTCGGATCTGGCGCCAGAAGAGTTGTCCCGCGACTTCTCGGTCTGATTTCTGTTACCACCGCGGGGAGCGGGGGGGGGGGAAACAAAGCCGTCATGCAGCTCCCAACCGGGCGGTGACAGGGGGCGGGTTTGTCTTGGTGCGGTGCAGGAGGCCCTCACCTGCCCGCACAGGCACCTTCCACACCCCGGGGGCCCTCCCTACAGCGTCGTCGCATCCCTCTAGCCAGGGGACGACCAAGCTCGGGCGGCAGCCAGGACGAGAAGGAAACGAAGAAGCCCCGCCGGGAGCGCGGGCAGGGCAGGCGCGCCCCTCAGACCGGCTCCCGGTCCAGTCAGACGCGCGCGGCGGCGAACCCGGCCTCGAGCTCGGGCACGGGGCGAGGGTCTCTGGGGCGGGGCCCGTACCTCGGCCCACTGCGCGCCCAGGGGCGTCCGCCGGCGGCTCCCAGTCCCCATGTCTTCTCCTTCCTCCTCTTCCTCAGCGGCCGGCTTGAGCTCCGCCGCGGCGGGGCTGACACGGCCGACGCCCGAGCGCGCGCCCAGCAGCTTCCGCCGGGGGCTCCCGGCCCCCATGTCTCCTTCTTCTTCTTCATCTTCTTTTTCCTCCTCCTCCTCGGGATCCGCCGCGGCGGGGCTGACAGGGCTGCGGCCGAAGCTCAGGCGGTTCCTTTTGCGGACAGACACCCGCCGGCGGATGCGGGAAACTCCTTCCTCCATGGCGGACGCCGCCGCCGGCCGCCTAACCCGGGGCCAGTGGTGGGTGACGACAACGACGATGACGACGACGACGACGACGACGACGACGAGCCGGGGTCGCCAGCAGCCGCGCCACAGCCGACAGCCCGCGCCAAGGCAGCGTCTCCGCGCCCGGCCGGAAGTGCCGGCACTCTTGAACCAGCCCGCCTTCCTCTCCACCAATCACAGGAGTCCGCGGCTGGGAACCGGAAGAGGCGTCCGCGCAGGCGCCGGGAGCGCCCCGCCCCTCGGGCCGCCGCTCGCTGCGCTCCGACTTCGGCCCCGGAACCTTCGCGTGGAAGCTCGCGGAGCGCGGGACGGGGAGGAGACCAGAAGGACTTCCGGGGCCATGGCGGCGCTGGTGGCCGTCTGCGGGCGGCTCGGGGGCAGCCGCTGGACGCGCTTCGCCGGGGCTGCAGCGCCCCTCTCCGTGCCCGCCACGCACCAGGGTACGTTTTCCAGCGCCCGTTGCAGGGATGCACGCGTTGACCCGCCGCCAATTCGGTGGGTCAGACACCTCCTCTGCCCCTCCCAGCTAAACTGGGGGCTCAACCTTTTCACTTTGCTGGTAGCGAAATTAGAGATGCATGGGTGCAAGGGTGCAAAGTCGAACCGAGAGCCCCTTTATTTACAGTAAGAGTGCATAATTCCTCATTTATTTTAATTTTTAAGTTTTTTTTTTTTTTTTTTGCTTTTTGGGTCAATGCACAGGGGTTACTCCTGGCTTATGCACTCAGGAATTACTCCTGGAGGTGCTCGGGGGACCATATGGGATGTTGGGGATCGAACCCGGTGTGCCACGTGACAGGCAGATGCCATCCCCGCTGTGCTATCGTTCCAGCCGGACTGAATTTTTTTTTTTTCCTCTTTTTGGGTCACACACGGGGATGCACAGGGGTTACTCCTGGATCATGCACGCAGAAATCACTCCTGGCGGTGCTCAGGGAGACCAGATGGGATGCTGGGACTCGAACCCGGGTAGGCTGCATGCAAGGCAAACACCCTACCCTTTGTGCTATCGCTCCAGCCCCCATTTTTAAATGGCACTTCTGTAGGAGCCAAGGGTCGCTAGCGTGGGCCAGCGCAGTTCTGTAGGAAGCCCCTGCAAACAAGAACCCATCCCGGCGCAGGTGGTCAGAGCTGAAAAGCTCGTTCTAGATTAAGTTTCTTCAAAATGGGTGGGAGTGTAATGGCCCTTGACGGTATTCTAAACAAGAAGTGGCAGGAGAAGGGGCTAAGTGCCTTGTCTTAAGAGCCCAGGACGAACTTGGCAGAGGAAGGGACCTTTCCAGAACCACCCAGGACTGCATTCCAGATGTCTCTGAGTTCCCAAACCTGGCCCAGATTGGAGCACAGGGCCTGGATTTACCACTTCTGCCCGTTGTTTCCGTCATACTTTCCTATCATTAATGGTGTAGGGGGTCTGCTCCTTATTCCTTATTTATTACATTTTGTTACTTCTCCCTTTAGCATCAAATCACAAATCACAAATCCTGTTATTCGTCGATTGCCTCGAGCAGGCCCCAGTAAGTCTCCTTCATCCTAGCCCTGAGATTATATTCAGTAACAACGATGGGTCAGGGCCCTTTAGCATATGCATTAAAATCTGCAACCACAGAGTGAAAGGGTAATTTCAGAAATAGAATATTGGGCTATGAGTAGGGAGTATATGCTTTCATCCCAAACTCTGGAAAAACCCTAAACTCTTAATAAGCCTTAGTAACACTTAGAAAACTCTTCCTGAGACAATATGTCTGCTTCAACTCAAAGGTTTTTCACTGGTATTGTCTCATGAATATAAAACCTTTCGATTATATTTAATAAAATATATTGCTCCCATCTTGCTCCATAAACATGTCTTTTTCGATGTAAAGGAATGATTTGTAGCTCCTGTGGGGCTGTAAGATTCTCAGATCCATGTGTGTGTGCTGTGTGGAAGTTAGAATTGGTGCCATCTTATAGTTTGGTTTTTGGGCTATACGTGGTTCTGACTCTGCACTCAGGGATCACTTCTGGCTGGGATCGGGGGACCATATGTGGGGCCCAGGATTGAACCCGGTGAGCGATGTGCAGGGCAAGCATCTTACCTGCTATGCCATCTCTGGCCTTTTTAGTGCCGTCTTGAAGATGAAGATCAAACCAGAGTAGCTGTAAGGTGAAGCATGGGCCGGGAAGGAACCACCGCAGGAAATGACTGAAAGATTTATGGATTGTATTTAAATAGTATATAATAAAAATATATAATAAAATATATAATAAAAATATATAATAAAATATATATCTTTTTATATAATATATATAATAATCCTTTACGCTTAAAAAACACACACATTGATTTGCTGTTTTATTTCATTTCAGTGTTGCGGAGCTGTTCACAGTATCAGCAGGTAACTGACAAGGAAGACCTGGTAAGAATTTCCCTTCCTTTTAATGCGGTGTTCTAGATATTTCCAAACTGTTTAGTTTTTGAATAGATTTAAGTTGAAGGACAAGAATACTATCACTAGTCTGTTGGCCAGTTAGCTCACTGGGCTGAGCAATGCTATGCTGGCAGGAGACCTCTGGTTCTGTCCCTGACACCACATGGTCCGCTGAGCACGGTGGGAGACACCCAGTACTGAGCCAGAAGTAGCCCACCCTCTACCCCCATATTACTGGGTGTAGCCCAGAACACTGGAGGAAAAGTACAATAGTGATTTAACATCTGGAAATTTGGGGAGTGGATCTAGGGATCATACTGATTAAGAATTCCATATCATGTGGCTGAAAGCAACAGTTCGGCAGACATGGTGCTTGCTTTGCACATGGCCAACCCAAGTTCATTCCCTGGCTCCATGTATGGCTCCCCCAAACCTCTCCAGGAGTGGTCCCAGCGTGTAGAACCAAGAGTAAGCACCGAGCAATGCTGGGTCCTGAGCTTGATCCCCAGCATCCCATATCATTCCCTGAACACTGTCAGGAGTGACTTCCTGAGTGCACAGCCGGGACTCATTAAACATTGCTGGGTGTGGCTACACCCACCCAACCCCCAAATATAAGATATAGCTACAAGATATAACTAGGCATTTTGAGAAGATTTCAATATGGTTTCCTTAAGGTTCGGTTTTAAAATTTTTTTTTAATTTTAATTCAGATTTTTTTTACATCAGGCTTTATCAAATTTCTTCTCTTTGTCCTAGCCCATTCCAATGGAAAATCCTTATAAGGAGCCTCTGAAAAAATGTACCTTGTGTGGAAAACGTGTTGATTATAAGAATGTACAGGTGAGATCTGATTTTCCTTCACCATGATACTTGATCTTAGGATTTTTCTCCATTATTTGACTTAACTAAAGAGAATCTTTGTTTTTTAATAGGTTTTGTATAGAACCATTTGTTTTGGCAACTTTATAATTTCAAATCTGTGTATACTTTTGTGTAAGTTACAGCCTTTATTTCAAGTAAGACTTCTGTGGTTCTGCCTATTAAAACTCTTAGCTTTGGCCATATGGCCCCCCTGCTCAAAAAAAAAAAAAAAGGGTTTACAGAGTGTGTGTGTTTTTTTTTTTTAACTTAACACAGAAAGCATAGGCAACAGAGCAAAAATAAACCGTGGGACTACATCAAACTTAAAAGCTTCTGTGCAAAGGAATCCATGGCCGGAGAGGGGGGTGTGGGAGGTTGCAGGGAGACAGCTCAAAGGCCAAGAGTACTAATTCTCAGGAGCCTTGGAAGAGTGACTACTGAGCACTGCCAGGTATTAGCCCAAACCGAAAGACAAAGAAAAAAATAAAATAAGGCAAAAGAAAAGAAAACCCTTAGACTTGTCAAACCTCTACACTGAGAGGCTGAAGAGTCAGATAATGGTTAGAACATAAATGACAATAGGCTTTGACCTCTGACCCACACTCTGACCCACAACTTCTGCAGCAACAGGTCTGGGAACCTGTTTAAATCACAACATCTGCAGCAAATGGTTCAGAATGGTCAGGTATCCATTCAGTGTCTAACAGCTTTTAGTGTTTCCAACTCAGGATCAATTAGAGGAAGCCAAATCTACTTGCAGGCCACAAAATACCCTATTTCTAAGTTAACATGAAACAAGAGAGCTTCTCATCCTCCTAAGAGTCACTGGAGCTGAGTGGATCACCATTGCTTAAACTTTCTGCTTTCCCTTCCTCCCCTCTTGACTGCCTAAGAGTCTCTGCCAAATACTTGTGAGGGTAGCTTCCAAGTCCTGAATAAATAAATTCTATTTCCAAAAAAAAAAAAAAAAAACAAAAAACCAAAACAACCTCTTAGCTTTGTGTTTCTTGTTTCTCCCTTTTCTCTTTGACCCAGATGTTTTAGCAGTGGTTGACTAGCACTGTCCGTTTTTGGAGTTGAATAGTTTAAAAAATGCTTTTAGTGGAATTGATCTGTATTATAAATTCACATTTCTAATTTGCAGTTCATTCTTTCATGGTATCATGATTATATAGTATTAGTATCACTTTGGGCTGGAGCGATAGCACAGCCGGTAGGGCATTTGCCTTGCATGCGGCCGACACGGCCAACCCAAGTGAGCCCAGCAAGCTACCGAGAGTACCTCGCCCGCTCGGCAAAGCCTAGCAAGCAACCCGTGACATATTCGATACGCCAAACACAGTAACAAGTGTCACAGTGGAGATGTTGGGCCCGCTCGAGCAAATCGATGAACAGCGGGAGAACAGTGACAGTGACAGTATCACTTTAGGCATATAGCGTCACTGCCTCTGATCCATAAACTTCACTTAAATGATGTGAGCAATGAATTACAAAAACATAATTTAGTCATTGCTAATTCTAAAAAATCAAGTTAAATGAGAAATATTTAGGAGTTGATTGGGTTTTAAGGTGAGGGGGAAGAAAGAGTTAGGTATTAGTTTAGTGTGGTGGACTTGGTTAATTTTGTTCTGTAATTGGAATGTCAAAAGATGTAGGGAGAATTAAGACGATTCTAAATTTATTCTTTTTCCTTTACCTTTAATAACTTAATTTGGAAATCATTATTTTTCTATGATAATAAAATTCAAATGCAGAATCTTTTACAAATACTAATTTTAATGGGCTTTTACTGGTAATTATAATCTGCACCCTGAAGTGTTTATTACCTTGTTCTAACTAGCAGTACTTAGAACAATTTCTGTGGAAAGCTCATAAAAATAACTTTAATAATGGAAAGAATATGCTTATTAATCTTCTGTAGAATCTTTGGACACTGATGTTAACTTTAGTAATGATACTTTAAAAGATGACATTGAGGACTGAACATGTTTGCCACTCAATGCCTCTTTTGCAGACCACAACACCCAAAAGGAGAGAGAGAACACAGGGGATTGCCCTGCCACAGAGACAGGGGGGATGGGGGGATGGGGGTGGGAGGGATATTATCCATGGTGGTGGAAAATGGGCACTGGTGGAGGGATGGGTATCTGATCATTGTATAATTGAAACCAAAGCACAAAAAATTGTAAATCTACAACTTAAAAAAAAATAAAATAAAATAAAGGGGAAAAAAAAATCAGACACCAAAAAAAAAAAGATGACATTGATAGGATAAGATGTAATTGATAGAATAAGGATATAATATGTAACACATATTACATTTAATAGGGTATAATTGATAGGATATTTTTATTTATATTTTATGAAATTTTGAAACCAAAACTTGATTTAAAGGTGAAAGTTTTCTGAAAATTACACAGTTGAGGTTGAATAAGAAATGTATTAATACAGTTTTTTTTTTCTTTTCCAAATAAAACTCAAAACAGCTTTTGTCACAGTTTATTTCTCCATTTACCGGATGTATTTATGGAAGGCACATAACAGGTATTTTCTTTTCTTTCATGGTAACTTGAGTGTAGATAAATAAAAGTGTATAGGTATGAAAGCCAGACCATTTCCGAAGAGTGTTAAAACTCCGACTCACACTTTGAAAAAGCCACTTCTTAGACCAGAAGGGAACTACTTTGCATATCCTTTTATGCTTTATGCCCAATTCACCAAGCATAAAAAAAATAGCGTAAAAATACCAGCTTTGGACAAGAGGGTTGGTGGGCTTGGAGGTGAGACGGGGACACGGGAGGGGGTTTGGACCCAGTGGTGGTGGTCAGGTGAGCTGATGTGACATTGACAGAAATGCCTACGCCACTGTGAACACATGACCCTTCCTGTAATAAATTAGCACCACACACACTCACACACACACACATACACACACACTGTGGAGGGCAGGAGAGGGGGTGGTCCCCAAACCACCAGCACCAAAAGAGCAGAAGAATGCTCAGGGGTTGTGAGGGAACACAGAAGGCTAGAATGCATGCCCTCAGCGCCCTGCAGCCAAGGGGGTTCCATGCAGGCCCCACACGGTCCCCAAAGCCCTGCAGAGCACTGCCAGCCTTGGGCAGAAAGCACCACCCAAAATCCCTTTACTGAGAAAGAGTAAGGTAGAGGAGTTACTGGCACCAAGCTGAGCAGAGGGCGGCCCCATGGAGGAAGGTCCTCGTCAGTCAGCGGTAACACGGGACTGCAGCGTTTTCATTAAGCCACATGGAGGTGGGAGCCACCAGTGCCTGGTGCCGGTGTCTGAAAACCAGAAGCCTGGAGCCATCGGTCGTCTGACCTGCTGCTTGCTTTTATTTTTTGTTTTGGGGTTACTTCTGGCTCCGTGCTCAGGGTACTCAGTGGAGACCGGGGACCAGAAGGGTCCCCGGGATGAGCCCCTAGTTGGCTGTGTCCAAGACAAGCCCCCCTCCCCACTGTGCTATGGCCGCGGATCTGGCTTTGTGTGGGAGCTTCTGAAGCTGTCCAGCCCGCGAGCCACATGTCCATCTGGTTCTGGCCAGGTTTCTCACCCTGCCTTGACCTCCCACAACTGTTCCATGCTTGAATAACCAAGCATTTTCCTTCACAGGTCTTTGTGGGAAGAAACAAAAAGAAATCACAAAAGCTATCAAAAGAGCGCAAATCATGGGTAAGAGCATCTGAAATTCTGAATTGAGCAGATGAGGATTTTGCTCTTTTCCTGTGAATGACTTTGATTTTTCTCTTTATAGGGTTTATGCCAGTTACATACAAGGACCCTGCATATCTCAAAGACCCTAAAGTTTGTAATATTAGATACCGGGAGTAAACGGTTATCAGCAAATGTTTTATAATAAAGTGGTATGATACTAATATTGACCCAAAATCTAATATTTAATAAACTAGAAAATTAAAAACGTGAAAAGTTTAATCAGACTCTCTGCACTGTTTTAAACTCTTAAATTTTGAAGTTAGAAAGTGTTTTAGGGGTGAATTTTCCTCTCCAAACTGAACCAAAACATTTACAATATTAGTACTCATCACATTTTCCATGTATCAGTACTGTACAGTTGTCACTTGTATGGAGTCCACAAATAATACACCATTGATTAAAATAGTAAACATGGAAGGGATGGTAATGGAGTTTTATGTTAGGTTCAGATTCTTATAAGTGGGATCTTAGGGACATGAGTGCAGGAAAGAGGAGTGCTTGGACAATGGACACATCCTATTGATACATTGACGTGGAATCACTGGGACAGTGGCTCTGTGGAAATGTTCTGTGGCGGGTAGAGTGGTACTGTCCCAGTCCCCCATTTGTGGACTAGTCTGAGTGGTAAGTGTTCTTAAAATAGGACTGATCCATAGACAGTCTTTTGTCATTATCGTATCCCAGTGGTAAGGAGAATATTAAAAACGTGAAAAGTTTAATCAGACTCTCTGCACTGTTTTAAACTCTTAAAATTTGAAGCGTTCTTAAAATAGGACTGATCCATAGACAGTCTGCAAAGGAGAAGAGAAATTGAGGGAAAATGCTCTATAACTGTCCCCATTCCTCCTCAGTGAATACTCAGACTCAGTTATAAGCCATCTGTATACTGTCCTGTCTGTGCTTTTTTGATTCAGTTTAGCATTGACCTCAAGAAAGATAGACCAGGGGCCAGAGATAGTACAGGGTTAAAGCAGCTGCCTCCTCACACACAGCCAACTCCAGTTTGAACTTCGACACTGCATGTGGTCCTCCAAAGCACCGACCCCAGAGCATACAGTCAGGAATGAGCATCACCAGGTGTGGCCCAAGCCCAGGCGGATCATTATGCAAAAGTCTGCTAAATAATCTCGTACCTCCTTAAATGTTCACAGCAAACTGAGCTTATATGAAGAGAGTGTTTATACTTCAGTTTGACACGTATATAAGCACTCTGAAAAGTCTTGTTCTGGCCAGGGAGGGATGTGACTGTGGTAAAGCACTAGTCTTGCTTGTGAGGAGTTCCAGGTTTCTCTTAAGCTCCACCAAACACACCAAAAACAAAAACTACACCACCCTCAAGCATTTTAGAAGACATTTACACATATAGACTGTGTTGCTACTGCAATTCTTGACCAGATTGCATTCAATTACAATGTTCTAAGTGATACCTTCTGTATGACTGTTTTTATTTCGAAGGGCTCAGGGGATGCAGAGAGATCTCAAGGGTGTTAAGTGCAAGCTCTAGGAGAACCCCAGATTCAATTCCTGGGGCTGCATGGTCCTGAGTCCTGAGCTGGCAGTAGCCCCAGCACTGCTGGGCACCCTCTATCCCAACACAGACACACACACACAAACCCAAAAATGAAAGAAAATCAGGGCTCAGACCAATGACCTCGTTTCCCTCCTCTGTACAACACAGTAAAACAATCCCAGCTGAAACTGACCTGCATAAATCATCCCAAGAATTACGTGGGCTTTATAAGGAACCCACGATAACAGATACCACAGGTCATTACGAGCAGGTTCACTCCGGAAGTAACAAAGAGAAAGACAATGGTCAGTGTATGTTTTCAGCCTTCTGTTCACTCAGTGAAACAAAGATTTCATTTGACAAGAACTTCACGGAAACCTCACCATTAAGGAAAGGAGGGTCACTAGGTAGTCTCTAAGCCAGCTTTAGCTGCTCACTGGATTAATACATGGGGCTGAAGACCATGGCCTGCTGACCCATGGAGTTCTGCCCTGCACAGTATGTTGTTTGGGGCTTGGGAAATAGCGGGAAGGGCTAGAGTGGCAGTGATGCTCGGGTGTCCCCTTTCCTAGCCCCCTGACCAACAGCTAACCCAAACATGGTTCACAGGCGCACTGGGTATCAGGCACCCAACCCACTCAGGTCTGTTCTGAGGAGAGGCCTCTCAGCACCGAGAGATGATTCCTGTTCCAGTACCGTGGGAGTCGGAATCTTAGTGATATCAATAAAAATGAAACACATTCACCTTAGACTTCTGTTGTAAAAAAATAAGGCTGATTTCTTTTAATTCCAAACACTTTTTTTTTTTGTAAAAAAGCCATTTCAGCTTTTAAGGGGACAAAAAAAAAAAGGTTTGGATTGTAAAATGTAAAACCATCCGTTTTATAAAAAAAAGTCCTTTCTGTAATAAATGTGCTGGAAAGGATCGCAGAAGTCCTGCAGATAACGGTGCCCAGCAGAGAGATGGAGGGGGTGACCGTTGCCCAGCCTCAGAAGGTGGGTGAGTGCGGGTAGCGGCTCCTGCCAGGCTGCCCGTCCCCGTCGTCGCTCTCGGGGCTGCTGCTGGCATCCGGGGGGCTCGCTCGGCCTCGCCGGCTCCTCTTCACTCGCCACTGGGTGCTGGCCTCTCGGGCTGGCCGCTTGGCCGGCCGGGGCTCGGGGCCCAGCTCGGGGACGTCGGGGCACTCCACCATCAGGGTCAGGCTGTCGGCCACGGGCAGTGGGTGGGTGGCCGTGCAGGCACTGGCTGAGAGCCGCCGGCCCCGCAGGGAGACCACACAGGAGTGCAGAAGCGCGCAGGTGGGGAAGAAGGTCCGCAGGGCTTGGCAGAGCCACTCGTTCTCCCGGGGCTCGTCCTGCACGGCTTTCTTTCCTGGACAGAGAAACAGTTCTGAGGATCAGAAACTCCACATGATTGCATCCATCCAATTAGCGAAAGAAGAACGGCATGCATAATCCTTAATTCTAGTTTATATGCTGATATTCTAAGATCAAATTTGTTAAAATCGAGCACACCCGGCCATACTCTGGGCTTATTCCCAGTTCTGTGCTCAGGGGTTACTTTTTTTTTTCTTTTTGGGCCACACCCAGTGATGCAAAGGGGTTACTCCTGGCTTTGCACTCAGGAGTTACTTCTGGCGGTGCTCTGGAGACCATATGGGATGCTGGGAATTGAACCCGGGTCAGCCGCGTCCAAGGCAAACACCCTATCTGCTGTGCCCCTCAGAGATTACTTTTGGCAGGGCTGGGGGACCAAGAAGGGTGCTGGGGACTAAACCTGGTCGGCTGTGTGCAAGGCATGTGACTTGCCCGCTCTCCGGCCCAAATCTATCAGAGTCCTTAATACCAATGGTACACAACAGCACAGGACTGCTGCAATGGGACCACGGTCATTTCAGGACTAACTAAACAACTACTTCCAGCTTATTATTCAAGCCCCACTCTCCCGTGAACACCTGTCTCGCTTCCTTGTCGCTTTCCACTCTGGAAACAGTTCATCACCCATGTTCTCCAGTAAGTACACACTTCTCTCTTTCCCCTCATGTCTTTCTAAATAAGTTTCAATAAAAACTGGGAAAAAAAAAAAAAAACCTTTACATTCCAATCTTATGAAGGGCAGCTTCATCAGGTTGACCAGATGCCTCATCTAAATTCAGGTTTTCACAAAGCAGTGATGCATAAATACTCTCTTTACCTTCTTCACTCTGTGCTTGTCTTCTCTTTCTCACTTCCCCTTTTAATCTGTTGACGTCCCTGAGCAGTCTCTCCACTGCTTGCTCACTTTGTTCTACTTTCATGCATATACTCTGCAAAATAAAATAATGCAAGGGTATGAATAAAATTCTAAGCTGAGAACGGTCTCAGTTCACAAATAATATAAATTCTGTGTGTAATATTATTTGCCTTTATAATTTTATCTCACCATTTCCTATAGGAATTCACTAACAATAATCCCTTGTGTTCTATAGGTAATAAAATGCTTTTATTTTATATTATTTTGTTTTACATCCTTCCTTTGTGGGGGAGGATGCTGACACCAAGAACCAACCTCATTTGGGCTGGAGCAATAGCACAGTGGGTAAGGCGTTTGCCTTGCACATGGCCAACCCAGGTTCAATTCCCAGCATCCCATATGGTTCCCCAAGCAGAGCCAGGAGTAACCCCTGTGCATCGCCAGGTGTGACCCAAAAAGCGAAAAAAAAGAACCAACCTCCTCAGTCCATAAAATGCTTTGTAGTAGCTATATTAACTTCCCATTTTCATGTAGCTTTATCCTACCAGTTATTTCTTCAATAATAAATTAAGGAAAAAAAAAACCCCATGTAACTCGTACTGAAACAGGCATGCAGTGCCGTGGGGCTGGTTGTGGTGTTGGAGCATGTGACTTGCACGTGTGGGGCCCAGGCGGGATCCCCAGACGCAACCACACTCCTTGCCACAGAGACAGCAACAACAGTGCTGTTCTGAGAGTCAGTTACCGCAAACGTAACGTCAAGAAACTGACAAAAAACTACAATGAAAATGTGGGGCCAGAACGCAGCTCAAGGACTGCAGTGCATGCCTGCACGTGGGGCCCAATCTGACCCCCGGCAGCTCAGGGAACCCCATGACCACCTGGAGAAACCCTTGAGCACTGAGCCAGGCCAAAAGAGAAAAAAGAAAAGAAAAGGAGAATTGTTCTATTGTTAGCCAAGAAAATGAGAAAGATTTTCCTTCCTGAGAGAGAAACTGCATTTGAAATACGACTGGCCTATGTGTCTGCAGTAATAAGTACTAGAATCTTTTGACTCTGGTTTCATTTTGAGAATATAAATAATAGAAATTTACGTTACTTCTAAGTTAGTGTGACATCAAAAGTCGATTTCATTTACTTTTTGGATGTCTGCCCGGCTGACTGCCACCAGTAACCCCTTAATAACCTTCACATTAAATGAACCAAACAATACTAGTATGTAGTCAATCAGTAAATTTTAATTTTTTCTTTTTTACAAGGTATGAGGACTCAAAGCCAGGGCTTCACCAGGCCACATACAACTCTCCCACGAAGATAAGGGAGACAAAGTTCTGAACTATGGTGTGTCCCTATTCTAACCGAGTCCGTCCTTTTTTTTTTTTTTCCTTTTTGGGTCACACCCGGCGATGCTCAGGGGTTACTCCTGGCTCATGCACTCAGGAATTGCTCCTGGCGGTGCTTGGGGGACCATATGGGATGCTGGGAATCGAACCTGTGTTGGCCATGTTGGCTGCGTGCAAGGCAAACACCCTACCCGCTGTGCTATCGTTCCAGCCCCCCGAGTCCGTCCTTTTAACAGGGTCCTGCTACACTACACTACGAGATCCCCGGCATAAGAAAGAACCAGACAATGAAGCTAAATGAAAGCTGTTTACCTGATGCATAAAATTAAAAAAACGTTACCTGAACTATAAAAAGTTACCACTCCTTGGTGGTATAAAGGAGTACACAGCTCTCTACGAGCTGTACTCAACACCATCGAAAGCAGGGGAGCCAAACCCCAACACCCAAACTTAAAGATGCGCCTGTCAGAGAGGCAGGGAGGACAGGGTGGGGTGTGGGGGTGTGGGGGTGTGGGGGTGTGGGAGGGGCCTGAGATAAGGGGCCGAGGGGAGGAGGGAAGCTGATCCTGGTGGTGGGACTGGGGCTAGAACTGGGGCATGCTTAAAACCCAGCTCTGAATTACTTTGTAAATCATGGTGTCTTAAAAACAAAAACAAAAACAAACCTTAAAACCACGAGCCAAATGCTTATGTGCCCATCACTGTCAACTGTGTCAAAACATTGGGGGAAAAGTGGAGAAGGTGCAAAACAAAAATGGTCATGCTACAGCAGGACTCTGGATATTTCTCTATCTTCTAAAATTCTTACATTAATAATAACTAATTTTCGAAAGTACAGTCTTTGCAGCCTATAAAATAAATCAAGCCCCGTTTCTCTGTGTTCCTTCAGTGAGTCTGGTGGCCACGGCATCCGACCTCTCAACCTCCCTCTGGAGTGCAGATCTCTGCTCAGTGACCCACCAGCCTGGCCCTTCTCGCTGCCCCGCCAGTGCTTCCTACCTGCTGACCATCCTGATTCCTCTCTCAGGCTGCAGCGCCAATCTCCTGCTCCCCTGGCTTCCTTCCCTTTGTGCTCCAGGGGCCCACACGGTCTCCTGCATGTGTAACCCCACCCCGAGTCTACTTCTCAAGGGAACTGAATTGGCCAGTGAGAGAGAATTAGTAGATACTGTGTTCCTGACTCTTCCCTTTCCTTCCTAGCCTCCATAGGAGTATTTCCCGCCCATTGCCACGATCTCCTCTGGCTAAGGAAGTACGGAGAGAGGACACGTCACTCAGCAGAAGTCTCAGGTCTCACTGTGGTCTCATTGTGGCTCTCTACGGCACCCACGATTTCTGTCTTATAAAGAGAAAGATCTCACGTGGCACTGCCGAGTTTTGAGTGAAGGCAGTATCTCGCAGACCACGGAGAGTCTGCTCTAAGACCCACGGCAAACTAATACAAAACTACAAGTCTACTCAAAAGTCAGTTTACGCCTAAAAGATTCATGATCATTTTGACATGAACTTTCAGTTGTTCTTCTAAGTGACATTTAACGTACCTTTAATTCTTCTTGTAAAGAAGCATACATTTCATTTATCTTTTGTATCTCCTGTAAAGATCCATCTTCTTTAAAAAATGCAGAGCTGTAAAAAATAAACAAGCATTGCCTCAGAGGAAGGTATGTAACTCATTTTCATGGTGCGGGCCCAGAGCACCCGCGTCATGGGCTGGAGTGTGAGCTTTGCTTGGGGAAGACCGAGGCAACAGCACCACCAGGAGAGACGTCTGAGCTGAGGTAGGAATAGCCCCTCGACACTGCTGGGTTTTCTCGTTCAAAAACAAACCAAAAACCTGGGGCTGGAGAGCTAGTACAGCAGCTGGGGCGCTTGCCCTGCATGGGGCTGGCCTGGGTTCCATCCCCAGCAACCCATATGGTCCTCTGAGCACCGCCGTGAGTGATCCCTCGTGAAGAGCCAGGAGTAACCCCTGAGCATCGCCGGGTGTGACCCAAAACGCAAAAAAAAAATAAATAAATAAATGAAAGAAAGAAAGAAAGAAAGAAAGAAAGAAAGAAAAGGGGGAAAGGTTTCTTAGTACTGGGGACCAATTCAAAAATAAAGCTTAAATCATTGGTTGAGGGGCAACATTAAATTTATCATACTGTTTTGATAAAGAAATATTAAGACATGGGTTACGAAACATCCCACTTTGCGAGAAATGGAAATTTAAATTTGCATCTTAGTTATCAAAGAAATGCTGTTTGAAACTGCTCCAAGACATTGTTTTGGACTGGAGTGATAGTACAATGGGCAGGGCACTGGCCTGGTACTCGTCAGACCTGGGTTCAGTCTCCGGCACTCTGTATACCCCTGAGTACCGCCAGGAGTAATTTCTGAGAACTGCCAGTTCTGGCCCCCAAAGAAACATTTGTTTGTTTTGAACAAAAGCCAGCAGAGTGCTTGTGGTTTACCCCTGGCTCTGCATTCACGGATCACTCTTGCCAGGGCTCAGTGGATTATACATGGGGATTATGGATCATACAAAGCCCAACAGCTTTGAGCAAGTGCAAGGCAAGCACCTTCCCTGCTCTACATTTTTTCTTTGTGTATGTGTGTGTCGGGGGGCAGCGGGAGCCAGTGCAACCACACCCAGACAGGGCTCACGCCTGTCTGCACTCAGGGATCAGAATCACTCCTGGCAGTGCTGGGGGGGCGGGGCTGGGGGTAGGGGTGGCACAGCAGATGCCAGGGGTCAAATCCAGGCTGGCTGTGTGCAAGGGAAGTGGCCCCTCTCTGCACTCTCTCTCTGTCCCCAGCTTCGCTGTATTTCCCTTCAGGTCCGACGAAACATTGTTAAGCACTGTGGGAGCACAAAAATAAAGTGTAGTTCATTTTCATTAAACTTACTCTACCAAATATTCTGTAGTATCTGTTATTTTTGACAATTCGTTTCTTTGTTTTTTTTCTTTGTGGGTCACACCCGGTGATGCTCAGGGGTTACTCCTGGCTTTGCACTCAGGAATCATTCCTGGTGGAGCTCAGGGAATCATATGGGATGCTGGGAATCGAACCCAGGTTGGCTGCATGCAAGGCAAACACCCTACCCGCTGTGCTATCGCTCCAGCCCCAGACAAAACGTTTCTTAAAAAATTGAAAACTATGGAACCATAGCTGGAAGCCTGCCTCATGAGCAAAGGGGAAAAGGTAGCTGGAATAGACAAGGAATCACCAAGAAAATGATGGCTGGAGGAATCGGTCGGGATGGGAGATGTGTGCAGAAAGTAGATGAAGTACCAAACATGATAACCTCTCAGTGTCTCTATTGCAAACCACAATGCCCAAAAGTAGAGAGAGAGAGAGAGTATGGGGAATCATGTCTGCCATGGAGGCAGGAGGAGGGTGGGAAAAGGGGGCTATACCGGAGGTATTGGCGGTGGGGAATGTGAACTGGTGGAGGGATGGGTGTTTGATCATTGTGTGATTGTAACCCAAATATCAAAGCTTGTAACTATCTCACAGTGATTCAATAAAATTCAATTAAATCAATAAAAATTAAAAACCAAAACAGAAAACTATGGCACCAGGGAGATAGCTCTAAGGGCTGGCAAGCGGGCTTTTGTGTCTGGGAGATCCTGGTTCCAGCCCCAGCACTGTCGGCCCCAAACTGCAAATCACCCTCCCTCCGCTGACTATGGAATGTACTGTGTCTTCCGCCGGTTTCTTTCCTTTCGGTGGTGCTAGGAACTGAACCCAGGCCTGACCCATAAACCAGGGAGTGCTTCGAGAGCCCCAGCCCACCCCCATCAAGTCTCATTTTTGGATCTTATTTACTAGCCATTAATGTCTTTCATCTGAATTGCTGCATTGGGGAGGAAAATACAATAGTTAACACTTTAAGGCTAGTTATTAACATCTAAGATGGAAAAGACGTTAAATTCTCAGGGTATGCAACAGTCCTCTGTGTGTGTCTTCAAACTGGCAAAGACCAGGAAAGAGAGAAGGAAGCAAATGCAGAGAACGGCCGGAGTGCGGGGCCGGTGCTCCTTTCCCTTTCCTGGTGCTCCTTTCCCTCTCAGCCCTGCCGCCCTGAGACGGGAAATCAAGTCAAAGGCGGAGCGAGAGCAAGACTGGGGCGGTTGTGGTCTCTTACCTGTGTGTCGTCACCGCCCGGTGGAAACCCGCGGACACGCAGGAGCCTGACACCGTCTTATAGCCCACCTGTTCGGACATGCCCAGGTTGGCCACCACCAATGGGATCCTGTGGAAAAGCCTGAAGAAAGAAACACTTAGAGCTACAGCCAAAGATACGAATGTATATCTATTCGCACAGATTATTCTTTCCCTACAAAATTAAAAACAAAATCCCAAGATTCAAAGAAGTGACTGGAGGCTTTTCAAGGCTGTGCACTATTAGGGCCGGAGCAACAGAACAGTGTGGGAGGCTGCTGGCCTTGGAGGTGGTTGACCCAGGTTTGATTCCCGGCACCCTGGGGGTGCCATGAACCCACCAGGGGTGATCCCTGAGCACAGAGCCAGGAGCAAGCCCTGAGTACCGCCCAAATGTTGTGCCCTGTGGTCAGGGAGACTGTGCAGAGGGTGGGTGATTGTGCCCCATACCGCGTGTTAAGGGCTGCTCCATCTGGCAGAAAAATCACCTGTGCCTAAGCACTGCTTGGAGGGGTCCCTGCTGTCCCCCCCACCACCCCGCCTCCAAAAAACAAGTGTGAGTCACACACAGAGGAAATGGCTGAGAACCATGAATCAAACCACAGAGCTGTGGGCATGGGGGGAGAGGGAACCAGGGAGGAGCCAGAGTGGGCCAAGTGGGTGTGGCAACTTCCAAGAGGTGTGACAGGGTCCTGTGCTGGAGACATGCAGAGCGGGTAGGGTAGACCCAGATTCAATCCCCTGAATCCCCTATGGTCCCTCGAACATATACTAGGAGTGACCTCTGTGTACCAAGAGTAACCCCCAAGCACCAAAAAAAAAGAGAGAAAGAGAGAAAAAAAGAAACTGTATCCTGTAAAACTTCATGCATTGATAAAGACTAATTTCAGAAGATTTTTTATTGTGATAATCCAATACAGTAATAACCGGAAAGTAGTTGGTAACTGCAGAAAGTATAACAAAAATATTGGGGTATATTTTTCTTTTTGTTTTTTTTTCTTGGCTATACCCAGTGATGCTCAGGGCTCTCTACTGGTTCTGCACTGAGGAATTACTCCGGGCAGTGCTCGGGGGACCATACAGGATGCTGGGGACTGAGCCCAGGTCAGGCACATGCAAGGCAAGCGCCCTGCCCGCTGTACTTTCTCTCTGACCCCTGGGTTTATTTTCCTTTGAGCTGAAGACTGTGAGTGACTAGGCAATACTCACCCTTTCTGAAGTCTGTATAGGGCATGTTCCAGCTGATGAGTAGAGCAGCTTTCTGTTATAATACTTGGTGTTAACAGTAGAAAAACAAGTTCCTGGGTTGAAATAAATGTCTGCAAATTTTGGTGAAGCAATCTTTCTCTAAATGTCATGGTCTGGTCTGAATGACGTCGGAATTTGTACCAACCAACTACATTCTGAAAGAAAACACCAGTGGTTACAATTACTGCGTTATCTGTCATCATTAAGCAACAAAAATGGAGGCCTTGAAGAAAACGACTTTTCTTGATAATTTAGAATATTTAGGCTATCTACATGTTATTTACCTCCCAGTTACGGAGCTATATTAACTTCACTAAAGAAAGATGAGGGAGAAAAACTTCCTCATTTCCTCTCAATTTACTTGTAATGGGAGTTGCTAGCTTCAAGTCTTCAAAGATTCGAAATCTGCCCTTCAAATCTTCAAATCTTGCCTCACATGTGGATGACCCCGGCTTGAATGCCCAGCGCCACCAACAGTGGTCCCTTGGTGGCAGAGAGCCAGGAACAGGCCCTGAGGATTACTGTGTTTGTGGTCCCCAAACAAAGTAAGAGCTGCCTAAAGGCTGGAGAGACAGAGCAGGGCTTAAGGCTCCTGCCTCGCATGCAGCGGACCCAGATCTGATCCCCGGCACAGTGGATGGTACCCCCCTCCCCCCAGCAGTGATTCCTGAGCACAGAGCCAGGAGGACCCAGCAGTACCACGCCCAGCAGTACCCAGGACTTCATCTCTAGAGCTGGAGACCCAGCAGAGGGGTAGGCTGAGCAAGACCCTACACCTGCAAATCCCCCGAGCACCGAGCCAGGAGTAGCTCGGAGCTGCCCAACTTGTAGCAACTGTTTTATGCTTATTAAACTGAAGAAATGAAGTGACTTCTGAGCATTTAAGGCGAAGCCACTTCTGGTGGCAGGAGAGTACGAGGGCAGCAAACTTGCCTTGCACACGGCGGCGGCTGCTTCCCTATTTTGACTCTCGGGCACTGCACATCATCCCCCGAGCACTATCTGGGACCCCTCAGGCAACAGTGGGCTGACCCTTGAGAGTGGAGGCAGGAGCAGGCCAGGCGGGGCCAGCCCTACCCACCCCCACCAAGAAAAAAAAGAAAAAAGATGTAAACAAAACAAACAACAACCCCCCTCCCCACCTTTTATTCTTTTTATTTTTTGCAATGCTCAGGGGTTACTTCTGGCTCTGCACTCAGGAATTACTCCTGGTGGTGGTCAGGGGACCATATGGGATGCTGGGAATCGAACCCGGATTGGCTGCATTCAAGGCAAACGCCCTGCCCGCTGTGCTATTTGCTCCAGCCCACCCCCCTTTTTTTAAATACAGAAACACTGTAAATAAACTAAACCTCAATTAAGGGAAAGCCCCAAAATTAAATTGGAACTCAAGATTCTTTTTACAATTATGCTTTTTCAAAAAAAAAAAATAGAAATTGGGGTAGAGTCATACCCAATTGTGCTGAGGGCTTATTCCTGGCTCTGTGCTCAGGGATAACTCCTGACAGTGCTCAGGGGACCCTCGGGATCAAACCGAGACAGATGGCCTACCCACTGTACTACCTCTCCACCTCCTTTTCCAAACCTTTTTCTCCCCTGGTTTTGGGGCTACACCCGGCAATATGTAGGTGTTACTACCGGCTTTGGCGCTCAGGAATTAAACTGGTAGTGCTGGGGTGATCATATGGGCGGCTTGGGTTTGAACCTGAGTCAGCCACATGCAAGGCAAACACCCTAACAACTGTACTAATGTACTGGTGTGCTACCTAACTTTTTAAGAGGAAAAAAGAGTACACAGAAATTTTTTGGGGGGGGGGGCAGGGCAGGGGATCTATTTTCATTACTTAATAATTTTGTTTTCTGAGGTCACACATGGTGCTACTCAGGGAACCATAAGGGATGCCAGGGATCAAACCTGGGCTGGCAGCATGCCTTATAAGCACCCACCCTTGGGACTGTCTCTCTGGCACCAGTGAAGGGCCACAATTTTGTTTGTTTGTTTTTGGCTTCTGGGCCACACCCAGTGCTCAGGGGTTATTCCTGTTCTGCACTCAGAAATTACTCCTTGTGGTGCTCAGGGGGCCATAAGGGATGCCAGGGACTAAATGCCACATGAAAAACAGGTATTCTATCCTCTGTACTATCACTCGCATCCCTCACTTACTGTTTCACGAGGCCAACTGTGCTATGGAAAAGTCAAATTAGGTGCGATAAAATATAGTGATGGGAGCCAAATGAAATAATAACAGTTTAAGTCCTAGGATAAATGGGACATGAAAGTGGTGTAAAGAAAAAGAGATCACTGTAAAGAATAGTCAAGGAACAAGATGAAAAGTTTTTCCTTTCTCTTTTCTGATTTAGGGGCCACATCCAGTGGTGTTCGGGGACCGTATGCAGTGCTGGAATCAAACTGGGGCCAGACGTGTGCGAGCAAGCACCTTAACCTCTGTACTATTTCTCTGGCTCGAGATGAAGTGTGTGTGTGTGTGTGTGTGTGTGTGTGTGTGTGTGCGCGCGCGTGCGTGCGTGCGCCCCATATGAATAGCTTTTATGACAAGTTTCCCTTTCGGTGTAAGCCTTTTGAACTTGGAAGGAATGAGATGTTTCTTGCCTGTTTTGTAAGACAGTATAAGGGCAAATGTAAAAGTTCCGTCAGAAAATAGCATGGATTTTAGGAGCTAAAAAATCACATATACAGTACCAAAAAGAAGTCAGATAATACCGTTTTAGCACGTGATAGTATGTTCTTCAGTGCTTGTACATTTACTTCACCAGAAGAATTGTAAAAGCTGTAAAAGTCAAAATTAAAAGTATTTCAAATTTAAAAATACCAATTAATTTCATTAGCTATGTTTGGGTGGGGTCACACCCAGCAGTTCTTAGGGAGCCATCTCAGCCCCTGTGGTGGGATGTGAAGGGACTGAACAGTGTCAGGACCGGGACCGAGGAATTGTCATCCCGCTAAGCCATCTCCCCAAGCCTGCAGTGCCCACGGCTTACTCCTGGCTCTGTGCTCAAGGGTCACTCCTGGTGGTGCTCAGGGGACCATATGTGGTGCCCAGCTCAGATGCATGCAAGGCAAGTGCCCTACCCACTATATTATTTCTCCTGCCTCTTCACTAGGACTTTTGACTTTAGCTACTCCTAACCCAAATCCATAAATCTTTTGTCAGATGATATTCTCGAGAAATCTTTCAAATGAATTTTAAACACAAATATGAGGTCTATAAAGAATAAAAAGGACTGGATTAACATCAAGAGAAAAATGTGTGTGTCTCTGTGTGTGTCTCTGTGTGTGTGTGTGTGTGTGTGTGTCTGTGTGTGTGTGTGTGTGTGTGTGTGTGTGTGTGTGTGTGTGTGGTTTCCTTTGGTAACTAAAACAATCTGTTAAATTTAGGCACTTAAGCTGGGGAGAGAGAGTTCAAAGGGTGAGAGCATGCTTTCCATGTGGGAGAACCAAATTCAATCCCTGGCACCAAATGGTTCCCAAAGCACCGGCCAGAAGTAACGCTTGACTGCTGAGCCCAGAGTGTCACCTCACGCACCACTAGGTGTGACCCTCCCCAAAATAAAACCAAAAACTACATGGGTATTTTTACGCTGACACAGGCAGACCACTTTACTTATTAAAACTTTTTTTTTTAAAAAAAAGATAACATTCAAAAGGGCATGTTTTATGAGTAATGAAAAAGTCACAAAAATAATTTAATTCATTGTTAATCAAAAAAAGAAAAAAAGAAATCTCAAATGAAAATAAGCCATTTACGAGTTGTCAGCTTCTTCAGTTTAGGTTACTGTTCATTCTATCATTAGAATGTCAAAGACTTAGGGAGCATGAAAAGGTAATTCTTTTTTATTTGAAATGCTTCACTGAATCACCATGAGATATAAAGTTACAAAGTTGCTCATGGTTTGGTCTCAGTCATAGAAGTTCCAACACTGTTGCTTCATCAGTGCACATTTCCCACCACCAGTGTCCCCAGTTACCCTCCCGCCACCTCTGCCCCAGCCTGCCTCTATGGCAGGCATTTTTCTTCATTCTGTCTCTGTCCTTTATGGTTTGAAGTACAGGTACTGACAGGTTATCCTGAATATCCCTTTACCTCCTTTCAGCACTCACTTCTTGTACAGGGTGATCATTTTCAACTGTCACTGTTATAGTGACCCCTTCTCAATTCTAATACCACTTCTGTTAAGCTTCCATCCATGGACCAGTCCTCCTGATTCCACTGTCCGTAGGTATTAGTCTCATATTATTTACTTATTTAATATCTCACAAGATGAGTGCAATCAATCTGTGTCTCTCCTTTGGACTCGTTTCACTGAGCATGGTACTCTTCATGTCCATCCATTGACAAGCAAATTTCATGACTTTGTTTTTTTCCCTGGTGGCTGTGTCGTATTCCATTGTGTAGACATAGCAATTTCTTTACTCAGCCATTTGTTTTGGGCACTCGGGTTGTTTTCAGATTCGGGCTATTATGAATAGTGCTGCAATGAACACAGAAGTGCAGATGGCATTTCTGCTGTGCATTTTTGGGTCCCGAAAGTATATTCCCAGAAGCGGTATTGCTGGGCTAAATGGAGGCTCAATTTCTAGCTTTTTTGAGGAATGACCATACTGTTTTCCAAAAGGCTGGACCAGTTGGCATTCCCACCAACAATGAAGGAGAGCTCCTTTCTCCCTGCATCTGTGCCAGCACTGGTTGCTCTTGTTCATTTTGATGTGTGCCAGTCTCTGTGGTATGACCTCGTGATATCTCACTGCTGTTTTGATTTGCATCTCCCTGATGATTAGTGATGTAGAGCATTCTTTCATATACCATTTGGCCATTTGTATTTCTTCTTTGAAGGAAGTTTTTGTTCATTTCTTCTATTTTTTGATAAGGTTGGATTTTTTTCTTGTAAAGTTCTACCTGAGCCTTATATAAATTTGATATTAACCCTTTGTCAGTAGGGCACTGGGTAAATAATTTTTCCCATTCCATGGGCTGTCTTTGTATCTTGGTCACCATTTCTTCTGAGGTGCAGAAGCTTCTTAGTTTAATGTAATTCCATTTGTTTATCTTTACTTCCACTTGCTTGGTCAAAGGTGTTTCATCTTTGAAGATGTCTTTAGCTTCAATGTCATGGAGGGGTCTGACTACATTTTTTTTCCCATTTACCTTATGGACTCAGGTCTGATACTGAGGTCTTTAATCCACTTTGATCTGATTTTCATGCCTGGCATTAGAAAGAAGTCTGAATTCATTTTTTTGCATGTAGCCGCTCAGTTTCCCCAGCACCATCTGTTGAAGAGGCTTTCCTTGCTCCACTTCATGCTTCTTACTCCTTTATCAAACATTAAGTGATCAAATATCTGGGGATCTGTGTCAGGATATTCAAATCTATTCCACTGGTCTGCGGGTCTGTCTTTCTTCCAATACCATGCTGTTTTAATTACTACAGCTTTGTAGTAGTTTGAAGTTAAAGAAGGTGATGCCACCCATCTATTTCCCAAGGATTCCTTTAGCTATTCATGGGGGGTTATTGTTCCATATGAATTTCTGGGGTGTTTGATCTATTTCTTTGAAATATATCCTTATAGGGACTGTATAATGCTTCGGGGACTATAGTCATTTTGATAATGTTAATTCTCCCATAAGCAGGGGAATGTATCTCAATTACTTCATGTCCTCTTTTATTTCTTGAAGCAGCAATCTCTAGTGTAAAGGCAATTCTAAACCTGTATGTATGTGGTAGACCCGAGGAATCCCTGGCACGGATGCTCACCCCGCCTTGATCCGAGGTCTATCTCTGGCATCCCATATGGTCCCCCAAGCACCAACAGGTGTGATTCCTGAGTGCAGAGACAGGAGTAGCCCCTGAGCATCACTGGGTGTGACCCCCCAAAACAAAACAAAATTTTCAAGGGCAAACAAGTCAAATAAAAGCAGGGTTTGCTAACGTAAAGTGTTGCCAAAAGGAGAAAAATATTTAGCTGATCAAACAGATCCTTCTACTTTCTCTCCCTGTTCCAATGTGAGAATTCTAACGACAAGATCTGATGCCTTTCCTTCTCTCTCCAGTGTGGGCGACTGCTGAGCTGCATCCCCTGGGACACTGGGCAGCCCTGAAGCCTGCGGGGGAAACTAGGACATGGGGCGTGGCTCCGGGGCAGAGCACTTTCCTTGCATGAATTGAGCCCCAGTTCTGAGGAGAATAATAATATTTGTGTACATCCTTTCTGCGGGATGTAACTGTATATCCTCTGAGCAGGCAGGGATACTGTTTGGGGGACAACTCCAGGAGTTCCCAAAGCAGCTACGATGAGGAGCGCGCTTGCCTTGCGGGTTCGATCCCCAGCATCCCATATGGTTCCGAGCACTGCCAGGAGTAACGCCTGAGCATCACTGGGTGTAGCCCCCAAACAAACAAGGCAAAGCACGCAGCGCTCCAGTCCACTGATCCATCTCCCCAGCCCCAAGCACTGATGGCTGCGGCGGTGACTGGGTCTGAGCCAACTCTCATGCATAGCCCAGGCCACATGTGCCGCCTTTATAGCTTCGGGGGGAGCATTTTCATTGAGTTTGGGGCCGTGACGGGCAGTTTTCAGGAATGCTCAGCTCAGTGCGTTCCAGTGGAAACCTCCAAGAAGCAATCAGAGCAGGGCTGGCAAACCTTAACTGCAGGGGGCCAGCTGGTGACCACCTGAGGCTCTGCGGGATGGGGGAGTCCGCTGCGAATCCCTCCACTGCGTATCCCTCCACTACGCTTAAAACACAGGGTACCTCGGGGCTGGAGAGCTAGCACAGCAGGCAGGGAGCTTGCCTGGAGCATGCCAGATCCAGGTTCAACTCCTGACACCACACATGGTCCCCTAAGCACTGCCAGGAGCAACTCCTGAGTGGAAGGAAGGAATGGAATGAAAGGAAGCCCTGAGCACTGCCAGGTATGGCCCCCAAATCAAAAACAAGAGAAAGAAAATCTTACTGTACTTTCGACATTGAGACAAACCTTAACATTGTTTTTATTCTCCGGCCTACAATCACCCTTTAAGAATGCATTTATTTTAGTGATCAAAAAATATGGGGGCTAGAGCGATAGTACCGAGGGTAGGGTGATTGCCTTGCCCACGGCAGACCTGGGCTTGATCTCGGGTACTCCATATGGTCCCCGAGCCCGCCAGGCACAGAGCCAGGAGGAAGCCCTGAGCACCGCCCAAATGTTGTGCCCTGTGGCCAGGGAGAGTGTGCAGAGGGCGGGTATCTGTGCGAAGGCCCCAGCACTGTGTAATCAGGACTGCTCCGTCTGGCAGAAAAGTCACCCGTGCGAGCACCAAAAGGCTCGAGGTCAATTAGTACCTGGGAGTGCAGAGGAGACCAACTAAATTTGCATACATCATGACAGGGAAAAAGCAAGGAGACAGAGCTAAAACGAGAAGTGAATTTTCAGGATTTTGTTTATTTTGCAAAGATTTTTCCCTCCCCTTGTTTTCGGGGTCACACCTGGCCGTGTTCAGGGCTTACTCTTGGCTCTGACTCAGGGTTCACTATTGGGGTTCTGGGGATGGCGTGGAGTGCCAGAGAGCAAATCCAGTCAGCCTGATGCAAGGCAAGCACTCTGCCCTCTGTACAACGATCACTCTGGCCCCAGGATTTTTTTTTAAAAGCCCTTTCATTCTAGCTGATACTATCATGTAGAACTGTAATTGGACAGCTTGTCAGTATGAAGACAAGTCACTCGAGAGAGGCAGCTCTCCATGGGGCTCTGTGCTCTGCATGTGGGCGCTGCGGTTCAACCCGGGATGCCACGAGGTTCCCTGGGCACAGCCAGGAGAGCCCCTGAGCATCGCCGGGTGTGGCCCCCAAACAAAAATAAAATTTAAAAATGATTTCACTTGCAAAGAGTTAATTTTAATAACTCATTCAGGTGCTCTTACTACTTACCTAAAAAGCTGATAGCACGGGATATATTTCTGAATGTCTGGAAAAACAAAAAGAGTTTTAGTCATGATTACATTCCTGCTGGAATCACATCTGTTGGGCAATTCACATTTGTAATCTCACTTCCTCGCTTTTTTGCTTGCCATATCTACTGCATTGTTTCTGGTTGAGCAACACCCCTGTCACATCACATCAAACAGTTACCCTCACAAGTCTAGGAGGCAGATGCACGCGTCGGGCCTTCTTTTAAGGATGAGGCAACAGATTTAAGGGGCTCAACTGAACCGGCGGCAGAACAAAACTCAAACCCAGAGCCTGAATGCTGTGTTTCATTCCCTCCAAATGGGCTTAAATAAAGGCAAAATAGGGGCTGGAGTGCATGAGCCAGGAGTAACTCCTGAACACTGCTGGGCGTGACCCCAAAAAAGCAAAAAAAAAAAAAAAGGTGGAGTTCATGCCCAATTCAATCAGCTTAATCAATGACTGAATTGAGTTGAAACAGAGCAGTATTCCTACATTTGAAAAAAAAAAAAGGCAAAACCAGTTAGGTTGAAGTTGCCAACGCCTTTCACATGTGAGGCCCTGGCTCCCATTCCCAACATGGCAAAAAAAGCTGGATTTTAATTCGTTTCCAAAGCCTTACTCCTGACACCCTCCACCTTGCTGGCAGAGGAACGGCCCGGCTCCACATCTCCTAAAGAACACGGTGCCACCGAATCTTCCCAGGCAGGCAGATCAGTGCTGAGAGCTCCAGGGCCTTCTCAGAATGGGGGTGGGGAGGGGATTTCCCCCTCTGCCTGAAGGCCCAGCAGCCCTTAGCCGCACCCGACACCCTCCAACCAAGAACCTGCCCGGCTCCGCAACTGAACCTCGTCACACTGCCAAGCCAGCAAATTATTCCAGATCTATGGCTCCCGGACCTCCAAATTTTACAGCGCTGTCAGCCCAGGGGGACCAGAGCAAACCTGGTGGACAGTTGCAGAGAAGAACCCAAGCTCCATGAGCCTGAACAGTAACACAGAAGGCGGGGCTGGAACGATAGTACAGTGGGTAGGGTGTTGGCCTTCCACACAGCCAACCTGGGTTTGGTCCCTGGCATTCGATCCCCCAAACTAGCATCGCCAGGAGTAATTCCTGACTGCAGGGCCGGGAGCAACCCCTGAGCATTGCTGGGTGTGACCCCAAAAAAGCAATAAATAAACAAATAAATAAATAAATAACACAGAAGGCTCAGCTAGCACCAAGCAGCCCCAGAAATCCTCAGATAATGACTTTAGTAAACATCAATGTGAGCTATAACAGTTATAACAAACTGACTCTCACTGCTCTAAGTTTCGACAATTCCATTTGTCTTTCTGTTGTAACAAATGATATGAAGCATATTTATTTGTGCCTACAAGGGGGTAGGCGGGATGATGGTTGGAAACTGGTGGAGGGAAGGTCATCCTGGTGACTGGAACATTTAATGCCTGAAACAACTGGATTACGAGCAATTTGGGCAATCAGTGTTATAATTTAAAAAAAAATTAAAAAACAAAAGTCTTACTCTAATTTTACCGAAATGGAAACAAACAACAGTCGTTTCCTAAAGGATGCAACAGCTACAAAACAGACACCCAGCTTGTAAGAAGTTTTAGTCCAATGTCAAATGTTTTCATCTCTAGGAAAAGCAACCATCATCTTCACACACTTTCTCTTATTTCTTCATTTTCAAAATTCTCTACTTCCTTTCCCATTTGCTGTTCTTGCTTTGGGACAACCCCCGATGGTGCTCAAGGGTTACTCCTGAGTCTGTGCTCCGGGATCAGGTCACTCTTGGTAGTGCTGGGGAAACACGGTTCTCCTGGCATATAGACAAAGCCTGGACTCAGCCCCCCACCCCCGCCCCCATCCTGCCCAGAGAGCTAGACATGGTATTTAGGTGCTGTGGTTGCTGTTGTTTGGGGTCACACAAAGCAATGCTCAGGGGCTACTCCTGGCTCTGCATTCAGGAATCACTCCTGGCAGTGTTCGGAGACCATATGGGATGCCGGGGATCGAACCCAGGTCAACCGCATGCATGGCAAACGCCATTTCTGCTATACTACTGCTCTGGCCTCCGATAATGAGTTTTAATAATCACTGAACATGGATTCCAGTTCTACTTGGGTGTATGAAGCTTGAATGAAAAAAATTAAAATGCTTGGCTTCAATGGCAGGTATTTATTGTCAGCTATGTGCTCTGTGCTAGGCTCTAAAACTTATCAATGACTAAGATACTTTTTTTTTTTTTTTGCTTTAAAAACACCCAGTCCTCTTCCTCATTATGTTTCTCTTCCCCATCTCCCTCTCAGGTAAAATTTCATTCTATTATTAAGCATCCACTGGCTTCTTTGTCTTATACTTTGTCTTCTCATCAAATTTTATTCTAGACACCGACCTGATGGCAAATACAAGTTTTTCTCAGATCGATCCCTGGCAGAAATAACCCTGAGGAAACAGACAGCCCCTTTGCTGTCCAGCACACAGCACCTTCTACCCTTGAGGGCTGGTTCTTAGAAAGCAGCCTTCGAGCAAAGAAAGAAGATCCACAAATATAGCGGATCCTCAAATAATGTTGCTTTCTTTTCATTTAAACACAGGGATAGAGTCCTCCTCCCCACCCCCCATCAATAATACAATAAAATGCTGCTGAATGATACAAGAAAATATTGGAGGACCAGAAGTATACAGGTGTGGATGAGGTAAGTTGTGGCATGGCTAAGGGTACTGGACTCTTCCCGGTCAGCCCCTCTGAAGGCCTTACGGCCAGGCTGGGGACAGCACCAAATGGAGGACATGCCGGGCCAGGTCCTACCCTGGCAGCCAGGCACAGCCCTGAGCTTCACTGAGTGAGAGCCACCAGGAGTGGTGCCGACATCTCAGGACAGTGCTGAGGTGGCGCATGGAAGGTTTTAGGCGCTGGGGGAGACTAAGACTAGGTACTACTGCAGAAAGGCGCCGCATGGGCCCTGCGCAGCACTGGGTGTGGGCCAAACATAATGGCCAAAGAAGCGACCCCTTGGGCCAGGACTGCTGACCTGCTCACTCACTGCTCTGCAGGGGTGAATCTTACAATCTAACACCTCTCCTCTCCTCTCCCCTCCCCTCCCCTCCCCTCCCCTCCCCTCTCCTCTCCTCTCTTCTCCATAGGCCTCTCGGGTCGACCAGATGTCCGGCGGGACTCGCGCTCTGCAGGGGTGAATCTGAAGGTCACCTGCACAAGGACAGCAGCAGAAGCTGCCTGCTCACCTTTCAGGGTCCCAGACACACAGTGCAAAGCACTCAGTGAAGGAAATGCACGGACAGTTAGCGTGTAGCCCCCTGTCCCGGAAATTCCTTTTTTCTTTCAACATTTCTAGCCTCTTTTGTTCCAAGACCCAAGTGCTACGTTTTAAGAGATGGTTAAGTTTCAAGCGACTCCTCGTCTTCCTGTTTATAAGTCCTGCGGCAAAAGAGCAGGCAGCGACGAGAGCCAGGTGCTCTGGGTAACGCCAAAGGTCTCCCCTTTTGGCTAAACGCTGTGTGCCAGTGTTTGGCTTTGGAGTGCACCAGGCTGCTGCTCTCACTAGACTAAATTGGCATCATACTGTTTCCGATTAACAGAAAAACACAGTCATTCAGAGCCAGGAAAGTAAGTGATGGCACACCCGTACAGTGGGAATATACAAGCGTGAGAAAGAATGACAAGCTGGACCATAAAGGATTCCACTCTACTATCTAGGGAGATACTGAACTCTCTGTATCACGATACTCCTCGTGTAAATGAAATACGTGCACATATGTGTTTTGTTGCATTGTGTGGCTTTCCAGCCATGCCACTGGTCCTGAGGGGCTTCTCCCAGCTCTGTGCTCAGGGGAGCATACCTTACCGGGCTCCAAGGCAGTCAGCCGGCATGTAGGGACGCACGCCAGCCCACTGCGCTCTTCGGTGGATATTTTGTTGGTTTATTTTTGGGCCACACCCAGCAGTGCTCAGGGATCATCACACCTGGTGGGCTTGGGGGACCATCTGGGATGCCCGGGGTGATGCCAGGTCAGCCACATGCAAGGCAAGCATCCTACCTGCTGTACTATGGCTGTGTATTACTAAGTTAAAAAACAACAACAAAACCCATGAAATCAAGAATGGCTGCCACAAAGGACACTCTAGTGTTGGGTCAGTCTAAATTCAGTTTACACACAGTACCTTCATATGCCTATATACTTCCACTTGTAACATTCTAAAGTGAAAGACAGGGAGGCCTGGGATACGGCTGAGTGTATACTTCACATGTATGTGTGAGGCCCCAGGTTTCACCCCAGGAACTGCAAAAACAAACAAACAACAACCCCCCAAAAAGTGGCAAACAAAATATGATAGCTTAATCATTCTGAAAAATAATTTGCGAGGACAGATCTAGTACTATCTATTCTTCAAACGTTTTGCAGTTGCCTTTATAGACGATAAGTAAAGTTTAAACGGCAGGTTTGTTCTCCTTGGCCCTACGAAAACATTCTTTTGGTTTCAGAAATGCCTTATCTTGATGTACAGTTAAATCTAAAATCACCGCCCTGGGAGTGCAGGGGGCAAGTTGGTAACTGAGCAGGGACCAACAGGCAGGACATCTGAGACCCCTTCCCGGAGCTGGGTTAAGATGAATGCCACACCCTACCTCACAGAGACTAACGCTATTGAATTGGTAAACTTCAGTCTCACGCTCTACACTGCTGGGCCAACAAGAGTTAAAACGTTTATTCCTGAGAATAACACGCACCCATCTGTACTCACCAGGTAACCCCTTTGTCAAGCAGCCACCTGGACTGACTCGATGATGGAAGTGTGCTCTGATGGCCAGAGAATACTAGAGCGGGTAATGCCTTGGATGTGGCCAACCCGGGTTCGATTCCAGGCATCCCATGAGTGATCCCTGTGTGCAGAGCCAGGAGTAAGACCTGACCACCGCTGGGTGTGCCCCCTTCCCCACTAGAAGATGATGACCCCCCTCATCCTGCCGCCAGCAACGTAAGAGAAATCATGTCCTGCATATCTGATCCTATGTCCATAACCATATCTTTCCCCCTCATACATGTACAACACTCTGTGTAACTATGGATCACAGTGAGCCCTGCATGCTTTAACTGACGCTCTGTTCTCCCACTTATTGGAATGCAGCTACACAGTATAAATCTGGTCACTGCTGCATTCTGGGCTGAGGCTTCGAAGCCCTGACCCACAGCGCAGTGTACAGTGAGGATGAATAAAGCTTCTTGTCCCTCTGCCTTCCGGGCCTTGGGGACCCTCACAGAGGATACGACACACTGTTCATAAATCATAAAGCCATGAATGAATAGGAAGAGCCAGACCAACCTGGTGGCCCGGGCAGGAGTGGAACAAGGCCACAAAAACAATTAGCAAACGTTTATAGAGAACTTAAACAATGTATTAAGATTCCTAGCAGCAGGGGACTGGAGTGATAGCACAGCAGGGAGGGTGCTAGCCGTGCCCACAGCAGACCAGGGTTCGAACCCCAGCATCCCATATGGTGCCCTAAGCACCGCCAAGAGTAATTCCTGAGTGTAGAGCCAGGAGCCCCAAGCATTGCTGGGTGTGGCCCAAACCCCCCCCCCCCCCCCGCCGCATGCAAATAAATTTTTAAAAAAAATCTAATTTTCCAACTGAACTTTATCCTCCCTCCCCTCCCACCTGCCCCCCCCCCCCCAGCAGCAAACTCAGGTCCTCACAAATACAAGGATCTCCTGCTAATACCTGGCCCTGTATTTTTTATTATTATTACTATTTTTGCTTTTTGGGTCACACCTGGCGATACCAGGTGTGACCCAAAACAGGGGTTATTCCTGGCTCTGCACTCAAAAATTGCTCCTGGCGGTACTCAGGGGATCCTATGGGATGCTGGGAATCGAACCCGGGTCGGTCGCATGCAAGGCAAACGGCCTACCCTCTGTGCTATCACTCCAGCCCCGCCTGTATTTTTTTTTTAACAATTAAAAATTTAAGCTGATCCCTCTCAACATAAACTGAAAAAAAAAGAAAAGGGAAACAAAAATAAACCACGTACCAATTGTATAAACGACTTCAACATCATCCATTTGGGAATCAGTGATGCTATTCTTGGCTTCACCTTTCACTTCTCCGAGGAGAAATCCTTCCTGTGTGAATGAAAATAAGCAACACATGAAATACATGTGAAAACTTCCCATTCAGTTACCGGGCCGGAGAGGTAGCAGAGTGGTTAAGAAGCTTATCCTGCATGTGGCAGACCTGGGTTTAATTCCTGCACCCCATATGATCCCCAGAACTCTGCCAAAAGGAGACCTAAGCACTGCCGGCTGTGGCCCCCAAACAAAATAAAAACAAAAAGAACTACCATTCAGTTACTGAACCAACTAATCTAGCCCAAGTTTTTCACCCTGTACATGCAATCGTGCTCCCGAGTGACAAGTACACAAAAGAAAGAACAGGTACACTTCCAGTTTAATTGGGAGAACATGGGCAGTTATATGAAAAGAAGCAGAGGAAAAACTGCAAATGACGTTGTGACTTCAACCTATCTGGAAGCAAAAAAAGCTGAAAGCCAGAATCAACTCGTGGTTGCTTTCTCTCTGAGAGGACCACACACAGTTTTAAGGGACCACACACTGGACTACCACCAGCAACGGAACATCCCAACAACCACCTCTGGACTCACAGCACGGTTCTGGGAGCCACTGGATACCTCTGAAAATGAAAGGACAACAATCTTTATTTTCAGAATGAAAATCATGCCAAGACCCGGGTTCAATCCCCAGCACCCCATACGGTCCCCCAAGCTCCACCAGGAGGAGTGACTACTGAGCACAGAGCCAGGCATGTGTGGTTCCCGCCCTCTGATCCCCCCCAAAACCAAATATGCCTGCATATGTACTGCCATTAGAAACACTGACAAACAATGGTTTGTTAAAATCATGGTGTTTATTTCTGCAAACTAATCCTCCCCTCTGAAAAAAAAAAAAAACCACTGTGTGCAACTGTCTACTAAGCCCTCACCCTAACACTACTTTTGGGGCTCAATGTTTCCGAGCGTTGCTCTGAATTTCCTAAAAATGAAAGTTTTGGAAAACAAGCATTAGTACCCAAGCAACTTCACGAATTCACTCACCCAGAAGTATTTTTTGAGTCTGGGTGGGAGTGATGAAAGAGCCTGAAATGCAATACCTGATCATCGGAGGATACACCAGCTAACTAGCCAAGCCCTTTTTCGCTTTAATCTGCTACGGAAGCAAACCAGCATCGCAGACCCGACAAAAACTTTTCATCCCCGAAGCTCACCCCGGCCCAAAAGAGGATGCCCCTAAGCCGCGGGGCATGCAACACCTGCTGCCTTCGATCTGTCCAACTCCTTGCACCGTGCACAGCAGCTGCCCCGCTGGAAACCGCGGGGTGCAGAGCTGGGGAGCTGCAGAGGAGCTGGGGAGTTGGCGGGCACCGGGGCAGCTCCGCCAACTCTCCGTTCGCGCACGCCCGAGCCGAGCGGCGCCGGGGTGGGCTCCCGGGAGCCACCGCTGCTCGACGGCTGCCCCGGGGCTGGCGGGCCGGCACGCGGCGCCGGCGGGAGGAAGGCGCCCGCGCGGGCCCGCTCCCCCGGCCAACGCGGCCCCCCGCCCCCGCCCCCGGCTCACCGTGTCCGAGTCGGTGTTGAAGTGCTGGAAGGCGAGCGCGCCGAGCACAAAGCCCGACAGCACCGCCGACGTGCTCTCGCCCTCCATGCTTCCGCCGTCTGCGCCGCGCGACGGCGGGGGCGGGGCACGTCCGGCCGGAGCCTTAAGGGGGGCGCCGGGGGCGGGGCCTGGGCCAGGCGGGGGCGGGGCCTAGGAGGAGCGGAAGAAGGTGGGTCTGGGCGGGGAGAAGGGCGGGGACAAAGGCAGAGGAAGAAGGCGGGCCCGGGCTGAACGAGGGGCGGGGCCTAGCAGGCAGAGGGAGGAGGCCGGTCTGGGCGGGGCGAGAGGCATGACCAATGACGAGGAGGAGGCGGAGCCTAGGTCCACGAAGGAGGCGGGCCTGGGCCGAGCCAGGAGGCGTGGCCTAGGCCGAGACTAGCAGAAAGCCTGGGCAGAGCGAGGGGCGGGAGGAAGGAGGAGGGCTTGGGCAGGTAGCCTAGACAGAGGAAGGAGGCGGGGCCTACGCAGAGAGGGGGTGTGGCCTAGGTCGAAGAAGGGGGTTGGGCCTGGGTAGAGGGAGGGCGCGGAGCCTACACCGAAGGAGGAGGCGGTCTTGGAGCGAGTGAAGGGCGGGGCCTAGGCCGAGGGAGGAGGCCGAGGGGCGGGGCCTCGGCCGAATAAGGAAACGGGCCGGGGCAGAGCGAGGGGCGGGGCCTAGGCCGAGAGAGGAGGCGGGCCCGGGCAGAGCCATGGGCGGGGCCTAGGCCGGCGCACTGCCCACCGCGCGCTTCGCCCAGGGCCGCGCAAGAGATGCGCTGACCCCTCTACCCGCGCTATCGGAGGTTCTTGGCGCTTGGGGGCGCTCTGATGCTGCGGTTGAGGACCCCGCACTTGTCTAATGGGTGATCCTCTTTTGCGCAGCGGTCTGGGTGTGGCCTGCACTAAGGGTGTCCTGACATGCATGCACCTAAACATTGCTAACAGAGGTATCAATACTCCGGGCGGGTGGGGACGCGCGCGGTCGACCAGGGCTCTGGCGCGCACTCCATGTGGTCACCCCGAGCACAGCCAGGTGTGACCCCAAAACACAGAGATCAGTACCTAGTTCAGGTACTGAACTTTCCGTCAATGGTTCATACCCCACGAGGGGCTGTACTGGAATATTCTGAAGTTTAGGTTTAAAAGCCCTCTGATTTCTTTAGGGCTTTTCCCACACCCAGCGGCGCTCCTGTGCTCACACCTTCAATCCACCGAGCCATCTCTCTGGTCCTGCTTGCTAATAGAAAATTAAGGGCTCCGAAAAAAGTTACTATGCTTTTTTAGCTATAATGATGGGTATCTTGAAATGGAGAAAAGACATAGCTGCACAGAATCAATCAGTACTAACATTTACAGTTTTTTCCGCTAATAAGAAACTTATTCTATGTCTGCAATGCCTGTGGAAGACAGTAGGTGTCTAACCTAAAAGGATAGAGCCCACTACAATATACAGTGTAATTTTTGTGAATTGTATAGCCTGCTGACCTAGTAAGTCAAATAAGATCAGCCTAAAGAAGAGTAACTGTCCAAACAAGAAAAACATTGGGATGCTTAATTAAATTATACTAGACCGAGGAGTGTTAGTTTCAGGAAGATGTGTCGACTTCCTTAAATTGGGATACAATATGTGTCTCTATCAAATATATGAAGCATTTGAGTTAATGTAAAAAGCAAGCATTTCAAAGGAAACTTTTCTTTCATTTTTGCATTTGACATGTTCTTCTAAGGAAAGGAATATAGAAAATGATGGTTTACAAGTACAGCACAACAAACATTGAGCAAATGTGCTAGAGGTGGTTATCATAAAGGAGAATGTTATCTTAGCAGCATGTCATACCTATGTTACTTCTTCAAAGTGGGAATCTGAGAACTGACAGAGTTAGGGCACTTTCTTTATCACTCAGGTTCTATCCCCAACATCTCCTATGATTTTCTGACTTTGCCAGGAGTGATCTCTGAGCACGGAGCCAGGAGTAAACTTGAGCACTCGCGCCCTCTCTGTGGCCAAAAAAATCTCCAAACAAATCCAAAACAAAAAGTTGCATGGAGTATGTGATACCCATGGGTACGTTGATTCATGTGACCTTCATGATGGGGTGGTTGGCATGCGGAAGCACCTCCTTAAGCCGCTCTGGGAACTGTAGGCTTTGACCAACCACCTCTGTCTTGGCTGCTCCTATAGACCATTGTTTTGTTTTGTTATTGTTTTTGTTTTTTTGGGTCACACCCAGCAATGCACAGGGGTTACTTCTGGCTCTGCACTCAGGAATTACTCCTAGTGGTGCTCAGGGGACCCTATGGGATGTCGGGGTTCGAACCAGGGTTAGCTGCATGCAAGGCAAACGCCCTACCCGCTGTGCTATTGCTCCAGCCATGCGTAGCCCCAAATAGACCATGCTTTGTTACTATTAGTTTTCAATGATGGGAACTAAATCAGGGCCTTACTCTTGGATAGAGACTTGTCCCCTGACCTTGGGCCATTCATGTGAAACACTGGCTTCCTGGAGCAGGGATCTTGAGCCGAGGACTCTCCATCCTAGCAAAGGTTCTTGCTTGTTCTGCAGCCAAACATTTGGCCAAACATTTGGAAATTTCCTTCCTTTGTCCGTTCCCAGGTAACAAATGTCCATGGCATGTGGAAGCTTTTTTTGGAGGGTGGGGTCAGGGGTTTCTTCTGGCTTTGCACTCAGGAATTACACCTGACAGCGCTCAGGGGACCATATGGAATGCAGGGAATCAAACCTGGGTCTCCTGCATGCAAGGCAAACGCCCTACTAGCTGTGCTATTGCTAGTCCTACTAGCTGTGCTATTCCAGCCCCGCTTCTCCCTTCTTAATATCCCTTCCTGCTATTTTATCTGCCAGAGATATTTCCCCAGTATGTTCCTTGCACATCTAAACTTGTCTTTGTGTTTGCTTTTCAATGATTCCAAATGTCCACAAGACCTACCACCTGTGAAGATTTTTCTAAGCCACAAAGATCACATTTTAAAATATATACCTTTTAAAAAATCCCCTAGGGCCCAGAGCAGCAGTATAGTAGGTAGGGTGTTTGCCTTGAATGAGGCTGAACAGGGTTTGATCCCCAGCATCCCATATTGTCCCCCGAATACTGCCAGGAGTAATTCCTGAGTCACCTCTAGGGGTGGACCCAAAACAACCCCCCCCCAATTCTAGACAATGATCCAGTGATCCAGAATGAATATTTACGTTGACCATAATACAAGTCCCAACAAATCTTGTTTTGGTGTGGGGGGGGGGGGGTTGAAGTCGCACCCAGCAGTGCTCAGGGCTTACTCCTGGCTCTGCACTCAGGAATTAGTCCTTGCAGGCTCAGGGGATCATATGAGGTGCCGGGAACAGAACTCAGGTTGGCTGTGTGCAAGGGAAGTGCCTTCTAACAAAGTCATTCTGAATTCCCTCAACTTTATTAAAGTATAATAGAAAAATTAAACTGTATAACTATAAGGTCTACAGTGTGATGATTTCATATACATCAGTAAGCCCTGAGCCAGGTGTGGCCCCCAAACCCAAACAAGTGCATAAATAATTCGGTGTTATATGATTTTGCTCAATTATAAGCTAATGTACTTACTCTAAGCATGCTTAAAAGAAGCGAGGCTAAGCTCTGAAGTTCATGAGGTTAGCGGTATTAAATGCATTTCAATGCATGACTTTGGAGGGGAGGTTTGGCCATAATCAGTGGCGCTCAGGGGCTACTCCCAACATCTTGCTGGGATGAAGGGGTCCCTCCTTATAGAGTTTAGGAACCACTTGGTATACGATTGAATCTGGGCCTCCTGTATGCAAAACATGCTGGGTTGCAGTCCATTGAGCCATCTCTCTGGTCCCCAAGGAACAGGGTCTGATTGGTTTGGGGGCCAGAGCTCCAGCTAGGTGCACAGGGGAGGCTCCTAAAAGCATGCTCAGTGCTCACTCCTGGCAGTGTTTGGGAAACTGTGTTGCCAGGGATAGAATGGACCTGCCACATGCAGAGGAGATTGCTCTACCCTGTTGAACTATCCCTCCAGGCCCCAATTCATGTCGCTTTCCATTTAAGGTGGGTGTATCAGGAGACAATCCCACTGCAAGCTGAAGAGCGGTATATATTTATGAGGACCTTAACTATTTTATCTTTGCAACACGAGTTCTTCTCATTTCTCATTTCAAGGTGACCTTTGATTTATGCTTTTATTAGTTCTTGGTGATCAAAGTATCAGAGATAACAAAGCAAGACACGAAAGCAACAAAACAAGTTTTATTCAATAAGTATGACAGCAATTGGAAGAGCTGAGATCCATTCCTTTTCTTCTCTGAGGAGGGGCCAGCCATTGTAAAGGGGGGATGAGGAAGAAGGAAGGGGGGAAGCATGGAGGAAAGTTAAAAAACGAAAGGTCAGTCGCTGGAAAAGCCGTTAGACTGGCTGCCTGCTAGTTAGGAACTCTTTCCACAGAGACTGGGACAGATGGAATGATCATTACATCTTGTGGTTTTTGTTTGGTTTTGTGTCATCTCTGGCTGTGCTCAGGGCTCACTCTTGGCTCTGGATCAGGGATAACTCCTGGTAGTATTCAGGGGACCATTTGTGGTGCTAGGGATCCAATCAGGGTTAGCTGCATACAAGGCAAGTACCTTAACTCCTATATTTTATCTGCTAGGCTTCTGATGATTACATTTCAAGGAATGATTTTTGGATCCTTGAGAAACATAATCCTGAGTTGGCGATATGCACAGAGGAAGGGCTTAAAGTCATATCGGGTTTTTTTTTTCTGGTAAATTATTTAAGAAAGGGAGGTCCAAGATTGTTGAGACAGTTCAAAGGCTAGAGTGCAAGCTTTGCATGCAGGAACTCTCTGAACTGGTCACCCAGTGGGTACTAAACCAAGAGTAGCCCTCAAGCAATTGCTGGGTATGACTCCAGTGCCCAGCCGCTACTCCCCAAAGAGTTCTATAATGCCAGTGTTAGTTGGAATGAATAGTAAATTATTTTTGTACCCAGGAATTTTCAAGACAATAACCAAATAGGAGCTAGAGCTGCTCAGTCACCTTCTTTAGAGCTGATTTAAAGTTTAGTTCAGTTT